GACATTGCTACCCGGATCCAGACATTGCTGCCCGGATCCTGATCTAGACATTGCTACCCGGATCCTGATCTAGACATTGCTACCCGGATCCGGATCTAGACATTGCTACCCGGATCCTGATCTAGACATTGCTACCCGGATCCTGATCTAGACATTGCTACCCGGATCCTGATCCTTCCATTAACCCAGTATCATAAGGATCCGATCTATTGGATTTAGAAGTTGGTATACATGAATTGAGATGGGTGTAATAATATTGGATCGTGCATAGCTTTTAAAAGGGATTTACAGAAAAATTTTGAACATTGTATGAGGTCAATATTGAATGGAGTTGGCAACAAAAATATTAATGGAATGCATCGGTGAATCTGAGATATACATGAATGGAGTTGGAACAATAATAGTAATGGAATGCATCGGTGAATTTGAGATATACATGAATGGAAATGGAACAATAATATTAATGGAATGTATTGATGAATCTGAGATATACATGAATAGAGTTCGAATAATAATAATAATGGAATGCATCGGTGAATCTGGGATATGCATGAATGGAGTTGGAATAATAATATTAATGGAATGTATAACTTTGACAGTTTACCACTTGATCCCACCATACTCGTAACTTACTTGAATAATTATTGAAAATTAAAAATTAAAGTGACTGTAGACGTTAATTCAAGAAACTCTTTATTCCTTAAAAAAAACATGTCCGATTTACAGCACCCTCGGAACCTTTATCCAATCTAGATTGTCGAAGATACCGTTGTATTTCTGTTTTAATTTTTAAATCATTTTAATTCCCTTCCTTCCGTAAGAACTGCAATTGAAAATAATCGATTTTCAGCAAGGTAAACACGGATAACTCCATCTTTTGTTCTCCAAAAGTGCTGTTGGGAAGCGGATCTACTATTCTTTAATACTATTAACGTTGGGAACCGGATCTACTATTCTTTAATACTATTAACGTTGGGAACCGGATCTACTATTCTTTAATACTATTAACGTTGGGAACCGGATCTACTATTCTTTAATTGTATTAACGTTGGGAACCGAATCTACTATTCTTTAATTGTATTAACGTTGGGAACCGAATCTACTATTCTTTAATTGTATTAACGTTGGGAACCGAATCTACTATTCTTTAATTGTATTAACGTTGGGAACCGGATCTACTATTCTTTAATTGTATCAACGTTGGGAACCGGATCTACTATTCTTTAATTGTATCAACGTTGGGAACCGGATCTACTATTCTTTAATTGTATCAACGTTGGGAACCGGATCTACTATTCTTTAATTGTATCAACGTCGACAGATTCTTTATTATTTTTCAAGTTTAATTTCAGCAAAAAATTAAAATGAAATTTGGAATAGTTTATATTTGTATTTGAAATATTTAAGAGATATTTATGATTTAACACTGACTAATTGTTTAACAATGCTACTCTTTTTTACTTAGACATAGATAGACATTGACAGACAAAGATAGACATTGACAGACATTGACAGACATAGATAGACATAGATAGACATAGATAAACATAGATAGACATAGAGAAAGATGATAGATAGATAGATAGATAGATAGATAGATAGATAGATAGATAGATAGATAGATAGATAGATAGATAGATAGATAGATAGATAGATAGATAGATAGATAGATAGATAGATAGATAGAAAGCTGTGTTAGAGTCAATACTCCCCCTCAGGTGATAGTTGGATATATTTCCCGATAGATGCCTCCACCAGTCATTATTCCTGGGGGGAGGTGGCAACATTGACATCTAAAAATTATTTAATAATTCTTACTTTCTTCTAAAATATTCGATCATTATGATTTTCAAGTATTTTAAGTTGAAGAATATGTAATTTTTTACAAAATTGAAGTATTATTAAAGTTGCAACATTCCACCGGAGCCGGAGTCCGCCGTTCAGAGGCTGCTCACACACCTCTCTCCTCACTCTTAGTCAGTCTTACACACACACACAGCCAACCGACATACAGAAAAAACTCACATAAACACATACAATGCGTAGTTGATAAAAATTGTGAATTTGTTAATCCCAATGCTGCTGTGCGTGAATTATCCAGTAAGTAAATTGTGACATAAAAATGTTTTTGTGAACACGAATGTTAAGTTCTTCTCCTGTGCAAGTATAATCAATCAATCCTTTTGTAATATTATTATACTTTTATCATTCATGCATTATACCGATATTCTGCACACACATTCTCACAGCTTTTATATATTTTATTATTATATTTTTCAACGCTACGGCTAGAATTCAAGTTAGAAGATTTAATAAAAACCAGATGTGATTTTTGAAGAAGAAGAAACATGCATTTTTTCTGAGGGGGGGTCCTGGGTATCTTAAATGTGTTTTTTTCAACAACATATAGCCTTTTTTATAGGTTTTAATTTCAAACCCAATATGATGATGTGTTCCTTTGTTTTTATATCCTGGCTCAAAATACCATTCTTACAATTAGTTTTTTAACCTTGAGAAACCTTGAGAAAGGCAGACACAAGTAGATTTTTTATTTTTGCAATAGCTTGGCTTTTCACACTTTTCTAGATCTTTACATCAATTATTATAAAATTTATTTATTAAATAGATTTTTTATCACAGTCCATTCCAAACCCTTACAAGTGCAATGTGCATTTTCGACAAAACCTTTTTGTTTAACAAGGATTGCTTTTTTACTTTTTTTAGAAGTATTATGGTGATAGCTTTAATAGTGGTAGGGCGAAAAATTGAGGGTGCTAACTCCCCCCCCCCTTCATTGCCTTTTTAGGGTTAAAACATAAATTCCGATATTTAATGAGTCCACAGTGTGGCTTAAATATTAGTAATCACGGCTCTACAGTGAATACTGTTGGATCAATATACCATCTTCGCCTAACTATTTCACACTAGGTGTATCGGTATATATATTTGTAATCTTTGTTTGTTTGTCCGATCAAAACTCAGGAACCCCTGGCCCGATTTGCTCCAAATTTTAATTGGGGACCTCGGGAGAACCACTGAAATGTTCTTAGTTTGGTTTTGAGATTCTACGTTGAGTGGGTCGACTTTTATAGCTAAAAGTTAGTTTCTCGGTAAAAATCGTGAAGTGCGAGTAAAAGGCGGGAGTAACTATGAGTACCCTGAGCAACGCTGGGTTCCCAAGCTAATATACTAAAAATATTTTATGTTAAACATTGATAATTAAGCACTGATTTCTGGTCTCTGCATTGCTTTTGTTTTTAATACTAATTTTTGTATATATTGATTCAAATAATAAAAACAAATAAAAATTCTCACGGCCAACGCCGGGCCCTTCAGCTTGCAGTCCATATGAAAAGGAGTCGTTGATCACAGTATATATTATTTTAGACAATTTTTGTTATTAAATTCTTGACTTTTTTTAAGTTGGCTGTATTTGCAAAAATATATAACCCTGCATTGTAAATTGCTATTTTATTATGAACTCTTTGGTTTGAGTAGGATTGCGTATTCAGTACAGTTAGGTTTTATTTGCGTCATTTATCAACATTTTCCCCCAGAATAAATTCTATATGTTTACAACACACAGTTACATATTCAGTTACACTCCCTAATTTGAAAACTATATATTTATAAATACGTTTTTTTAAACCAATAAAATGTTTAACCAATCTACGGGTAATAAGCAATTAAGCTAAAAATTGGTATCATGAAGAAGAAAAATCTCGTTCTTTTCATACCTTAAGTCCCTGGAAGCAATGACACTCTTTTGGGAAGTGATTTATTTACAAAATAAAATCTTACTTTTAACAAAGATTCAAATTTTTTCCACAAAAGCTTCCTCAATGATTTTCCTTAAAAGTAAAGAACGATTTAAAAATATTCAAGTATTTTCCTGTGAAATTTACATGAAATGAATATTTTGATAGTTGTTACGAAAAGAGTTTTATACCCTTTTGGTTTGTTTTTCAGTTTCTCGGGTTAAGAGAGTTTTAGTGCATATAGAGTTCTAGAGAGTACGTTGAGAGTTTTGAATCAAGTTGAGAGTTTAGAATCAAGTTTATGAAAAGTTTAATTCTGAAACCTCTCTCAGCATCTTTCCACTTGATAATTTCCTTCTTTTCTATTTTATTTCTCTTTTCTTAATCTTACTTTTTCTTAATCATATCTTCTCTTTTCTTAATCATATTTTCTCTTTCCTTAATCACATTTTCTCTTCCCTTAATCATATTTTCTCTTTCCTTAATCATATCTTCTCTTTTCTTACTCTTTTCTTCTGTTTTCAAAATCATTACTTTCTCATTTCTCAATTAAATTTTCTATTTACTCTGTACTACATTCTCTTTTCTCAATCCTACATTTTCTTTTCTCAATCCTTCATTTTCTTTTCTCAATCCTACATTTTCTTTTCTCAATCCTACATTTTCTTTTCTCAATCCTACATTCTCTTTTCTCAATCCTACATTTTCTTTTCTCAATCCTACATTTTCTTTTCTCAATCCTACATTTTCTTTTCTCAATCCTACATTCTCTTTTCTCCTTAGTACATTTTCTTTTCTCAATGCTACATTGTTTTTTCTCAATCCTTCATTCTCTTTTCTCCTTAGTACATTCCCCTTTCTCAATCCTATATTCTATTTTCTCAATCCTTCATTCTCTTTTCTCCGTAGTACATTCCCTTTTCTCAATCCTATATTCTATTTTCTCAATCCTACATTCTCTTTTCTCCGTAGTACATTCCCTTTTCTCAATCCTATATTCTATTTTCTCAATCCTACATTCTCTTTTCTCCATAGTACACTCTCTTTTCCTACATTGTTTTTTCTCAATCCTATTTTCTTATTTTTCGATCCTAGATTCTCAATATTTTTTATATCTCACTTTCTCAATCCATTTTCTCCTTTCTCATTCTTTCTTCTGTGTTGTTTCACATTTTTCTCAATCTTTCAGTATATGTAGTGTTTAATAAATATTGAAATAATCCTAATATTTCTTATTTGTAGGTTCCATATCAGTTCCCTTTGGGGCTTCCTCCTGGTGCAGTTCCTCCCCAGTTCCTTGTTGGTTCAGCTCCACCCCCTGCCACACCCACCCACACACCTCAACAGTGCCATCAGTTCCAACCCATCCTACAGGGGCAGAACAGGGCGGGTCAACCTATCTTTCTATCCCGGCCTAACCTTCCCCCAACATGCTGTGTTGTCACCTCATCAGTCCAACCAACCTTCTTCAGTTCCAGTATTTCAGCTCATAACACCCCTGGACCCCCATCCTCATTCCAGCTCCCAACCCATCCCTCACCTCAAACCATTCTTCAGTTCGGACACCCTCCTCCCAACCCTTCCCAGCATTCACTTCATAGAACTGTTTCTCAACCTAGACCTGGAGATCTGAGCTTCCATGATACACATCCTCGTCTCGTTCCTCCTCCTCTTCTACCTCCTCCTGCTTACCTCCCTCAGCACCACCACCACCATCATCATCAACATCATCAACATCAGCAGCAACAGCATCAATCCTTCCCTGTTCAAGCTCCTCCCCAACCTCCCCATATTCACCAACTACAGCAGCATGATTCAAGGCATCTTCACCAGTTTCATCCCGCCCAGGCACGCCCCCGTCAACAACCTCCCACTCCTCCCCGGGGTGTCAGGGGGGTCAACATCAGACGATGGAGAGGAGGCGGGGCTCAAGGAGGGCTGGTTGGACATCCTCTCACCCCTATACACCTGGCGTCTAATCCGGGACTCGGGCAAACATATCCTCCAGGTAAACTATGCGCAACTTGTAGAGGGGGGGGTAATTCTTAAATGGACTGTCGACATGATTTTAAGTGCATCTATTTAAAGAGCTGCTTGCCCGTTTACAATGATACATTTTTCATGTTTATTTAAGCACCAATGAGGAAGATGTTCTTTACAAACCGGAAAAATCTTTCTTTATTCTGTAGCATAAATCCGCAAGTCTCTTATAGAGGAACCACAATTTGAAATTAGCTGTGTTAAAATAGAAAAATAGGGATAATTTTTTCGTTTTGGGGCGGGTAAAGGTTTTTGTTTGTAAATCAATCATGACTTACTATTAATGTTGGGCTCTTGCCCGTGTAGTGTTAGTTATTATAAAAGTTATGTTGAAATCCTTGTCAAAAAATATTAATGTAAGATCATCATTGTTCTTTGATTTTTGGTCTATGGTTTAACAGGTTGTTTTTTAATTTAGAGTGATTCGACTATTTTTTTTTACCAATTAGAGAATTGATGGGAATTTTGTTTAAAAATTTGTATTCTTAAATTTGTGAGGTGTTAGAATTTATAAGGTATTTATTTATATTTGAAAAGTTTTACTCTGACATAACAGTACACAAGAAAATCACGTTCAAAATTAGTTATTTTTATCATGAAAAGATCTTAAAAATATTTTAAGACTAATGAAACTTAGAAGCAAATAAGAAGATATTTTTTATTATGTTACTAAAAATGAAGAAAAACTAGATTACTAGAAAATGTGTTGTATATCTAGGTTTCCTACTCCAGTACCTAGAATCTACTGTTAACGCTGTATCTAGGTTTCCTACTCCAGTATCTAGAATCTACTGTTAACCCTGTATATATCTAGGTTTCCTACTCCAGTATCTAGGATCTACTGTTAACCCTGTAGTTTATACTGTATAAATCTAGGTTTCCTACTCCAGTATCTAGAATCTACTGTTCCTGTATATATCTAGGTTTCCTACTCCAGTATCTAGGATCTACTGTTAACCCTGTATATATCTAAACCTAGAAAAAATTACAATATCTTCTACATGATTGATCAGATTGTGGTTTCAAGAGTACTTCTGTGAATCGGGCATTGTCATCGTTGCAAAATAAAGGGTCCCTTAAAACTACGTTTTGTAGTCCCTTTAAGCCTGAGCTGTCCCTTTACATGACTAGTTTTCTTCCGTTGTATGCTCAACGTTAATAATTTGAATATCTAGTCTTGTAATCCTCATTAGTATTTCATTTTATTCCATGGAGGCACGTTTTTTAGTAAAGAAATGGAGTCTTTGTCACAAACAAACCCTATGTCGTCGACCTTAAATATTTCAAACTTTGAAATGTGTTAGATCAAATAATACCCAGCATAAAAAATAAATCTGAAAAATATACAAAATACACGTAAACATATTTTATTCCATTCTAAAATGGTATCTAAATATGCAGGAATTTAATATGTTATCGCGTCGTCATCGTTATTTTGATATTCAAATATCCAGTACTTTAATATATTATTCCGTCGTCATCCTATTGTTTATATCCAGATTCAGAGCTTAGATACTGTTTTCCGTTTTCTTTTTTATATTTATATAATTTAAGTTGACTCATTTTTTACTTCAAATATTTACCATACGTATTTTTTCTCTTTAGTATAATTTATTTTACTCAACAATGAAATGATATTTTAATGTATTTATTTCTGTTCTGTAACGGATTTCATTTTTTTTATTGCACGATTATTATTGTTCAGATATTCGAGTGAGGGGTCTGACACAGAACAAACTGTATGCGTGGTTTGTATGTGTGACTTCGAGTGCCGACAGATGGTTCGAGTTCTGCCCTGTGCTCACGAGTTTCATTCGAAATGTGTCGATAAATGGTTAAAGGTTCGTTTAATATATTTTCATCAAAAAATTAATTTGAATAATATTATTCTTGTATTTTTAAGAAAATGTTTTTAAATTTAACTTTTATTCTGAGTCTGGGACTTCTTAATGGAAGGAAAGAGTTAAACGCATTTTTTCCCTAGAGAGTTTAACCATAGAGTTTAACCGGATCTTTCATTGTTTGAAGCTCTTATGTTTTAACCAAGTGATAAATTTCATTGTTTGAAGCTCTTATATTTTAACCAAGTGATAAATTTCATTGGCTACAATCATACCCAAAATACCTGATCAATTATTTTTGAGGATTTATAAATTATTTTATTTCAGTCGAACCGAACCTGCCCCATCTGCCGGGGGGATGCCGCAAACTATTTCCAACAAATCACCGATTGATCTTGTAAATTGCAAAATCAATTAAAATTGATTAATTGATTGTATGGTTGTGTGTGTCCCATAGTACTTGTTTATCTGTAGAGGGGAACGGGTCTGTAATATTTGATTTAATCTAATCTGTTGAAATTCCCATTGTTCGGCTTAAATTTCAAGTTTTAGACTTTAATCTTTTTCATTCATTAGTTCCAACTTCTGGCTTTATTATTTATATTCATACTCTTCCATCTTGGTTTTATATATTTAATTCTGTTATTTAATTCAGATTCAGTTCTACATCCATATAGTTATCATATATAATAATGTTACTGTTAATCTTTTTTATAACATTTTATAATCGGTTTCATGTTTCGTTTTGTAGATATACACTTGGTATTCATGCATGTGTAGTAAAAATAGGGGTTTTCAGTAATTTTAACGGAAATTAACTAACCACCGTTTTTAGATTATTTTTCTTCCCCCCTTTTTACCCTGGAGTTCGGAGAGCAATAATAATATTTATATAATTGTGGTGGTGTACGGTGCTTTATATATCTTATACCCTAGTTCATATCAATCCATCCTTACAAACTTACACAGTGTTTACACCTTACATTCACCTCCCCCCCCCCACACCACCACCATTTACCCCTTAATAATTGTACAGAAGAATCGGTTAATCTTGTACTGCATAGACCTGTCACAAAAATTTCACAGCTGAGTGTACATGATCCCAAAAAACCGTCAGGTTAAACTAAACAGTACTAAGATTGAACCGGTTCTCGTTGTACAGTACGTTGTATTTCTGGCCTGTTAGGACGGCGCATTGTGATATGTATTCTCGTACTTTTATTCTCTTTTCGGAATGATAACCTGCACTGTGCAAACATTTTTATTTACATTTATGTACAACAGAACTTCTTCTCTGCTTTTCTGTACATTGTCAGATACGCATTGTACAGTGTACATGTTTAGTGTATAGCTATATGTATAAATGTTCCCCACTGTGGCCTACTATGCAAATTTATGGGGTGTTGCCGCTTTAATAACCAGCTTGTACACCGGAACACTGTGTACGCTATACAAACTTTCGTAAATTTCTATTTAGAATGCTGGTTGCATCAAGATGTTTTAACCATGTTTCGTTTTCAAACATTTTAATTAAGTTGATATTGCACAGTGCAGACAAGACCATGCCTGCAGTACAGTACATTAACCTGAATATTGACTGATCCATTTAACCTTGTACTGTACACAGGTAGAGCGTTGTACACGTGTACTGGTCTGTAGTAAACTATTAGATTCTTCAATCTTCGTGTGATATTGATTAAACCAATCTCTCTAAACTTGATATATTGAAACTTTAACTAGCTAGCTCGCATTCTTTGAAGCTAGTTTAGAGTCATACTGCTTTCTTGACAGCTAGTGAATAGCTAGCCTGCCATCCGCTAGCTAGCTCATCAATAGCTCGACTTGAATTTAAGATGATATTAAACTGTCTGAATCTTCTAACTTAGCTAAATATTTAACCTGTTGCTATATCAGTTTGATTAGCTAAGAAGATGCTAGCTAGCTACAGTATTTTGTAGAACAATTTATTCGTCTAAAATCATAACATTGGAAGATAAAATGTCTTAAACATTAATATACAGATGTAATTCTGTTGAACCATGTTTCTTCAATACTCGAGGTTGAATCTGATAAGTAAAAACTTTTCAGTGCAAGAAACCTCGGTCAAAATCTTTTCTTTCAGTTTCATCTCTTCTGTATTCAAAGAACTTGATAAATTATTCGGACTTTAAAGTTCTTCCACTTTTCTAAGCTTGCATGGAATTTGAAATAAGCTTAGAAAAAAAATAGAACTTTATCACAGGATTCCATGTTAACAGAATAGTAGATGTTAGATTTCAGATTTTAATCTTGCAAGTTGTTCTACTGCGTGTATACCTCCTAACACTAAACCCCCTAGTGCCTGTTCTTTGTTCAAACTATTTAAAAAAAAACATAAAATTTAAAAAAATATTCGAATTGATATTAACGGACTTTTTGTGTTTTACTTTCACACAATGCAGTAAAGTAGTTGTGCTATTCAGATTTTTCTATGCATACTTTCCATCTTAATCTTTCACTTTCATTCTCTCTCCTTTTCATTCTTTCTCCTTTCCTTTTCATTCTCCCTCTCATTTTCTTCTCATCCTCCCTCTCTTTTCCTTCTCATCCTCCCTTTCCTTTTCATTCTCATCCTTCTTTTTCATTCTCTCTCCTTTCCTTTTCATCCCGTCTCCTTTCCTTGTCTTTCTTTNACCTTTTCACTTTCCAAATTTTGATCCTTTAGCAACAAATGTAGATTTTTCAATTCTTGCCTTGTCTGTATAATTCACGGTTTTCTGATTGGGCATTTACAAATGTTTTGGGATTTTATTAGCTTGACGTATATTGTGGTCTGCTGCTGCCTCGGGAATTATTTAGAGTGTTCTCATTGTTCACCAAAGAATTTTGTAGCTAAATTATACTTAATATAAATAAATATGCATCAATCATTTGAATTTTTAACTGTAGCGTGAAGGGTGTGCTTTAAGAAATAATTATCTCAGTCACATGCCACATGTTTTTTCTAACCAATTTAGAAACTTAAACCTCATGATGTTCCTTGTCAGATGATACTGAATTTTTACTGAAGCTTTAATTAAAACTATCCAATTAATTTTCATTTGAACAACAATTTTGAGACATCAACTATAAAAGAATTAAAGACTTTTTAAAAATATTTTACTATGGACTCTTTGGACACCTTTTATAATTGTGCCGAACAAATCAAATTGTGAGCGGGGAAAAATTACTTAGTTTCTTCTTTCTAGTTATTCCTCCAGAGGGTACGATTACAATGCGGAATCTATATGTATATATATAAAGTTGTAATCTCTGTTTGTTTGTCCGATCATAACTCATAAACCCAACGACCGATTTCCCTCAAATTTTTATTGGGGAACTCAGGAGACCCACGGGAATGTTGTTTGAGTAGGTCAACTTTAAATGCGAAAAATTAGTTTCCCGGTAAACTCGATAATTGTGCGGGTAAGCGGGGGGAGTACCTTTTAGTAACCTTAGTAGCGCTGGGTTCCCAAGCTATAAATGATTCAAGATCAATTTAATCTGAAGATTAAGCATTGATTTCGATATCCACATTACAAGAGCTCTGTCCTAATCTGTTAAAATTATGTAACTCTTACCCGAACTAATCATTATCCCCCCCCCCCACAATGCTATGAAAACCTAGACCTGAGCTGTAACTCTTGTATTGTGGATATCAAGATCAATGCTTGATCTCCTCTTTTGTTTATCTGCAGATTAATTTAATCTTTACTTGATATCCAGGAATGTGTAAATAATCTAACCAATCAGAAGCCGGGGTATGCAACCTACAGGGTGTCCCACGAAACATGACAATAGGAAGACGACTTGAAAGTCGTCTTTGGTATTTGAATTTATTTGTGACATTTAGTCTTTTATCTACTTTAACATGTATGATTCTTGAAACAATTATCACATAATTCTCCTAGCCCTGGCATTTTCAAAAAGTGGTCTGCGTTTTTTGTGCTTTCAATATTACCTGAAATATAAAGAGTTTGGTTCAGATTTCAATTTTGTTAAATAAAAGCAAAATTGTCGAAATCTGAACGAGATTCTTCATATCTCGGGCAATATTGAAAGCACAAAAAAGGCAGACCACATTTTGGAAATGGCAGGACAAGGGAAATTTTGTGATTATTATCTCTAGAAATTTACTTCTAAAATTAGGTTAACAAATAAACGCAGCAAATTATATCAAAAATCAAGACGACATTCAAGTCGTCCTGTATACTGTCATGTTTCGTGGGACACCCTGTATGAGAGAACTCATCGGTTGGAACCCGCAGGAATATGTAAAAAAAAGAGAATTAAGCAGAAAATCAAAATCGTCCACAGCAGATATCGAGATTAAGTGACAGGGATCAAGGATATCCAAAACAAAAGTTCCCAGCTCTGGTTTGATTATTTATAACGCTGGCGAAAAAAAATCAAGCATTGATCTCGATATCCACAGTACATAGGTAGCTCAGAACTCAGAAATTTTGACGTTGGGAATACTCTTCAAAAGAGTAAAGTACGGTTTTCTAAATTTTCTGTTAAGTTTTTTGTGTTTTAACAATATTCATTTTGAAAAATTCCTTATTGTAAAGGTTGCATAAAAAGGTTTTTATTTTTGTTCTTTTCTTTGTTTAGTCCAGTTGTTTTGTTTGTATTATTTATTTTATATATTCATTGTCTAAAAAAAGATTTTTTTAAATGAAATTTTTTTCTTTCTTTTGCGTATATCTGTAATATTTTAGGACGAACTCCTGATGATGCTAAAGTTTTTGGCGAAATATATTAAGAAGGAAATGATATAATTCTAGTGCTAAAGAGTAGGGTTGGGATTTGTTTAAAAACGATCTAAAGTTGGGAATCTTGGGATCAAGCATTGATCTTCTTCTGGTTCCTCGACTTTGAGATTAAAATTAAAATCAGAGATTGAAACTTTTACGATGCAGACAACATGTATTTTGATGTTTAGTTTACGATGCAGACAACATGTATCTTGATGTTTAGTTTACGATGCAGACAACATGTATCTACAACATGTATCTTGATGTTTAGTTTACGATGCAGACAACATGTATTTTGATGTTTAGTTTACGATGCAGACAACATGTATTTTGATGTTTAGTTTACGATGCAGACAACATGTACTTTGATGTTTAGTTTACTTACGATGCAGACAACATGTATTTTGATGTTTAGTTTGGCGTAAATGCGTGACTTCTAATCGGAGAAAAGACATTCCAAACAGAAAAAAAAACTTTAATGAATTAATGAAATTGGGTTCTATATGTGACTTTGGGAAATCCGAAATAATTATATCAAAACTGAGATTAATTTTAACTAGCTTTCCTTTTAACAATAATTTATTCAACATTTATACAAGAAAGGTTCTCGTTAAAATTTTAAAAACAAATTTTTTATAAAGGTAATGGAAACATGTATATTATACATAAAGTTATAAGGGGACCATTGTAAATTTGACATTCCTGTGCAAATGGATGGGCATTTGAAATCCACGTCTATAGTCCCTTTAATGCCCCCCCCCCATATTAGTATTTTACTTAAACAATCATTAAAAACTTAAAATAAAACTTAATAGATATCTAATATGTAATAAAAAAACAATCAAATACCATTGTCACAAAATAAAAATTAGACCGTATATTGCTATATAATCCCTTTGAACTTGAGTTCAACTGCAAATATACAAGACTGAATTTATTTCTTATATGGATTCCAAAGCTTGCACAATTATTACTTAATCTTGAACCAAAAGTTAAGCAAGTGATCAAAAATTCAATAATAAAAGTACATGAACGGTCTGTACATTTCTATCAATGTTACTCGAAATTTATTTACCCTGTAACTATATGCTTCGGTTATTGTAAATCTAAGAAATATTTTTAAACAAATAAGGACCATGTCCGTTAGTGTGCTTTTTATCTTTCAGTTGATCATTCTTTTCATTAGATATACTTGATTCAGCTTTCCTTTCGACTAGATTTCTTTCCTGTGATTCATCGACTAGATTTCTTTCCTTTGATTCATCGACTAGATTTCTTTCCTTTGATTCATCGACTAGATTTCTTTCCTTTGATTTATCGACTAGATTTCTTTCCTTTGATTTATCGACTAGATTTCTTTCCTTGAACTCCGTGGGTAAGATTTTCACTTTTCTTTTAGTTTGTTTATATCTTTTTATGCCTTTACGTTTGAGTGTGTGTATGTTATTTCTAATATTATATTGATGTGAGAGCTCTGATGGGTTTGATCTCTCCTCTCTGTCCCCAACCTAAAGAGAGAAGATTTTAGAATAAGAAAATTATGTACGATACTAGATTGTGCACCCTATTTTTATATTATTCGAGTATAAATATAAAGATGACTTCAAGGACGTCATTGATCTTTGAAATAATTTGAGGCCCCCGGCCCTACTTTTACATACAGGATTCTTGAAGCAGTATTCAAATAATTCTCCTATGCCCTGGCATTTCTTAAATGTGGTCTGCCTTTTTTGTGCTTTCATTGTTTTCTTTACATCTAAATATATTTCGAAATCTAGTATGAGAAACAATTGCAAAAAACTCTAATTTTTTAAAGCTGATGTCTCTGCGACCTGATGTCGAAGTCGTAGACTTTGAGCTATGAATTTTGTTGGATCAATTATCAAAAGTTTAAAATATCGAAGGTTTCGACTGTAAGTCAATTGTTCAGTTCCATTGAAACCCCCTAGTGCCATTTCATAATAGAAATAAGAAATATACAGTGGTTACCAGAAAGTAGTGAAATGATTGTAAACTTCTTTTTTTGTTGATAAAAAGGAATGCCCTGAATATATTGTATCTACAACGAAGTGTATCCTGTCTGTATTGGAATATTTTCAGTCATATTTTGATCTTTCATTAAAATCCGTCAGAAAATAGTCTTTACAACCTAACATACTTTAAATGTTAAATACAAAGCCCAACAAAAATGTCAAGAAAGCAAATACGACAAGTCTGCATTTATTGGTCATGAACTAAGGTTCTAAAGTTAAGACTCACTGGACTTTTAAATAGAAACTTTAGTTCACCGTCTACAGGAACACCCTGTACACTGAACAGTGTACAAAAAACATTGTACTACTAGAAATAATATAATCAGGAACACCCTGTACAGCGTGCAATGTACAATACATATTGCATTCTGGAGTAGATATAATCACAAACACCCTGTATCTAATTATCAGATATCCAGAAGCACCCTGTATCTAATTAACAGATATCCAGGAGCACCCTGAATCTAATCAACAGATATTCAGGAACACTCTGTATCTAATCAACAGATATCCAGGAACACCCTGTATCTAATTAACAGATATCCAGGAACACCCTGTATCTAGTAATCAGATATCCAGAAACACCCTGTATCTAATTATCAGATATCCAGGAACACCCTGTATCTAGTAATCAGATATCCAGAAACACCCTGTATCCTATTATCAGATATCCAGGAACACCCTGTATCTAATTATCAGATATCCAGGAACACCCTGTATCTAATAATCAGATATCCAGAAACACCCTGTATCCTATTATCAGATATCCAGGAACACCCTGTATCTTATTATCAGATATCCAGGAACACCCTATATCTTTTTTCATGTATCCAGGAACACACTGTATCTAATTAACAGATATCCAGGAACACCCTGTATCTAATTAACAGATATCCAGGAACACCCCGTATCTAATTATATTAAGTCCCTGCAACCTGGAGGTCCTGATGCAGTAGTATAGAAGTTAGAACTGCTGTGTATGGAACTTTATTTATTGATTTTATCGTTTAAAGAAGCTTGCCCATCATAATCTTTACAAATACTGTACACTGTACACTGAACAGTGTACAGTATTAAGTGTGTACTAACATGAGTCATATCATGAGATGAGATCTTGTGTTAAAATTGCCCTGTAAATTTTCATTCTGTATACATTTTTTAAACGCTATAGGGCTAGAAAAAGGCATAATTGAGTAGTAAGAGCGGTAAAATCAAAGCCCAAGGCGTTACGACACTTCAGAGTTGAGTTGACCCTGTATTAAAAATTGATGAGACTTTTTATAAGTAGGCTGAATCTATGTGCACTGTGGAGAGTTGTTAGTGCTGATAGTATGTATGATAACCCCAAAATATTCATCTTGATTAATTGATTATCTCAAAATATACAACTATGTACATTGTACAGTGCATCTAATTAGTAAATCCCGGGGGGGGGGGGGTAGAGACGGTTTGCGTCAACAATCCATTCTGTGTAGCTAATCCATGGGTATTGGGTACCCCCAAGTATTATACCAGGTAGTCCATTGTTTATCAATAAAGTGTACTGCAGTTTCTGGAGGAATATGGACAAACTCAACCTGAGCATGCAGTGAGCTCTGAGCCCAAAACTTAAACCATGGTATCGTTATGAAAACCAGTTTTGAAACCCGGGTTTCAGGAATGGGGTTAGGCAGTTTTGTGGATATCAATATTTTTGTTATGAATTATTTTTTTATTTAATTTCTTCATATTCTCAATTTTTGTCGAATCTCTAAATCAAAATCTAAAAAATGTTAAAATCCCAAAAAGGAAACTTGGGAGTTTCGTTCAACGATACTGTTTTAAATTTTGGGCTCTGAGAGTGCGCAGTACAACTTGTACAGCGTTTGTTTACATTCCTCTCAGAGCCCAAAACTTAAGACAGGGTATCGTTATGAAAACCAGCTTTAAAACCCGGGTTTCACGTATGGGGTTAGACAGTTTTGTGTATATCAATATTTTTGTTATAAAATAATATGTTATTTAGTTTCTTCATATTCTCCATTTTTTCCGAATCTCTTAAATCAAAATCTACACAAATATTAAGACCCCAAAAAGGAAGCTCGGGAGTTTCGTTCAACGATACTGTTTTAAATTTTGGGCTCTGAGAGTGCGCAGTACAACTTGTACAGCGTTTGTTTACATTCCTCTCAGGAACTGCAGCACACATAATTGTGCAGTGTAAACAGATCCATTTCACTTAGTAAGTGATTTAATAAGTTACTGTAAAACTAATCTACTTCATTATTACTTAAATGTTGTCTTTTTATTCCAAAGCTTTCTGGTTCTCGCTGAATAAATAAAAGCAGCATCACTTTAACAACCTAAGTGAATACCTGTGGAAGAGAAGAATCTGTTTTCTTTAGTTTCTGCCTTTTTTTAGGGTTGTATTCAGATTTTACTTCTTTCACCTTTTCCTTCTTGACAAAAAATTGTTCAGAACTTTTCTCAACCTGAACAAGGTTATCTTTTAGACCTTCAATAAAAAAATTTAGCCTTTGTCCAAAGTAATATAGATTCACAGACATGTATACTTGTTGCTTGCGTTGTTTACATCCTGCTCGTGGAGATGGATACTTGAAGAGCATTTTATGGCTTTTATTAAATAAAATTCATAGGAATCGCATTTAGGCTTATATTTTTGATTAAAACGGTTATGCTTTTGTTTCAAAAAAGGTTATATTTTAAGTAGGCAATAGCTATATTATTGGCTATAAAATGGTTATATTTTGATTAAAAAATGGTTTTATTTTTGGTTAAAAAAATGGTTATATGTTTGGCTAGTTATATTTTTGCTCAAAACATTGTTATATTTTTGGCAGTTATTTATTTGGGCCTTAAATTTTTGGTGATTATATTATTAGAATTATATTTTCCATGCCCATCTCACAGTTAAGTGCATTGGTGCCACTGATAACAATATTTATTATTTACAATAATAATTTTCTATTAATAATTCTGTCTCAAATTCTAATATGGCTTTAAAGAAATTTAAGCAAGTGTAATGACACTAGACCTCAACAATATACTACCTGAGGCTGTGGTTGGGAGGAAGAGTAGTTGATTCTTCTCTGAGCAGTGGCAGAAGTCGTAGCTGAATATACTTCACGAGCTGGAGTGCTCGTAGCTGGAAACTTCTTCCTGATTGGTTTTGGACTAGAGGAGAAGATTCCTTCGGATTTATGATCAGATTCAAAATGAAGAGCAGGAGGGGTTGTTGTGTAAGTGATTGATGCATGAGGATTCATTGCAGTTGAAGCAAGTAAGTGTGAGGGTGAAGGTGTTGTAGTTGAATGATGTAACATAGCTGTTTCAAAGCTATGTCGTAGAGGTTCACCAGCATGGCGAACTGTAAGATTTAATATGGTAGGAGGAATAGGCTTTTCAACCTTATCCTCAGGCATAGTTGTTACTTGTGCAGCTCCAAGACTTCTGGATTCTAAAACCTCTGTTCGAAACTCAGGTAGCAGATAACTCAGTGATTCTTGTGGAGAAAATTGAGCAGAGCCAATTGTTGATGGATCATTAGGAAAGTTTAAAGGATCTGTGAAAATGTTTGAATTATAATCTGGTGTATATGCATGTGCCACTGGACTTTTAGGAGAATAGTTGAATTGGTCAAACCCAGTAGTTTGGTAGTTGGCGCCTGGATCATTCTGTCTCTTCACTGGGCTGGATGTAGGTATCGTATCCAGGGTAGGTGGGGTGAAATGATTCAGCTTTTCTGGTTCATATGATTCATAATAGTCAGATATTTCTCCATAATCCCCATTTTCATTGAAATCTTCCCTCCAATATGGATTATAGTGGTTGTAAGGATTGAATCTTGCAGGAGTCTGATAATCATAATAATAAGGATCAGGGTTTGGGGGATAATTTGTATCTTGGTGATGCACAGAATTTGAATAGTCATTAAATTGCAGAAGTAGAGGATCCTGTGGTAAGGATGAAATTGAAACTGGAGCTTCTGGATGATGAATAATTGGAGGAGCCTCTGGCAAAACTACAGGAGGGTTTGGAGGGTTAGGAAGATGTAGATCTAGATCTTGAATTGAATGATGTAAAGGAGCTTTGTCTGGAAAATGTTCTGAAATTAGAGGCAACTGATTTTCTAGAGCATTGTGATGGATGTTGTGACTAGGTGGTGAGGGAAAATTAATAACTTTTGGATTAGGAATATATCTTGGAGGTAGAGTGGATAAATAATACTGTTCAGGTCCAAAGCTTGTTTGATGACTAGAAACCTCTTGAGGCTGCAAATGGTCTAGAGAATGTTTTGGTCTTTCCAGAGGTAAAGGCGCTAAAACATTAAGAACAGGATAATGTGTTGGAACTGGAGTTGTTATGTGATACTGTGGACTTGGATTTGGACTGTACCGTGGTGGTAGTGTGGAAACCTCATGGACATGCAGGTTAGGTATGTACCTGTGAGTAAAATCAGGAGTAACATTTAGCTGAGGTTCATAGTATGGAGGAGGGGTAGAAAGGGGTGGTGCTGGTAAAGGAGGATCAGGTCTGTATTTTGGAGGTAGTGTAGAAAGAAAGAATTGCTCTGGACCCGGAGTTGGAGGTAGAGTAATAAATGGATTTTTCGGAGTATCAGGCTTATATTTTGGAGGAAGAGTAGACAAGAAGAACTGCTCTGGGCCATGGACTTGAGTTTGGATGGGAACAGGATTTTGGAGCAGATCAGGTTTATTATTTGCATCAGGATGAGTCACAATAGGTTCCAAAAGAATGGGTGGTGGTATATATTCTTCTGGAGGGGGGATATGGGGATTTTTATTTGTTGAAATATCTAATGGTACTGGTGTTTCTAACCTTACAGGGATTGGAGTTGTAACATAGTGATAATGAAAATGGTGTACATTCCTGGCATAGGATCGGGGTAATGGGGGCAGCTGCTTAACAACAGGATGAGAAGGTCCTTTAGGTTTAACTGGAGAAGGTTCTTTAGGTTTAACTGGAGAAGGTTCTTTGGGTTTAACTTCTTTGATTTTTTCTGTTTCTTTTTTTGATGGGGCTTTGGTAGTTGGCTTTGCCCTTAACTTCTCTGCAATGGAAAACAAATCACGATCTGAAGGTGGAATTGGTGATTTAGGATCAGGTATATAAACTGGGGTTACATAACCTTGTTGCTTGTGATTTGGGGGCACATAGTAGGTAAGTGGAGGGGGTGGGTCATAATGATTGTGTTTCTTGTCTACCTGCCCTTTAGCTGAACCAACAATGATAGGAGGGAGAATTGGTTGATGTAAATCAGTTGGAGGAAAGTGAGAGTTTGAAATCAAGTTTGGTGGCACTGTTGCAGATGAGCTATGATCAGGAATATTTTGAGAATTTAAATGAAAGTTATTCCCTCCTGGAGGTTCAAAGAATATTCCATTTGTAATATCCTTGCCCAACACTGGTCTAGGGACATCTTTGTGGGAAGAAATCGGAAACTCATGTTTATTATACTTATAGCTAGGGTCAGTACTTCCATCATGAATAGGAAGTAGATTTGGGGGTATCTCATGTTGTATAGGTAGTGGAGAAACTAAAACATCTGGATCAAAGAATGCAGGGCTTAATGTGATTGGAGGTTCATTTCTTGAAGTTTCTTCTGTAGGTGGCTTATCATGAATTGGAAAGGAACTTATATGGAATATTTCAGAATTCCCATTATTCTGATAAGGTCCAACAGTAATAGGAGTGAGTAGTCCGGTGAAGATGGTGGGTTTGGCAGTTGTTGTAACCTTGTTTGACTCATGAGAATGTTTTACTGAATGAGGAGAAATTGTCATCTTTTGGAATTGGCCTTGAATCTGATAAGGTTTACCATAAATCAATGTTGGAGGACCGCCAGGGCCAGGTTGGATTGGATGAAGTTGTGGAGATGTTTTAGGTTTAGCATGATGATTAGAAGAATGATCTCCTCCACTTCCAAGATCTCGTTTTTTATTCTCAAATTTTTCTCCAACATCCTCCTCTAATTCCTTGTCCACAATTTTCAGCTTTGACCTGTAAATAGTAAATTCAATAAGTTCTCAATTCTATAGAAAGGTTGAGTTCTATAAAGTTAGTAAACTTTTGAAATATCATTTGAAGGCAAGATGTTCCCGCAACTTAATGAATGGGTACCGGTAGATATCTCAAATATTCAAAATTTTCTCTTTATACATTTGACAAAATCTATATATACTTTGCTTGTCTGTCTGTCAATTTGTTTGTATCCAATAAACGTCAAAACGGGTGAACTGATTAGGCCCAAATTTTGTGTGGATTCTCAGAATTTCAAAAAGTTGTCTCCAGAAACTTTAGGTTCTTGTAAAATTTTGAAAATCCATGAAAAATTAATCTGTGAACTTTTTTGTTTTGGTTTTATACAAAGAGAAGATGCTCACAGATAGAGCAACAATTAAAAAATTGAAATAGAAGAAAGAAGCAAAGGACCCTAAAGGCCAAGTTTATATAAATTCCAAGTTCAGTTTTTTAAGACTTGTTTCCATGAACAAAAATTAACATATTATCTCCATATTAAACATTATGAAGAAAATTATGTTTCCTACCTGGATTTTTTGTTCTTTGCTTTTTGTTGGGGTAGGAAGTTTCCCAGTGGTATACTTATTGGGGAACTAAAATGATTTGAGAATTATTACAAGCTTATTTAATGTGATAATTTTATTTTTTTGATTTAAAAAAATTGGTTTTGTTTCTAGATTAATTCAAATGGTGAAATTCTATCTCTAATTTGAGATTGGAACTTTTGTGATGTAAATATTGTGGTGTTTTCCCAAAGGCATTTTTCCAAGGACTCCTTTCCAAGTGACAATTTCCCAAGTAGCAACTTTCCAAATGTGCAATTTCCCAAGTGGCAACTTCACAAATAGACCCTCTGAGGCGCCACAGCCTGCAATGGGGGCCAAGTGCTGTTGCTAGGATGGGGTAGGGGGTCGAGCGCTGCAGCTAGAACAGGCTGAGGGCCGAGCGCTGCTGCTATGAGACTTGTGAAGTTGCCGCTTGGGAAATTGTACATTTGGAAAGTTGCCACTTGGGAAGTTGCCACTTGGAAAGTTGCCGCTTGTTAAAAATCCTTTGGGAAAGTAAATAACATCGCAGAACATGACCATCAGGGGATATTGAAGAGGAATCAAATTAATCTGTAGGTCTGGATAAGATGGAGATCAATGCTTGATCCCAACATTTACAACACAAAGTTCTGACTTCTGAAGATTTTCTTATGTATAAAATTGACATGTGAAATGATTTTATCAATGGGACTGTAGAGTAAAATGTAATATTCACTGACTCTTCATTTAAAGAATCACATATTCGATTTACAGCAGGTCCTTTTAAACCTTCTTCTGAAAAAGCTATTCTTCATCATTGTTACTCAAATGGAATTTTAAAAAGGTACTATTGTGAATTTTACCTGAACATTGGATATTGTGTTGGAGGTTTGGTAGGTTTAGTAGAAGCGGGAAAAGTAGTTGTTGTGATTCTTGTTGTTGTTGTTTCTGTAGTTGTTGATGTGGTAGCTGGAGTTGTGGAAACAAATATACCAACTTGATGTTTAATTTCCTGGAAGAAAAAAAAAATTACACAATCCTAAGAACAGGAGCCTGCACCCCCCCCCCCCCCCCCCCCCCGCCCTCCAGTTTATTAGAAGTTCCGGAACAACTTAAAGGCAACTAGAGCAAGTTGTACAGTATTCTTATAGGCTGTAGATGGCAAAATGGGACGGTACACCTAATGTATCATCCTTCCTCTAGGCAGATTAATGTGTTCCAGGTTAGGAGAAGAGGACGGGCGCCATTTTCTGGGAAAGTACCGGAAAAAAATTAATCTTTTTCATTCAAGAATGAAAACAAACCTGTTCTTGTTGTTTCTCATCTCGTTTAAACTGGGATTTAGGTTCTCTAAACTCATTTTGCGGAGCTCCATCACTCTTGCCTTTCTTATTCTCTTTCCCGTCATCTAAAAAATAGTACATGAAACCTTCTTTGTCTATCTCAAACCCATTTTATTGTATCTAAAAAGTACACTTTTTCATGTTTGCAATATTTTTCATATCACTTTCATTTTGTAAAGAGAAAATTTTTAAGACACATATTTTGTACGATTTTCAGAACGTATTGTGTGTCTTAAATATATTTTGAAGAAAAAATATTGTATTTTGTGTGTTTGACTAAAATATACCTGTATATTGGTGAATGATATCATTAGGATGATGCATAAAATTAGTTTCTTCTTCCTAGAGTAAAAGAAAAATGTAAAATTATTATAATAAAAATATTTTTCTTTTTCCTAAAAGATATATTTTCTGGTTTAGCACTAATCTACTAATTTGTATTCTGTGTACTCTATACATCTCTATTATTCGTCTGTTTATCTCTGTAGATAGATATATATTGATGAAAAGATCATATATGTAGATGTATATATATATTTTAGTTTTTAACTTCACATTTTTTATTAAAAATATGTTTATCTTAGAGCTAGCCCAAATTACTTGTTGAATGTTTCATAAACCGTGGATGGTTTATTGGGTATTTTTCGAACGCTTTAATTTTGGAAATAAAGGAAAAACCTTAAAATTGTCCTAATTCTGGAAATTTAACACATATTAAGAAAAGAAGCCATGGGCACAGGCAGTGGTAGTACAATTGAATTTCCGAGCCGGGTCAACCTTTCCGGTCTCAGTTTATACTGTACCTAGCTCTATGGACAGGACTAGCCGGTGCAACAAGGTTGACGCGGTCAGACTTTATGCTTCATATAGGTTGAATTTACTTTTACTAAAGGGGCAGATTTGTGTGTTGTCCCTTTGTTAAGAACAAAACAAAGATCCTGGAGAAATGACATAAAATCCACCAACCCTATCCTAGACGTTTCAGGATTATATATAATTCTAGCTAGAGTTTAGGAACTTTCTTCAAAAAAGTAGCCCACTCAATTTAGAATTTTAAACCAAACAAAGAACATTGTCCTGGTTCTATTAAGTTCTGGGGTTACGGATCATTGAATGCAAAAAAACGAACAGAGATTAACACTATATATTTTTAAATGTTTAGATAATATACCTGTTTTACTCCTGTTTCTCCTATTTCTTCCTTTTTCAAGTTTTTGCCAGTTTTTAGGTCTAAGCAAAAAAAAAGTTTATTTTTGATAGACCAATAAATTTAAACTAATTTTACTAAAAAGGGTATGAATTATTAAAAGAGCATTAATTGGCATGGGCTTGTTTAAACCATATATTATTAATTTTAATTTTAAAAGTTTTTGTATGAACCTGAACTCAACTTATAAAACAACTTTAGACCTTACTATGTAAGAACAACATTTCATTATTTAATATCTAAAGGAACATTTACAGATTATCAAAGTCTTACACAAAAGTTTTGAAATTTTATGTGAATCAAAATTTTTAAAAGCAATCTTTGACTGGGAAAAAAGTTTTAACGATCGGAGAAAATTTTAATAATTTGAGATGTTTATATCTATTTATGCAACTGCCTCGTGAAGTTGTCTTATAATACGGGACATTATATTTCAACCGAAAACAAACTAAATTAAGTAAAATTCCGGCAAAAAAATAATTTCCCAAATTATACACAAGGCTTATATAACTAAATTCCATTTTGGGAAAATTAATGTCCCGTGTATTTTCCTGATGTTCCAGGTCAATTATGAGAAATAATATCCCAGAAGATTTTCAACTTACAGGAAAATAAACGGGATAAGAATTTTCTCAAAATGGAATAAAATAAATAACAACATTTTTAATATATGTTGTTTTTTTCGAAAACTATAAAACTTAGTCCTATGCACCTGGAATTGGTTGCCATGGTTTCGGTGGGGCTGAATTTTCTTGATTTGGGGGCCTGTTAAACCTATAAATTGAATTACAGGGTAAACCAGAAAACAGCAGTATTACTGTCGTCTTCAACCTTTCTTTCATTGTGAAATTTCATTGAAACTTTAACTCTTATAACTGATATCACTTTTAATATGTTCCGGGAACATTGTTAAAGATGAATAGAACAGAAGTTGTAAAGACGACAATAATTCCATTGTATTCTGGTTACCACGTTATGATTAATAAACAAGGAAATCTGAATACATGAAATATACAGGATATAATTATGATCAATTATGTAAAGCGTTCACTGTCATTCCTTAAAGGGACTGTAAAAGAAAAATGAAATTGGGTATAGGCTGAAACCTGAGAATCTCAGGAGTTAAACGATACATATAAGACATCTATCTGATGTTCCTGTCTCGAGAAATTGATATAAATTCATATATATATGCAATTTTGTACAAAAGTTGTAGTGTTAAACAAATCATATTGTACTGAACATAGGATGGGTTCAGATCCATAGTCAGTTTATTTACCCTTGCTAATAGTCTTGCAAGGGGAAGAAATGATAAAAAAGTGTTTATTCATTTATTCTCTTCACATTACTCTAGGATTACACACTGAAAATATAAACAGTAATTAATTAGTTTATAATTACAATTGTTGATATTAATGAATAAGGTTAAAATAATTGAATCAGTATTATTTACCAAATCTAGTGCAGGAATCTTTAAAAAGGAGAAAAACCCTTCACTCTTTCCTTTCCTACTGAGGGAGGACTAAACTTGAATTGGGGTGGGTTAAGCACTATAATACTTATACAGGTAGTTACATAGTAAGGAATGTCGCCTTTCCATACAAAGAGTAATATTAACCTTAACACATATTCAAAAAATACGCAACCAATCTGAAAACGACGATATCCCACAGGAGCCTGAGAATCTCAGGTTTGCTCCTATTATATTTTTATTTTATTTTGCATTTTAATAGAATATAATTACATATAGTCCGTAAAGTCCGTATTACGTCACCAGAACTTCAGCCAATGGCAGTGCAGTATACTGGTCACATGATTTCTGTCTGTATCGTTGTATTTATATGTATCGCCTGAGATTCTCAGGTTTCATCCTATACCCCCTTTCATTTTTCCTTTATAGTCCCTTTAATTATTATTCATGTGTAACGAATAGACATGTTATAACGTAGAAAACTTAAGCATGTTATTTTGAATAATTAGTTTAATTGCCATGAATACTATAAACAAATTAAACCTATATGGATCTGTGTTGTGTGTAAGGCCCTGTGTTGGCACGGGTTCATCACTTCCTCCTTCAGATAATTCAAGCTTCACTGATTTATCAGTTCCAAACTCGCGGATTTGTTGAGTTGACTTTAACGGATTTTTCCAAGATTGTTTCCCGGATTTAACTGAATTTTCAGCCGAATATGTTGATGTGATAAACTCGTCCTCAAACTCTTTTTCTGGTAAAATTATCATTCAAATTAGACGTCAAATAAAAGTTTGTTTTTGCAATTATTTTTTCATTGTTTGTTTTTTCTGATGAACGTCTAATTATGATAATTTTTGCCTTTTTCTTTTTCCAGAAAATGTTGAATAACCACTTGATCATCGTAGGGAGGTCCTGGAGCACTCAGACTATCATATCGACCTCCACCGTCCTTTACACCATCAGAGCTACGACTGTTCCCACGATATGGTCGTTGACCTCCTAGTGCTCTATGAGGACGTGGTTTTCTGTTAAACACAAGAAAATAAATTGTTTGGATTTTAAAAAATATTTTCATGAAAATCTTTCTCTGAGCAGTTTTTTACAATTCATTAAACATATTTAACTATAAATCGTTACAAAAAATTATTTATTGTTAATGAAAAATTTAGAAGTCGCCAGATTAAAGCGTCAATTGATGACCAAATTTAATGAATATCAAGAAGTAGATGAACTACACAAACTAAGTCGAATAATGTCAGCTCAGGTTGAATTGGTTTAGATAAATGTACACCTCTTAGTATTAGGTTACCACTCTCAAAATTTAATATTTCAGTCAATATTTCAGAAAAATACACATAGCAGTAACAATATGCAATAAAATGTATTTTTTGCTATTGTAAAACATTTTTTTCTTTAAATTTCAATAATTTTATATTCGAAATGAAAAGTACTGGTTGTTCAAAAAACCATTGAAACACTTATGATTATTAAAAAATTGGGTTTAATAATTTTAAAATATTTAACTTTAACTTTAACTTTAACTAGGCTTTTAAGGCGGTGGCGCCCATCTTCTATTTAAATTGTGAACATGTTCTTTTTGTATAAAATTGTAAAACAAAAACAAACAAAAAATTTCGCGGATATTATATACAGAGAAGCAAAGTATGTATAAATAGATGGGCATGTTAAACAAAATGGTTTTAAATAGATTGAATTGTAAAGATTTTGGGACCCTCTGTATGCATCTAAACTGTACCAGCCTTAAACTTCAAACAAGAAAACAAATTGAATTTTTCAGATAAAAGTTTGAATTTTCTCTGGATATTCTCTGTGTTCCTTTTTGCATCAGATTTCTTTAGGTTTAAACCATCATTGTTGGGCAGAAACCTCGCATCTCTCACATTCCTAAAATATTAAACCTTTAAAAGAGACTGACGTTGTATTTCAAATGATATAATGCGGGGCATAGCTAATTCACAACGATACCCAGCATTTAATTCTTTATCTGATTAATAATATGGACGATATCGTCGTTATTCTATCTTGAAATGCAATGCAGTACGGTGGAACCCAACAATGTCAAGCCAAAATATTTTTAGGCCACACCTATATACACTAAAAGTTTTTCTTCTTACTTTTTGCTTAAAATTATAAAAAAAATGCAAAATGTAGATAAGAATTTTGTCTTTTAGAATAAAGAAATTAACACAAAATGAAGACTGACGGAGACGAGTTTGCAGCGCTTTTCTATGAACTTGACTGTTTCCTTTAGTCTAGAGCAGGAGTGGTGTTCTGATTTGATAATATGCTGCATTGAAATATGCTTAGTAGACATTGATCTCAACAGTAATTAAATGAACGTACAGATTATGTAATCTATAAACTCCAAAACAGCTGAACCGATCAGGCCCAATTTGTTAGTTGGCAATCTATGAATTCCAGATAATGTTTATGGCTGATAGAAATTGAAAAAATTTGGCGCCTGGAAAAAATGTCAACTTCTATTGTTTATGAAAATGCACCAATAATTAGAACAGAAAATCCGCAAAATTTTTACAGCAATTAAAAATTTTGATTTTCAAATTAAATTTTAAACACTTAAACTGTGAATAAAAAAGAGGGTACAGAGCCCCCTAAAAGCCTATTTGTAAAATATATACAGAAAAGTTCTGAGTGAGGATGTGAACCAGGCCCTTGATGTAAATAAATAGAACTAATTATCCAAGTAAATATATCAGTTTTGCATCACTGGGATTTAAACCAACTCTTCCTTTATAAACATACACAATCATCGTATATTAATAACTCCAGTAACTGTAAACCAGAGCTCTAAATAAGTTTTGTGTTAGATACTCTTAAACCCGATCGATCGTTTGATCTCGCTATCCCATTTAGGCTTGTTTGATTTAAGGAAGACATGCTTAATCTCAGTTATCCCTCTCTATAGGATACTATTAACGTGCAATGTGGATTTCTAGACGGGTTGGGGAGGGGGGGGGAGGAGTTGAGAGGACCGGTGGGGGGAGGGGGGAGATGAGAGGGGGAGGATAGAATAAATCTACTGCTCTGCAAAACCAATTCTTCAGGAAATGAACCATAAAACAAATAAATCCAAATTCATCTCTATCTTTGTGTTCCTGGTCTATAAGAATCTTAGTCAGCCATTTTTTATTTGGCCATTTTGTTTTCAACCATTTTATATACAGTCATGTAGTAAGGGACAAGAGTCTGTATAGGCTTTACAAGAGTCTGTATAGTCTGCTGTACAAGTACTCTACATAGTCTACTGTACAAGAGTCTGTATAGTCTTCTGTACAAGAGTCTGTAGAGTTTGCTGTACAAGAGTCTGTATAGTCTGCTGTACAAGAGTCTGTAAAGTCTTCTGTACAAGAGTCTGTAGAGTCTGCTGTACAAGAGTCTGTAAAGTCTTCTGTACAAAAGTCTGTATAGTCTGCTGTACAAGAGTCTGTATAGCTTGCTGTGTCTGCTGTACAGGAGTCACTTTAAGGTCTGCAGTAGAAGAGTCTGTATGTCTGCTGTACAAGAGTTTGTATAGTCTGCTGTATACAAAAGTCTGCATAGTCTGCTGTACAAGAGTCTGTATAGTTTGCTGTGTCTGCTGAACAGGAGTCAGTTTATAGTCTGCTGTATACAAAAGTCTGCATAGTCTGCTGTACAAGAGTCTGTATAGTCTGCTGTGTCTGCTGAACAGGAGTCAGTTTATAGTCTGCTGTAGAAGGGTCTGTATAGTCTGCTGTAAAAGAGTCTGGAGAGTCTGCATACAAGAACTCTATATAGTCTGTTGTACAAGAGTCTGTATAGTCTACTGCACAAGAGTCTTATAGTCTGCAGTACAAGAGCCTGTATGTCTCCTGTACAAGAGTTTTATAGTCTGCTGTACAAGAGTTTGTATAGTCTGCTATATACAAAAGTCTGCATAGTCTGCTGTACAAGAGTCTGTATAGTCTGCTGTACAAGAGTCTGTATAGTCTGCTGTACAAGAGTCTGTATAGTCTGCTATATACAAAAGTCTGCATAGTCTGCTGTACAAGAGTCTGTAGAGTCTGCTGTACAAGAGTTATAGTCTGCTGTACAAGAGTTTGTATAGTCTGCTATATACAAAAGTCTGTAGAGTCTGCTGTACAAGAGTTTGTATAGTCTGCTATATACAAAAGTCTGCATAGTCTGCTGTACAAGAGTCTGTAGAGTCTGCTGTACAAGAGTCTGTATAGTCTGCTGTACAAGAGTCTGTAGAGTCTGCAGTACAAGATTTGTATGGTTGCTGTACAAGAGTTTATAGAGTCTGCTGTACAAGAGTCTGTATGGTTGCTGTGCAAGATTCTATAGGGTCTGCTGTACATGAGTCTGCATAGTCTGCAGTACAAGAGTCTGTACACTCTCCTGGATATTTACCTGAAACCTAGTTCCTCAATGGACTCAACATAATAGTAATCCTCCTGAAAAAAAATAATGAATTAACATTGTTTTTAGCTTTATTTAATTTAATTAATTCTTGTGAGGAATAGGAACTGTTTTTCTTTGCCTTAAATATCGATAAAACGTTTTAAAATATCTTAAACGGGCGAAAAAAATATAATACCATATCTTTTGCACAATAAAAACAATCACAAAAAAGTTCGTGGGTTTAATAATATTTGTGCGCGCTTTTTCAAAACTTCACAAAGATCAATAACTTTTGGACACAACTTTTTCAATCTTGATCATCCAAAATCTTCCTTGGGGTCATGGAAGCTGAGGTCCCACACAAAATTTGGGCCCGATCGGTTTAATCGTTTTGACGTTTATTGGATACAAACGGACAAACAAACCCCCAAACATACTCAGACAAGCAAAGTATATATATATAGATGCAACATCTTAAATGGATTATCAGGAGACGTAATTTTAATTGACCCTCCAGTTATTGAGTGGCATCTTCGATTCACAACGTCACCGCGTTAAAACCTTTGTCTGATTTAAAAGGAAATGGATATCTTTGTTTTCTTCCTGGAAAGTTGATTATTTTTAAATTAGGCGTTGCAGAATTATGCTCCAGAAAGAAAGAAGAAAATATTTACAATTTTAAACTTTTTGAGAACGAATACTAACGTCATTTTTCTTAAAACGTTTGAAGGGTATTGATGTAAATCGGAATTAATGATTTTACAGCTGTTTGAACTTTTAAAACTTTTATTAACTCCATTTAAAACAATGAAGACAAAAAACATCATTCGTTTGTCTCGTTAGTGAGTCATTTGAAATCTTTTGAATATCTTTACAGAAAAAGTCTATAAAATTATAAGTCGTTTAATATTATATTTTATATAATAAGATTTGATAAGTTGCAAGAAGTCTTTGTATATCGTACCACCGGTTTAAATCTTGAATCACCGATTCAAGATTAAAGATTTAGGTAATTAATTGTAGAGTGAATCGGTTATTCAGGTTTTGAACCGGCAATAGGTAGTTTTGCAACTTCTTTAATTCATAAAATTCAATCTCTGGTGGACTTTTTTAAGAGGTAAAAATTGTGATGTGCTTCTACATTGGAAAATGATTTGTAATTTACAGTGGCGCACAATAATACCTAACGTTGAAGTGGAATGAGATATATCTGCTAGAACTATGAGACTGAAAACTAACGCAAGCATTCTATAAATAATTTTATTTGAAATTATTTTTCTCAAGTTAACCAACAAAATTCAAAAATAGTGTGAAAGACTTTATGTACTTTAACATTTGAAATAAATACATAGTCCGCAACATAAAAGTATAATATGGGAAATACGAAAAATCTTGTTTTGAAAGGATAAAAATGCGTTCCAAAGTTATGGATCGTAGACTTTTAACCAGCACCCCTAATTCATTGTGATCTTTTTTTGCTAATATATCTGCAAGCCTATCTTTTTTCTACTTAAAAGAATTTAGCACATTTTCCTGTTTTTATACTTGGATTTCATACATTTTTAAAAATCTACATTTTGTTTTAGCAGTTTTTTCTCCAAATTTTGATCGGCCATAATGATTTTCCTAGGCGTCTTACTACAAAAAATAGGCCTGATCGGTTTAAACTGGATACAAGCAAACTAACTTAAAAACACGGCGAAATTTTAAACTGGATACAAGCAAACTAACTTAAAAACATTGCGAAATTTAAAACTGGATACAAGCAAACTAACTTAAAAACATTGCGAAATTTAAACTGGATACAAGCAAACTATCTTAAAAACATTGCGAAATCCATTTAGATTAATTTTAATATTTCTTCTAAAATAATATTTAAAAATTATGATGCAACGAGATATTATTTAATAAAAATCTAAAATAAATAATTTTTTGTAATTGCCAAATTATTATTTTCTATAGTGGTAATTAACCAACCTTTGTTGTTGGGAGAATTTCTAAACAGCTTTGTTTTCATGAATCTCATTCATTCAACCCCACTCTTCACTTAGTAATGTAGAATTCAAATATCGTTTCAAATATTTGAATTGAAATCTAAAAACATGAATATTTTCAAAATAAAAAACATTAATGGAAATATCTGACAAGTCGTTAGAAATGCATATTATTATTGTATGGATACCTACAATGATGCTATTATTGTATAGATACCTACAATGATGCTATTATTGTATAGATACCTACAATGATGTTATTATTGTATAGATAACCTACAATGATGCTATTATTGTATAGATACCTACAATGATGCTATTATTGTATAGATACCTACAATGATGCTATTATTGTATAGATACCTACAATGATGTTATTATTGTGTAGATACCTACAATGATCTTATTATTGATTCACTTAACTATGATAATCTATAAAGTATTGCCAGGCTTGCATTGAAAAATGTAAGTTTGGTTTGATTGTTTGATCCGTTTATGTAGAATTTTGATAAAAATCATGCTTATTTTTAAAAGCTCTGTTTTAAACTAATTAAGATGGCGGGGATGGTATTGGTGGTAGAGAGGGGGGGGCCTCTGGCAGTACCACCCTCACTCATGTAGTTTTTTTGTAATATAACGATGTGATTTTTTCTGCTTTTCTTACTCTTTTAACCATAAATTGGTGTGTGAAGGGGGGTGATATGGTGCCCTCCCCCTCCCGCTGTTTTTTTCCAATTGAGATCTTTCTTATGAAGATTGGACGTGTATTTGAAAAATTGTGATCTATAGTCACCGGTAGTTGGGGGGGGGGGCGGTAACCCTGTGCCCCCTAGACAGGTAGTTGGGGCAAGAACCAAATTGTTAAATCATCGTGGATTGGCTTTCACCCCTTTCCCTTTTATTCTTTTTAGGATTTTACTGTACAATTTATAATTCTTCAATCTTTAAATTAACAGTTTTGCAGTTCAACACTTTTCCATTTGAAACGCAAAAAAGTATTACAGAGAAAAGGCGAAAAAAATTATCTTCAAATGGTTAAATTGTAATAGAACTGTTACATCAGCGTTAAACGGCTTTCGCCCCCCCCCCCCAGTTGTTTTTTTTGTAAAAATTATAATTGAAAATTATGTTTCTTTATATGACTCTCTATTTGAAGAGTTTTCTTAAGACAAAACTTATTTTTCAAAATCAAAATTTTACTAAATTATAGAAGAAGAAAAAATTAAAATGCAATCAAATAAATGTTTGAAGCACCGTAGAGGTCACTTTAAATTACATTGAAGCTTTTTTCTCAAAACCAATTTTTTGGTTGATTTCACTTCCGGGGTTCATGGCTACACACATACACACAATTTATTCGTATTTACGTTTATCAGCAATCCACACAAACTGTGCTCTAGTTATTATTGACGCATGACAATGTATCCCCGGCGACGCATCTCCAGCATGCGACGCATCTCTGACGCTTCTTCACGGTCGGGTTAATTTGTTTGAAATGGTGCAGATTTAATATTTTGATTAATTACATACAAGTTCTCTATATATACTTTATAGTGTATATATAAATATCTGTTTACATCCGTATTTAATGTGTACACTGTACAATTTAAAAAAATGTTTACAGCAATCTGAACAGTTATGAAAATTATTCACCTATTATTAAGACCAAGCTCATTGATTATTAAATATTTTCAAAAATGTCGGTGTTCAACTTCAAAGTACAGGGTGTCCCACGAAACATGACAGTTGAGGATTAGCTTGAAATGTCTTCTTCCATAATTTGCTATGCTGTTTGATACTAAAGAGACTAATAACATTTTATATTTAATTGACAGTTATATTATACAGAGCGTCCCATATCATATCAGATTATCTCCAATCTTTAACACCAAAATAAACCCTTAATACTCGAAAAACTTATCATTTTCCGCAAGAAAATTCTTATATAACCCTTATATTATCTTTCAAAATGATTCATTCTAATTAAATTTTCTAATTAGTCCCAAAAATCGTAATTTAGACCCGTTCTCGGTCTAATATGATGTGGGACACCCTGTAGTAAAATTTATTTCACAGTAAAATATATATGAGTTCAACATTTTTTTTAAAGGAATAAACTGCAAAAAGTTTTTAATATCTAATACAGTATGTGGAAGAAGACATTCAAAGCTATTCACCAAGTGTCATGCTTCGTGGTACACCCTGTATGTGTTCATTTTGGCCTTTCATTTGCTCTTGGAAGACAAACAATGAAAAAGGTTTTTTTTTGGGGGGGGGGAACAAAAATTCAAAATTGCAATTTTTAGTCGAAACCAACCCCGTGTAATGCTTTTGATATCTTAATATCTTATAGTTTGAAACTTATTATTAAAGGGAAAAGTCTTACTTTTTTTTAGCAGCGGAGGAAACAATGTAAAATATTCATGATTGGAAATGTTATTTGGCAGAAAATTGTCAATTTTGCTAAATGACTTTTGTTTTGAAAGTGGTGTTTGGGAATAAATATTTCTCTTCTTAAAGGCCAATGACAGTGCAGTATTGTTGTCAGGTGACAGCTACAGAAATCATGGGACCAGTATACTGCACTGCCATTGACTGAAGTTGTAATACGGACTATACGGACTGTATGAAATAATATTATCAATTACATCTATTAAAAATGCAAAAAAAAAATTACAATAGGAGCAAACCTGATATTCTCAGGCTCCTGTTGGGTATAATCTTTTTTTAATTGGTTGCATATTTGCTTAACATGATCTGTTTATACCTACTACTTTTATACAAAATTGTATATATATGAGTTTTTGTATAAATCAATTTCTCGAGACAGGAACATCAGATAGATGTCTTACATGTATCATTCAACTCCTGAGATTCTCAGGTTTTATCCTATACCCCCTTTCATTTTTCCTTTACAGTCCCTTTAATGTTTAATTTTAAACCCTTTAGCAAACTTCACTTTTAAAAATATATCCTAGATATTTTGTCACATCGAAATTACAAACTTTTTTTTGTAGTTATTAACAGAATTTTAAAGGGATATCTCACAATTTGTTCTACTCCTGATAATATCTTCGTAATTTCGAAATCATCTCGGTAGTTCGAAATTTCTAATTCGATATCAGGTTTTTTATCTTCCTCTAACTACACTAAAGTTTTGTATAATTTGGTAATTTTTTTTTAAATCATAATTTATAAACATCATTTTCTTCAATGTTGGCTGGAAACAAACAAACCAAAGATTACAAAAATGTTTTATTATTGCAACATATTACAAGAATGGAAAAGTAAGACGACATTAGCACAATAATTAAGTGCATTTGATGTTGTTACAAAGCAAATAGCTTTACTAGAAAGTAGAAACTTATTAAATCACTTATTGAGTGAAATGGGCTTATTTTCACTGCATAATTGCTGTCTTAATTCTATTGAACTATTTAAAGTCATAATTTGAGTCTAAAAGTCGTCTTCCTATTCCACAGTTTTCTGGTTCTCACTGTTACAACAATTTGGTAACATTATGAACATAACTATAGCAATTGCTGAGACACATGAAATTGTTTAAATAACGTAAGACGACTGCATTTTTTATTTCAGAAAGTTCAATTAATAAAAACCCTCCAAATGTGCAGTGTACACTGTACAATTAGATAAGCCTGTGAAGACTTCTGGAAACCTTACAACATGAAGATCCCAAGGTTGAGTTAAGTCTAACGCCTTAAAATTTGTCTTTCATTCGCAAAACTCTTGGGCAATTCTTGCGAAAGAAAGCGAAAATTTTGGCTTTCGTTACGCTACCTTTTTTCGATAAAAATAGCACTTTGCGCAATCATTTACAAACTTTATTTCGCGCAAAATTGCGCTATTCCACTTTTTCTTCTTCTTCTTCTAACTTTTGCGTTGAATAATAATCGCGAATTTTTGCGAGAATATTCTCAGGAAAAGGTTGATTAAAGGTAAGCTGTTTAAATTGGTTATTCATGAGTTTGTACTTTTTTCCATATATAATTGAAATAATTACAAAAGGAAATGATTACTTGCCTATAACTCTATTTTGCAACCTGGTATCAATTTTAAATTATCAAAATTCTAATTTCTGTTTTATTAGTTTTTGTCCCTCAATTTGAAGATTTTGAAACTAAAAGTAACCAATTCATAATTTCTTTTTAAATAAATTTTTAAATAAGCCTTCAGTTATTTGATTCTGTGCAGAAACTGTCATTTTGGTCAATTTGCAATAACTTGTTTTGGGTAAAAATTTACGTTTTTGCGCAAAACTTTGGGTTTTGGGCAAAACTTATTGCACTTTATGCCCAAAAGATGCGCGAAAATTACGCAAATTTTGCGCTAAAAATATGGTTATTTCATTCATGGAAACCCTATTTGAAGCTAATTATAAAACTATTTGATATAAAACAACATCAAATACAAATAAATTTGCTTAATGTACGCTTTAAGGTTGTTGAGTTTTATGTGTGTCAGCTGTAGGTAACCTCTTAAAAGTGATTATTTGCAAGTTATGCATGATTTACTTTTTCATAAAAAATGTATCCCACAAAAAAAGCTAAATATTGATGGCATTTGACAGAAAATTGTCAATTTTGCAAAATGACTTTCTTTTCAGAAAGTTGTTTGAGAATGAATGTTTCTCCAGTTTATAATTTGAAAACCCTTGAGTAACCTTGCTATAGAGAGAAAATATATGTTTTGGACGCTAAAAAGGACGATCAGTGTAAAAAATATGTTAATGCCTTTTTGTTATGAAAGCTAAAAAATGGTTTTAAAAAAACAAAAAAATCTTACTATTTGTTAAACATGTTTTTTACATTTTTGCGACTTTTTTGACATTTAAAAATATTCTCAAGCACCCGAATTATTGAAGTTTAGTATGGTCTAATTTTTTTCTTCAATGAGCTGGCCTTGAAAAATTGGAGTATAATCATGCATAGCTTTACTCTTTAAGTTCTTTTTTTGGAAAAAGCGATTTTTTCTTAAATAAGCGATTTTTTGTCGCCTAATCGGGTGCCATCCAACTTTTTAACCCGATTAGGCGACTTTTTATCGCTTAATTATGATTTTCTAATTTAGAGTGCTCACAGTATAAACATATGATTAAGACCCTCCCACAGACTTTATAGGGTTAATATTGATTTTTCTTTTCTTAACCCTTAAGGATGCCGGAGGAAGAAATTGACCCCCCCCCCTCTATTTTCTTCTTGTGAAAAACTGCAAATGTGCGAATTTCCTTTACAGGCGTCTGTGCAAAAAGATGAGCAATATTTCGTTGCAAAAATTGTGCAATCTGCTTGCTTTTGTTGTAGGTTTTGCAAAGTGCTGTAAAATGTTGAAATCCAATGATTGGAAGAAGGTCTAATATAGATTTAGTCTGGTATAGGTAAAATAAGGCAATTAGGCAGTATGCCTGAGGACTCAAGCAGTATAGTATAAAAGCCCAGCTTTTAGCCTTAAGTGAAAAAATATGACAGTAAGAAAAGCCAGAAAATTTGAGCTTCCTAGCACAAATAGTATTTGAGTTATCGCAAAAAAACGATCTAGGTCAAATTGACCCCCCCCCCAGCTAGGGTTAACACATGGGGTGTCCCAATAAACATGGGAATTCAGTGACGAATTCGATATCGTCTTTTTAAATAATTCTTTGATTTAGTATAATGATACCTACTGAGAAAGCTGTAATCTGTAAGAGTTTCGTCTGCTATGTTCAAAATTTGTTTGTTTATGCTTTGACTGCATACAGTTGTACTTAGTAAAATAAGAAAATTGCAGTATACAAACAGAGTAAACTTGTCCGTCTTCACTGTTCATCTTGCGGAGACATTATAGACACATCTTTACAGTCTTTTAGCCTTTTCTTAAAATAAACTCTAGCAGACATAATAATATTATAGCTTTTGAAATTATATGTATTATAATGCTAATTCATAACAAAGACGATATCGAATTCGTTTCTGAATCCCATGTTTTTTGGGACACCCTGTACGAACAGTTTTTTTATGTGGATGAACAACGACCGATAGGGGGGTGAACCAATATTTATTTTGGCTAAAGTCCAACCACCCCTCTCCGCCAGGCTTAACCTCTAGTCAGCCCAGTCAGGACAGTCAGCCCCCACCCTGCGTGAAACATAATTTAAATTATTAATCATTACACTATCCGCCTAAAGACAAACCCGGGGGGGATATCGTTTGCCGCGTTGAATTACAAAGCTGAAATTATTTGGCTTGGCGCCATGTTGAGTGTACAACCTCGTTTTATTATTATGAAATTAAGAGTAGAATCGGATAACAAAGATTCCTGTGTGAGAAACCCACTTGCGCGCGCTCACGCTAAAATGTAATAATTGAATAAATTTCAATATAGCGATTTGCGACGGATACTCTTGGCCAATTTCTTATACGTTTACCACTACTGTTACGCTTTACCAGAGCAGTGAAGATAGATAGATACGACCTATTTGTACCTATGGTAGCATAAATAGGAAATTAGCCAACTCTAATTGCAATCAAGTTATTCTCAATTTAACTGACATACCATCTTTATTTCATTTCAGATAATATCTACAGAATGGGGGAGAACAATGGGGAAGTTTTGTTTTCTGACTTGTCAGGTGAATAGCTTTATAAATTACAGTCTGTAACCTGTTTTCTGAGAAACATTTTGAAATTCAAGAAAAAAATTCCCCTCGGCCCTTTCATCTAACAATTTAGTTTGGGAGATTGCAGTTTTTATCAATTTTTAGATCTGTTCAGTTTTCAAGTGCAACGTTGCTAAATTGGTAATTTCCTAACATACGATTTTTGGACCCCCCCCTCCANTTGACAATGTGGCCGCAGCGCCCGGACCCCGAGCCGCGGTGCTGGGCCCCTAGCCTGTCCTAGCCGCGGCACTCGGCCCCCTAGCCTGATCTAGACGCAGCTTTCGGCCTAGAAAGCGTCTTAACCTAACCTAACCCTAAATATCTACTAATCTTATATATAAGACATGGAAATAATTGACCATGTGGCCACAGTGCTCGGTCCCCTAGCCTGTCCTAGCCGCAGCCCTCGGCCCAGAAAGCGTCTTAACCTAACCTAACCCTAAATGAATACTTATTTTATTGAAAATTGTTGTAAAAGTGGTCATGTACAAATTGAAAGGAGTGGACGGTGGTCCTAAAATCGTAAACTGGGACGGCACCGCTTAGTTTTGCTGATATTTCACGATTCCTCAAATTAAAATTGCGTAAGCATTTTCTTAAATATATCTTGCTGTTCAGGTGACGATTATCAGAAACCGACTGAAATAGAAAGTCTATGTCTGAACTGTGGTAAAAATGGAACAACTAAGCTTATGTTGACCAGGTGATAAATATATTAATTTCTCCTGAAGTTGCTGAATATGCTGAATATCTTAAACGCTTGATCTCGATCTCCGATATGGGCCTTTTTAAATCCGAGGATCAAAGCTTTATCTTCAAATTACAGTTATCACTGCAAGGTAGCGGAATATCAAAGAGAAAATAATTAAATCCGAAGGTCTGCTTATAAAGATGAAGATCAATGCTTGTTTTAACAAAAGTTCTTACTTTTGTTTAAATATCTCTCACTTCCCTAAAATTCAGCATTGTTCCAATTTTGTTAAAATATCCACTTTTCTTTTCCCCCTTTGCCCTATTATTCCTTAAGTGTTTATTTGTGCCTGTGGGGGGGTGTGTGTGTTTGTTAATTTTGAAAATATTAACATGAATCCACATTAAAAAAGTGTTTTTTGACATTGTAGCAGGTAATAATGTATCTAATCCCTTTTTTTTTTGAGGGGGGGGNAAAATTTATACATTTCTTCTTTCAATTTTGATAATTTTCTCTACCAGGATTCCTCACTACAAGGAGGTGATCTTAATGAGCTTTAACTGCGCTGAGTGTGGGTTCTCTAACTCAGAACTACAGTCCGGAAGTAAGATTCAGGATAAAGGTCTCAGGTAATAATTCACACCGGAAGTAAATACAGGATAAAGGTCTCGGGTGATAATTCATGCCGGAAGTAAATACAGGATAAAGGTCTCGTGTAATAATTCACGCTGGAAGTAAACTAAAGGATAAAGGACTAGGGTAATAATTCACGCCGGAAGTAAAATACAGAATAAAGGACTAGGGTAATAATTCATGCCGGAAGTAAACTAAAGGATAAAGGACTAGGGTAATAATTCATGCCGGAAGTAAACTAAAGGATAAAGGACTAGGGTAATAATTCACACCGGAAGTAAAATACAGTATAAAGGACTAGGGTAATAATTCACGCCGGAAGTAAAATACAGTATAAAGGACTAGGGTAATAATTCACGCCGGAAGTAAAATACAGTATAAAGGACTAGGGTAATAATTCACGCTGGAAGTAAAATACAGTATAAAGGTCTCGGGTGATAATTCATGCCGGAAGTAAATACAGGATAAAGGTCTCGTGTAATAATTCACACTGGAAGTAAACTAAAGGATAAAGGACTAGGGTAATAATTCATGCCGGAAGTAAAATACAGTATAAAGGACTAGGGTAATAATTCACGCTGGAAGTAATATACAGGACAAAGGACTAGGGTAATAATTCACACTGGAAGTAAAATACAGGATTAAGGTCTTGGGTAATGATTCATGCCGGAAGTAAGATAGATTAAGGTCTCGGGTAATAATTCACACCGGAAGTAAGATATAGGATTAAGGTCTCGGGTAATAATTCACGCCGGAAGTAAGATTCAGGATAAAGGTCTCGGGTAATAATTCACGCCGGAAGTAAGATTCAGGATAAAGGTCTCGGGTAATAATTCACGCTGGAAGTAAAATACAGGATAAAGGTATCAGGTAATAATTCACGCTGGAAGTAAAATACTACAGGATAAAGGTCTCGGGTAATAATTCACGCTGGAAGTAAAATACAGGATAAAGGTATCAGGTAATAATTCACGCTGGAAGTAAAATACAGGATAAAGGTCTCGGGTAATAATTCACGCCGGAAGTAAAATACAGGATAAAGGTATCAGGTAATAATTCACGCTGGAAGTAAAATACAGTATAAAGGTATCAGGTAATAATTCACACCGGAAGTAAAATACAGTATAAAGGACTAGGGTAATAATTCACGCTGGAAGTAAAATACAGTATAAAGGACTAGGGTAATAATTCACGCCGGAAGTAAAATACAGGACAAAGGACTAGGGTAATAATTCATGCTGGAAGTAAAATTTAGGAAAAAGATGCTAGGTAATAAAACACTCTAATAATAAACCGGAAGTAATCTCATTTGACATCAATTTGATTTAAATCTGTAACTTGTTTAAATAAAATCTATTTTTGATCCATTAAATGTTAATATTTTCACTTTCCAGTTCGTAATATTGACCATTAAACAGGGGTGTAAATTTTCCTTAAAAATCATTCCCCCCTGTAAATTTATGCAAATATTCTTTTTCTAAATAAATAATTGAACATAAAGTGGTTATCTCAATTTTTCTGTTTGTTTATTTTTATTGTCCTATCATAATTTATGAATATTTTGACCGATTTGCCTCAAATTTGTGATCAGTGGCTCTTCAGACAATAGTTGATGCGCTTAGCTTGGTTGTTCGTTTGATTTGAATGGTTTAATTGTAGGATCGAGGTAAGCGTGAGTACCCTCCGGGATTTATCCCGCCAGGTAGTTAAATCTGATTACGCTACTCTGATTGTACCGGAGATAGACCTACAGATACCTCCGCTATCTCAGAAGGGAGATATTACAACAGTCGAGGGAATACTCACCAAGTAAGAGAAGACATTTTTATCAATGTTTACTTATAAAACGGAAAATGAACTATTTTCTGTCACTTTTGCTGGGCGGTCTGGGGGGTATTGGGGCCTCTAGCAGATTTCACTTCCTTATGAATCCTTATGCTGTAATGTTTTTTGAATGTTTAGATATCGCGATTTATATAAAAAGTAGTGGAAAATGTGGTAAAAAGAACATTTTAGAATCAACACTCTAAATGGCGTCCTAAGATCTAAGAAAGTTTATCTCGTGTTCTAACATTTTCTCTTCGCCTGTTTTGCCATAGATTTCTACAATTGAATTAATAGCATTGTTTAGATGAGAATACCATATAACACTTAAAGGGAGAGACGGCTAGGTACATATTTCATCCTAGAGTGCAGTATTTTAGATTATATTTTTAGGATTCATTTGATAATATTGAGAAAATACTGCGCCTTTGGCTCAAATATGTTACCTAGCCGGTCTCTCCCTTTAAAGAAAAATGTTAACGATTTTTTGGACATTCTCTTTAATGTTAGGACTATTGCTGGTCTGGAGCAGGATCAACCTGTTCGTAAATATCAAGATCCAGAAGGATACAATCAACTCCAGGAAATATATCCATTCTTTCTCTAATGTACTTTGTTCTTCTTCTTGTGTCCTCATTGCTTTATTTTCAGAGATTTTTGTTTTTGATCCTTTTCCACAGTAATACGTTTTCTTTCTTGTATTTTACTAGCATTTTTTATCTTCATTCTTGCTATTTTCTTTTATCTTCTTATTCTTTTAATACAATTTCTCATGAAATATTTAAAATTTAAAATTCTTTATCCAAAAAAGTCAAAAGAACGGCTTCGAGGCCACGGCTACTGCCACTCGGGCATAACAGTATAATTGCACATGTCATGTTTACTCTGTGATCCACACACTCAGAAAGGAGGCAGAGGGTCGCCGGGAGGGGTGGTTACCCTATAACAGTTGTGTTATTAGTGAGTCTGATCTAAAAAGCCTGCCTGTTAATTTTGGCTTAGAACTGGACTTCATTTTATTAAAAAGTTGTCAACTGATCTGTTCAATATCAAGGGAAAATAATAATAACCACAAGATAATATATTTTTTTTTGAGAAATATATTTTGAATATGGATTGTTAAGGAGTATGTTTTGAAAATAAAAAATATCCTGGAGTTGAAGCAGAAGTTTAGGTGAGATATTTCAAGGTATCTTACTTATAAATCAAACCTTTAAGATAATCTTAAATATTTTAATTAAGTGAATTGAAGTCAACCTCCATGGAAAGATGGCAATGTCTGATTTACAAATTCCTGGAAAATATGAAAAAGTCGTCTTCATTACCAAAAATCCTCGAAACAGGAATAAACGTTTTTGTAAGTAACTCTCGGATCATAACAATTAAAACATATTATGAAAAATCAACTATATATAAATGGGCGAAAGATAATCGATGACTATAGGTTGTAATTTCTGAATGATTTGTTTGAAATTAAATTGATTTTTTTACGGTCTAAGTCGTATGTTGAAATTTTCTCAATTTGTATGGACGCCATGTTATTCGGTATGAGACGTCTTTAACAATGTTCTCCTTATAGACGCAACAAATAGAAGTAAGATTAGTGGCGATCAAAAGCGCTTTTTTATCGCATTTAGCCTATACCCCCTTTCATTTTTCGTGAACACTCCCTTTAATCAGACAAAGCTTTAAAGGGTACTGTTGTGAATCAAGCAATGCAATCTTTGCATGGAGGGTCACTTAAAATTACGCTTACAGTCCCTTTAAAATTTCAACTTTTCTGAAGGGAAAATAATTGTTTAAGCAAGTTTAAAGTTGTGTATAAAACAGAGCTGCTTCTATAGGAATGTTTTGTATTATTTCTAATTCTATATTTCAGGATAATAGTAGATGACCCAAGTGGAAATAGTTTTATTGAAAACCCCTTTGCACCTGCTGTAGACCCAACTAGGATAGAGAGACATTATGTTAGAAGTACAGAACAGGTATACAGTACACAGTACACACTTAGAAGTTCAGAACAGGTACACATACACACAACACAGTACACACTTAGAAGTTCAGAACAGATACACATTTCACAATTAGCTTAGAAGTACACCCTTAGGAGTACAGAACCGGTACAAAATACACATGGCACCTTCAGGAGTACAGAACAGACACAGTACACAGTGCACACTTAGGAATATAGAGCAAACACAGTACACAATACACACTTAGGACTGCAGAGAAGGTACTAAGTACATAGTACACACTTAGGTGTACAGAGCAGACACAATACACACTTGAAAGAACTCCTAATTATTTATTTGGATCATGAGTTAGGTCTGTATTAAATCTATCCTAACTCCTAATGATATATTAGGATCATGAGTTAGCTCTGAATTAAATCTATCCTATCTCCTAATGATATATTAGGATCATGAGTTGGGTCTGTATTAAACCTATCCTAACTTCTAATGATATATTAGGATCATGAGTTGGGTCTGTATTAAATCTATCCTAACTCCTAATGATATATTAGGATCATGAGTTGGGTCTGTATACAGCTAAGGAGTTAAGAACCGAAGAGGAGGTTAATGCCGATAATGCAGTCGGGGATGCGCTCACAGGTATCTACTTAAATCAAAGCAGTGTTAATACTTTTCTGCCTATTTTTCTTCTTCTAGCTTATTCCTTTTTTTTTTACAATGTGAGCCCTTCGTTTTCGTAAAAATCAGCAAGATGGAAAGCAGAAGATAAAGTTTTTTAAACGTTTCTCTATTTTGAGATATAAGGATTTGTTACTTCTTTTCAAAACTGAAAACAATTTTCGAATCGTTTTTGAAAATTCGTTTTGGTTTTTATCTTTGATCAAAGTAAAATATTTGCTTTGTGCATTAAAACAAAATTGCTTAATATGCAAATTTGAAGTAGGACTTTCATCTCAGATTCTTTTGAAGCCTTTAAAAAGCCTAAAATCTTTTAGTGTTTAAAAACGGGCCTCAAAATGATTCTGTACCTTCAAATAGTTTGGCCCCAACCTTTATATAGATATAGAATAGATTGCATACTTATTTTCATATATTTAATGTTTTTCAGAAGAAAAGCTGAAAGAAGAAGTTCTTCATTTTAGCACAAACTGTCCAGACTGTAATGCCCCAGCACAGACAAACATGAAGGTCAGTTGGTCAAGTTTTAATAAACTAGAGGCCGAATTTAAAGAACTTAAGCCGCGGCTCAAATATGGTTAGTTCCACTTAAAATCGTATTCAATGTTTCAAGATTAAACCGGCGCTCAATTGAAACCGGTTTTTGGGCGATTTGAGACGCGGCTCAAATTCACTAAATTCGGACTCAGGGTTCTTTTTAAATCTTTAGTCACCTCGCGCCCTTTTAAATAGTAATTATTGTAGCTTTTAATTTGTTCGTTTCTTCGGACATCTTATAACATTTTTTCAAAATAAAAATCGAAATTTAAATTTTCAAAATTTCAAACCGTGTCAGTTCATCTTCCCTGTGACCCCCACACCTAAAGTTTAAACCATTTAATTTCAAAAATTAATGATTATTTTATCTATGATTGAATCATTTAATTCTAAATTGTATTAATAAAGGGGTAAACGCAAAACATCTTATTTTCTTTTTTAAAATTCGGTGATATGATGGATCAAACCTCTGTAGAGTAATAAAAGTAGATGTTAGGTCCACATTTTTTGAAAATATATTTCGGTCTGACCCTCGTCAGTTCTTAAGATTGTTTCTGTCACAATGCCGTCTTCCTTTCAGATAATAAGTAATTGATATATATAATCGTTACATAATAATTTTAATTTTTTTCCCCAAGCAAAATACTTTTTAAAACATGGGTCACTTTCATTTTTTTTTAGTTTTTAATTTTAAAATTTCCCGGTATTTAGGTCGTAATTTTTCCTTTGTTTAGATTACAAATATTCCGTTCTTCAAAGAAGTTGTGATAATGGCAACTATATGTGAGATGTGTGATTCTAAAACCAACGAGGTGAAGAGCGGAGGAGGAATAGAACCTAAAGGAAAAAAGATCACTCTCAAGTAAGTTAAGTTTTGAATAAATCTTTTATAACCCCTTCTAATTGTTGTCCTTAAGGAATAACGATGTATCCTGCCCAAGGAGTATGGAATAGAAGGGAGATACAACTGACGCGGCCCGCCCTACCATATGATAAAACATTCTTTGCAGACGGTACTTCATTTGAATAAGAAATATTTGTCTGATGTACAGTTACGCGTATACAATGATAAAATAACTTATTCTGAATATTTCTTAAACATATGGAGTACCGTCTGCAAAGCATGTATAATCATATGTTAGGGCCGCCCGCGTCAGTTATATCTCCCTTCTATTCCATACTCCTTGATCCTACCTTTTGCTGTCTTGTAATCCCTTAAAACATAAATTAATTTATCGATTTATTCTACCTTAAATTGTCTTAATATTTTATTTAGGGAACCCTTGAGCACCTCAGGGGTAACAAAGGCTAAACAAAATTTTTTGTTTAAAATTCGTTTGATTTCTTTAAAATTCGATTTTTTTCAATTCCACGACCCCGGACAACGCCGGGCACTTCAGTTAGTTGTCTAATGACCCTTATAATCTTCGTGATTGATTAATGATCCCTCCGGGCTATTGTATAGTGTTCTGATATAATCCACCCAAACTTCTTTGCTTAATGAAAAATGTTTCCTCCTAGCTGTAATGTTTAAGTAATCCCTCTAACGTCTTTACAGACAAGTGACCACTCCGACCTGTTGCCTCCGAACTTCTGTTATCTAGGATAATTGTTCTTTCCGATTATAAATCTCTCTGACCATCTGATTTTTAGGATAAATGATCCCTCCGACCTAAACCGTGATCTGCTGAAATCTGAAACATGTTCTATCTCTATACCAGAGTTAGAGTTCGAGATGGGAGGTGGAGCATTAGGTTAGTTTTACTTCAAATTATGGGGTTTAGGGACAGTAGGCGTTTAATTTAAGTGAACTTCCATTTATAAAGCGGTGTGTACGATTCACAACAATACCTTTTAAACCTTTGACTTATCAGCGATCAATGAAGACGGACTTGTCTGTATTTATCTAAGTAAAGCTTTTAACTGCTGGAACACGTCAGCTCTGTTAAGTTCATAGTGTACGCATCGAACACTCCAGGCAATTGGCAATTTGAACACTGTTTTAGATCATTTAGGATATTCCCCTCCTTCCCTGAGAGTCAGTAAAAATCGCGCATACGTTCCCCTTAACTAATAAAGAACAAATACTTCATCATTACTTAAGTTTTAGACTTCCATGCTGCTGTGTTTTGGTATTAAACATATATTTTCTGGAGAGAACTGGATACTTCATCGTTCATAGAATAGATTTAAACTTCAATCAATTAATCAATTGACCAATCAATCAATCAAACAATATCAAGTAATCTTGATTAGTTGTTGCATTGTTGCATGGATACATGTCCCTCTAATTTAAGAAAAATATTTCCAAGGAGTCTTTATTTTTTGTATTTTAACTATTTTGTACTTGAATGGAAGTTTTAAATTAAACGGGATCAAAAATCATTCTACTTTGAAAAAAAAACAAAAATATTATGTAACAAGATTTTGTTTGTTATTTTTTTTTTTTAGGAGGGAGGTTTACTACAGTAGAAGGATTGATGCACAACATGTTGGAGGAAATAGAGAAGAATTCTATCTGGGGAGCTGGGGATGCTACTGCTCCTGATGTTGCTGAGAGAATGGAAGCTTTTAAGGAAACCCTGCTTTTACCTGACAACAATTTGATCCTGACTCAGTTCTTAATTTTATCCTTTAAACATTTTTGACAAGAATTTCGTTTTCTGTTCACTGTCCTACTGCACACATTTAATTTGAACTAATCTAAAAAATAAGACCTGCAAAGACTCCTATCATGCAATATCAACAAACGAAAACTTTTTGTAATTGTCCGTACATTTAAAAGTTTCCACCTGAGGCTAGTTAACATATGTCATAGAGGGATAAAAACATTTCTTCAGATTAATTTACAATTAAATGTCTTATTCTATGCAATCTAAGGGTCTTCACACTATTGGAGATCGTTGAAATGGAACTTCACTAAGGAATCTTTTGCCAAAATTATTCCAAATCTACTTTTAAAATAGAATATAGACAAAATTTCAAGTGACATTTTTTATTCAATGGCAGGTTCTATTCACAATGATGCCATTAATAGCGTTCGAAAAATGTTGTGATTAACTTTAATTACTAGCGCATTTCTGCTTCAGAAACATTAGTGTAAATTGTCGGAGTTAAACAATTTCCAAATCAAATAACGAAATTATTGATCAGCTATAGATGTAAAGTTGGTATCGTTGTAAATCGGACATGATTAAAGGGCCACTTGAAATTACACGATAATCCCGTTAAATCATAAACTAACTGATAGTATTTCTTGTAATCTGTTTAAAGGCAGGTTTGTTGTTTAGAAGCGTATGCATGAATGTATTGAAGCAAAGGAACCGTTTACAATAATTCTAGATGACCCGGCCGGGAATTCGTATCTTCAGGCAGGATTATAATTCTTCCCACATTTTATAATTTTTAAGATTTTTCCCGCATTTTATAATTTTTATAATTTTCATGATTTGCCTGGGTGCGATTAAACAATTTCAGAAAACCGAGCAATATTTTTCGAAAGTAGAACATAATTCTGCAATCTGCATTTATTTCACATGTTTTCATGGCTGACACCATGGACTTTATCATTCATGGAACTATAATGTAATACCTGAATTTGATTTCAGTTTTTAGATTACTAGTGGCCGAATTTAAAGAATTTGAGCGGCGGTTTAAATTTAAGCCGAGGCTTAAATATGGTTGGTTCCACTTAAAATTGTGTAAAATTTGTTTCAAGATTTAAGCCGGCGCTTAATTTAAACCGGGTATTGGCAGATTTAAACCGCGGCTCAAATTCTTTAAATTCCATCTTAGGATAAATCTTTGGTGCCGCGCAAATTATTTTGAGTAAACCCCCCTCCCCCTCCCCCGGGTCCCGTTGATACATTTTAGAAAAATATCCGCCTGTAGAACATTTATGCGCCGGAAGAAGACCCTAATCTACATATTCTGGTGAGATTCATTTCAAAATTTAATCTTTCTAAAAGACGACATTTATAAACTTGAATTATTCGAAAAAATAACGTTTGATGATGTTTCAGGATTATGAGAGATCGTATGAGCAAAATGAGGATCTCGGCCTCAATGATATAAAGACGGAGAATTATCAAGAAAACGCGTCCTAGTTCATCTTGATCCTGATATCCGAAATTCCAATTTACTCGATTTCCTGATTTCCTGCATTGCTGATATCTTGATTTCCCCGATTTTCTAAATTAAAATCCTGAATTCAGATTCTTAGTCTTTCCAAAAGAAAAATAAATTTTTATCCATCAACCATTTATCTGTGATGTTTTAAGGATCAATTTACAACCCACTCCACAAATCCTTATTGAAATTTGATATCTTAATTTTTTTTTAACATTTTCAGTAAGAATGAACTGCTTGATTGAGTGATGGAGCTTGAATGTTGGGGAGAGGATTGGGGTATAACCTCCGTGGACCCGGAATGTTTAAAAATTCTCGCCTTTGCCAAATTTTCTGGAGCTCCACTAGGGATTTGATAGATAATAACTGTTGAACCGGAATTATTCAACTTTGTCCATGATATGAGGAGAACATTAATTTTATAATTTTGGTTTATTTTTATCCATTATTGTCCAAAATTGGACCCTAAACGGACCCTATATTGGACCCTAAACGGACCCTATATTGGACCCTAAACGGAAATATCCGCAAAATTTTATCATTAATGTTTAATCCCAGCAAACAATTTATCAATGGTTCCAGTACAAAAATCAACAAACAATCCGTTCTGGAGTCCCAAGGGGAATCTACCAGTTTTCCGACACAATGGCATAGTTTTGACAGATTTCCTCGCTGTAGCCAAGCATCTAAAATCCTGTAACTACAGCGCAGACTACAATCTCACCAATAAACAGGTTGGTGCGTGGGGGGACTGTCCTAGTTATTTAAGACAGCCCGATACGTAAAAAGCAATTTAAATAAATTTAAATAAATTGCTTAACAATTCGGCATTTGAATCTGACGGCGTCGACCAGCACTCCTGATTGATTAATTGGATTAATAGCTGATTGATCCTTTTATTGGCTAATTGATAGATCGTATTATTGACTGATTGTACGATTGTTTAATTGATTAGTTGATTGGCTGATTGATTGATAAATAAAACTTGTGTTCATTAAATTATTTAAGTCTTTTCCAGATCTCAGAAGCTGGTGCATTTATTAACTTGATGGAGGAAAGCTTGAAGCCAGCGCTACAGGAATATTTACATGCTTAAGACTACAGGGAGATTGGACGTATTTCGTGTACTCATGACGGGGAAAATGTGAAGGATTTTTTACAGCATGTTAGCTCGAAGATTTGGGGAAAATTGCATAATTATCCTAAACTTTTTATTTTCTTCATCAAATATATTTTCAGTTCTACGAAATAGCAATACAAACATTACACCAAGAGTGTGGGGGACCTGTTTTAAAAAATATGAAATTTCTATTTCTTCTTTCCGTACAAGATTACAATTAAATTACTAAAACCGCTTTGGTAAGAATCTCTCAGTGTTTGGAATAAGGTGTCTCGGTGTAAATAAAGAAGATATATTGAATTAAGCATGTGTTTGTAGTATATCACGTGGGTCGACACTAAAAACCATATAAATCTCACCAGGTTGATAGATAGATACATATTCGATAAACTTAAGTTGAATTTGGACTTTTTTATAAAAGGGACTGATAACGTAAGTTCAACTGGTAAGGAGTTAATTTCCCAGTTCACAAGGGTAATATGATCTATTTCAGTTTTTCACATGAAATTTTTTTTTTTAATGTCTCTCGTACTTAATTATCTATCTATCCGTCATTAGAGTTTGGTTTGGTAAGCACCTACCCTTCCCCTATGGTCTATTTTACCCAAACAGATATGAAAAGGTAAAAATAAGATTGAATTTTTTCTTCAAATTTTTTGATAATTTTTTGATTTAATTTCAGGCTGCTGTTAGATTAATAGAGAGTCTCTACCCGCAGTTTAGTGAATTTGGTGAAATAGGTAAAATCCTCATATTCATAATATTTTCAAACAAACAAATGTTTGTAGGGCCGACGAAAAACATCAGGATAAAGTATTTACTGAAGAGTAAAACATAAAAACGTACCTCCGATTATGTTGATACGTTCGTATTTTTAAAACCCCTCAAACTATTTTTTATCTCCTTTTTACGTTTTTTCTTTATTTTGAACAAACTTCATTTTATAATCAATTATTTTCAACAATTACCCAAAGTTTAATTGATTTTCTAGGAAATGATACCGAGGTTGAGACTGCTGTTTATAAAGCTGCCCAGGAATGTTTAACTCTTCTCTCTAACCGACTAGCTGATTCACATTATCTGTTTGGAATGTAAGTCTTTCTAATCGTCTAACTGATCTCATTATCTGTTTGGAATTTAAGTCTTTCTAATCGTCTAGCTGATTCTCATTATCTGTTTGGAATGTAAGTCTCTCAAACCGACTAGCTGATTCTTATTATCTGTTTGGAATGTAAGTCTCTCTAACCGACTAGCTGATTCTCATTATCTGTTTGGAATTTAAGTCTTTCTAATCGTCTAGCTGATTCTCATTATCTGTTGGGAATGTAAGTCTCTCTAATTCTGATTCTCATTATCTGTTTGGAATGTAAGTTTCTCTAATCGTCTAGCTGATTCACATTATCTGTTTGGAATGTAAGTCTTTCTAATCGTCTAGCTGATTCTCATTATCTGTGTGTTATGTAAGTCTCTCTAACCGACTAGCTGATTCTCATTATTTGTTTGGAATGTAAGTCTCTCTAACCGACTAGCTGATTCTCATCATCTTTTTGGAATATAATTTCAACCACTCTAATCGTCTAGCTGATTCTCATTATCTTTTTGGAATATAATTTCACCCACTAATCGTCTTGCTGATTCAGATTATCTGTTTGGAATGTAAGTTTTTACTTAAAGTAAATATATAAATATATCACACAAAAGCCGTTTTCCCCCTAGATAAGTAGGTTCCTATCCATTTTCTCTGATAGGTAATTTCGATCAGATTAAAAAAAAAACTTGTTAAGGTCAGCTAGCAGTGTAGACGCTGTGATGTATGGTTATCTAGCTCCTCTACTCAAGGCTCCGTATCCCAACAATACCTTGCAGGAATACATCTCATCGCAACATTTTATTTTTGTTACTTAAAGTCGTGTTCTGACTAGCTCAGAGCTGATTAGATCTAGACATTTTCTATTTATATACACCTATATTCTACAATTATATATTGCTAGAGAGATGTATTTGTTTAGAATTATTTAAAGAACTGTAGTAATCTTGTCAGATTTGTAGTTAGAATATCACAGAACTATTTTCCAAAGGTAAGTTCTTTAGGAAATTAAATTAGATAAGATTTTTGAGTGCTTTGTAAATGCAAACTCAGTTTTTTGGACAGTAAATTTTTCATCAATAGACTGAACTTATTGTTAAAGTTAATGATAAACAGTATTTTCTAAAATGCACATTGATTGACTTATTCACGGAACCAATAAATATAACGCGAAAACACGATACAAGATACTTTATTGAATAATAAAATGAGAAATGTGGTGAAATGGTAAACTCTATATACAGCTGCACACCGATCAGCTCCACCTCCGCTCTAGCATGTTCGTCCTCCTGACCATCTTGTGCAGATCCTTGAACCCTAGTTTCATGATTTCCAGGTGGATTCCCGGGACAGGAATTTCCAATCAAACATGGGCCTCATTTTGACGGGAATCTATAAATATCCTTAAACACTAAACAAGAGGGGAGAACGGGGTATATATTTCCCCAACAAACTATTCCAAATCTAAAAAAACAAAAAATCTTTTTTCCGATATCTTCTACATTATTCATAACAATTCATACAACGTTAAACAGTTAATATCTCAGATTCACAGCCGAAACTTTTACTTTCAAGCGATCAAGTACTTATTCCATAGAGGACAGTTTTTTGTCCTCTGATTCTTCAAGGTTTCCAGAGATATCCCAAAGATGCTGTCAAAAGGAAGATGCTGATTAGTATTCCACCAAATCATTAACAACACAAAAGTTCTGGACCCATAATTAAAGAATTAATACAAAACCACCATTTTAAACATCTGAGTATACTTGTGATAGCCCGGATGGATTCCAGGCCGCAGACTGCATGTTGATGCTCTGCACCCTGAAGGCGGTCTGGGGGTTCCATGTCGGGTTCCCTTTCAGATCCTATAATTATTCTTATTCTTATAGACAGAACCACTAGAAATCTGTAGACCGTCATGGGCTCAGCTCAGCTAATAACTGAGTTATGAACTTGAAGGGATGGACGTTTAAGCCTGATCACTTCGGATCTAGGGTTTATTATTTATTATTATTATTCAGGTTGTGAAAAGCTTTGATGAGAGGGGACACCAGGAACAGAAATCAGAACAAGGGAGCACTGAGGGTAGGCAGGTAAACAGATTACACTTTATAATTTTAAGTTTTTAAAAAGTTAGGTTAAGTGTCCTAGGACTGAATTTAAGAACAATTGAATAAGGTCGCTAAACTTCTACTGCCGATTCAAATTTGAATTGAAAGATATTCAAGAAGTTTGAATCGGTGATTCAAAAGTTGAACCAGCGGTAGTTTAGCGACCTCTCCAATTCATTATATTCGTTTCCAGGGCTATCCATTAAAATAGTAAGCTCCTAGATTCACAACTGAGCAGTTAAAATCTTTATCTGAGTAACTACAAGGAAAATATGGCTGATTTTCTTTCCGTAGATCAATAGGGCGCGGGTCGGAAACAAAATAAGTAGGATCGCCGCGTCATTTTGTGACTTCATTTGCGGGTTGGAAGAAAACGGGTGCTGGCTACCTTCTTCCCTCGTCCAATAGGATCAGTTTTCTTCCCTTCCCCTCAAGAACGTCATTCAAAGAAGGAAAATATTTAAAGATTTTTAATAACTAATATTTTTTATACTACATAGGAAGCAGAGGAGAGAGAAGCGGAGTGGCCAAACCAAACCAGGAACAAGGTAGAAATTAAACAAAACAAAAACCAAGAACAAGGTAGGAAATGAAATTACAAAACAAACCTGGATCAAGGTAGAAATTATACAAAACCAGGAACAAGGTAGAAATTAGCCAAACCGAACCAGGAACAAGGTAGAAATTAGCCAAACCACACCAGGAACAAGGTAGAAATTAAACAAACCAAACTAGGAACAAGGTAGAAATTAAACAAACCAAACCAGGAACAAGGTAGAAATTAAACAAACCAAACCAGGAACAAGGTAGAAATTAAACAAACCAAACCAGGAAAAAGATAGAAATTTAACAAACCAAACCAGGAACAAGGTAGAAATTAAACAAACCAAACCAGGAATAAGGTAGAAATTAAACAGAACAAACCAGGAACAATGTAGATATTAAACAAACCAAACCAGGAATAAGGTAGAAATTAAGCAGAACAAACCAGGAACAAGTTAGAAATTAAACAAACCAAACCAGGAACAAGGTAAGAATTAAACAAACCAAGCCAGGAACAAAGTAGAAATTAAACAAACCAAACCAGAAAGCAACCCCTTCTATTTCAGGATGACGAGGATGACTTCGCCGAGGATGAGGATGTTGATGAATGAACAGGGTGCACGTATCCAGGATTTTCTTGTTTCTAGAGATGCAACACCTCATCCCTCATCCCTTATCCCTTATTCTTGAATGCAACGAAGTGTGATGATTTCACGAATCTTTATCGCGATGGAAGACCTTGTTCAGATAGTTTTCTATTTCAGAATCTGCAATGTGAAGATGGCAACATATATTCAGAAGATTAGTAACGTTAGAATATCTATACCGAGGTATATTCTCACATTCTTTGCAACTTATCACTCGCCACACTTCCCACAATTCCTGATTTCTAATTCCAATATCTGACAGTTTAAACCTTTTACAATCTAATCTAACCAAATTCATATTGGAAATATCAAAAGTCTACGACATCCGAATTCAAAGAAATTATGGTTAGAAAATCCAGGTTTGTGGCAGCGCTGTTACTTTAACTTCAAGGAAAGTTTTGAACAGGTTTACAGAAAGAGTAGTGGAATCAGCCCTAACTGTAAAATTACATTCATCACTCATTTATGAATTTCTATTTCCTAAACTTGTATCAGTCAACAAAAGCATTTTTCATATTCAAATTCTTTTTAAGTTTCTTGTTGAGGATGATTATTTTAAGTCCCAATATTCGAACCTGTGTTGTTCAACATTTTTACCGTTATTTTAAGAATTTAACTGTTAACATTTCCCCAGTCTCCCAATTTTAAAGATTAACTGTAGTTTTTGCATAATTTTTTTATTACATTATTTCTTTTTCACATTTTCATTTATCATTTAATATAAGTTATAATTATTTTACATGCCTTATTTATTATTCGGATGATTGCTTAATCGATTTTGTAAGGTTTTAACGTTTTTAGATCTGAACTTGAGAGTGGAGAGATGACGATCCATGATGGATCGCATCACCATCTCCAGCTTGATACAAGGAACAAATCTACAATTCTGAAATTGGAATGAAAAATAGAAAATGAGGAATTTTGATTTAAGAAATCTGCGAAATACTACAGTTTAACCTGTAACCATCGGAGGCATTAAAAAATTGTCAAGACGACATTTTATAAAATCTTTCGATGACTCCGAAGTTCTAGATTAAACTGTAGTTTACTTAATACATTAAATACTCTTAAAACTAAAAGAATTTTTTTCCATTGTTATAAAGATTTCGAGATTTTCTTTTATCATTTTGGATCCCTCTGGCTTCATTAAAAAAATCTCTTCGTGAAAAAATTGCAATAGAATTGATAATAACAAAATGATATGGTGATATTTATTTCACATCCGGTTATAATTCAAATGTTTTTATTGTTTGTGGTTTAAAATGAATTTAGTTTGTTTGCGCCCCCAGGAAGCTGGATCTATCCAAGACAGATTTTAGCGGGGATTCGGAATCAGAGACGGAGCGGATCGTGTTCAACGAGAACCCGGTAGCAAAGTTTATTGAGGTCGACGGAGTAGGGAAGGTAAGAGAACTGGTGACGTCATGTCAAGTTAATTAAGTGGGGCTTACCCGATTAACAACGGTACCCTTTTAATCGTTGTACTAATTAAAACCTTCGAAAATATCATAATTTGCGGATTTTGTGCCAAAACGCCGAAAATAGTAACATCAGGGACTGAATTTAATAAGTTTAAACTGCCTACCGCCGGTTCAAATTTGAATCACCGAGTCAAATCCTTTCCTAATCATTTACTTTTAATCGTTGATTCAAATTCGAACCGGCAGTAGGTAGTTTAGCGACTTAGCTCAATTTCGTAAAGGTCGTTCTCATTTTATGTTTTATTGACTTGAGTTTAGTGTTGAAATGATTTCTAGTTGCGAGGATGAAAATGAGTTCTCTTTGAGAGGCTGAAAAAGATTTCTCTTTGTGAGGATGAAAATGATTTCTCTTTGAGAGGATGAAAATGACTTATCTTTGTGAGGATGAAAATGATTTCTCTTTGTGAGGATGAAAATGATTTCTCTTTGTGAGGATGAAAATGATTTCTATTTGCGAGGATGAAAATGATTTCTATTTGTGAGGATGAAAATGATTTCTATTTGTGAGGATGAAAATGATTTCTATTTGTGAGGATGAAAGTTATTTCTATTTTTGAGGATGAAAATGAAGAGATGTTTGCTCGGGAACTAGACGAATTCGGATCTAGCAAGGAATCATTTCATTTTTACTTATCAGAAATTGATCACTTTTCTTCAACGCTAATTTTCTAATCGCCATAATTTTGAAACCTGATGAACCTTTGATTTTTCAAATTTTGTTTTGATTTGATCTGGCAGATCTCATAGTTTAAAAAATATCAAAGGTTTAGGAACACCAGGGACCAGAATCAATGAAAAGTGAAAAGTAGTTGAATCACGTGAACATATTTGAATCAATTCTTTACAAATTCTTTACAATACGGGATCAAAATGGACATAATTGAAATGACTGTTCTTCTAAAGGTGCGACCATTTGAATGCAACATATGTCACAAAATGTTCACTCGAGTAGAAATCTTGAGAAGACATTTGAAAACCCACATGATAGAGAAGGTAAATTATAGCATTGCTCACAATATCTGATAATATTAGTTTTTGGGGAAAGGATGTTTGATTAAATGGTATTTGTGAAATGAGTGAAAAGTTCTTTAAAAAATCTACTTTAAGGGACTGTAAGTGTAATTTCAAGTGACCCTTCATGCAAAGATGGCAATGCCCAATTTACAACGGTACCCTGGAAAGCTTTGTTGATCAAGCATGAATAAGATATCAATGTTTTTGTTTCTTTAAACTGTTCATTTTCATTTGTGGTTTCTTTCTGATAGTGACTTGCGAATTTCTTGTTATAAGAAGCAATGGAGCCACTCACGAATTTAAATTAAGGTTTCAAAGGTACCTTTGCAAATCGGACATTGTCATTCTTGCATGAAAGGTCACTTGAAATTATGCTTACAGTCCCTTTAATATTTTTGAAAATTATGATGACGATGCTGTTAATTGTACAGGGAGACGTCTAATAAATACCTTGGGATGTTGGTTGTGGTGATATTTCAGTCATTAATACACTCGTAGGATTACAAATGCACTTACTGTGGAAAAACCTTCGACCGGAGAGATGTTTTAAACGATCACATGAGAAATCATACAGGGGAGAAACCCTTTCAGGTAGGAGAGGGCGGTATGAATCGGTTAAAGAGCTTGAAAATTGCGAATTAAAGCTTGGGAATTGGGAATAATAGCGTAGGATTTTGGGTAAAAAAGTAAGTATTTGAAAGAAAATCGTGGGCAATTGAAGTAATAGCGCAGGAATTGGGCAGAATAGCGTGGGAATTGGGCAGAATAGCATAGGAATTGAAATAAATAATGTGGGAATTTAAAGAAAATCGTGGAAATTGGAGAAAATATCTTTGGAACTGTAAAGAAGAGCGTATGAATTGGGAAGGATTGCATGGGAATTTGGAAGAAAAGCGCGGGAATTGTAAAGAATAGTTTTAAAATCAGATTGGTTAGTAGGGTAGTTGGGAAGAAAACGTGGAAATTGGAAAGAATAGGGTTGGAATTGGAGAATTAGTGGTACCGACCCACCTCGCTCATTATACTGTTTAAACATGCATTTTTTTCAGTGTACTATTTGTCATAAAAAATTCACCCGAGGATTTGTTCTGCTTCGTCACATGAGAATACACAACGAGGGTGGCTTCAAATGCAAGTTTTGCTTAAAGACTTTCGATCGGTGAGTACTGAGTATTTTTTCTAAAATACTAATCCTAGAATTATTCAAGAAAAAAAACTTGAATTTAAGAAAAAATGAATTATTTATTAAAATGAATTATTTTGAAACAAATAATTATTTATTAAAAATAAATTAATTATTAATATTAATTATTAATTAAAATGAATTAATTATTAATATTAATTATTTATTAAAATGAATAAAAAGCAATTTATTAAATTTCAGGAAAGATACATTCCGAGATCATGTGAGAAATCATACCGGAGAGAAACCATTTAAGTGTAGATACTGTAATAAATCATTCTCAAGGTACAAAATATAAGTAATAAATTCCGTTCATTCGTTTCCTACTAATTTTATACAATGAGAAATTCTAAAATTCATCGATTTCTAAAAATATATTGTTTCATTGCCTCGTTCGGTTTTCATAATTGAAATTGATATCAGGATTATTTTTTTCTTTACCTACAGCCAACCCCCCCTCCACTTTAATTAGCAAATTGTCTTCAGCAAAATTGTCAGATCTTCAAATGAAAATGTTGTATCCTAAGCAATGGACAGTGAAATCCACTAAACTTTCACTCTCTGGTATTGCGTTGGAGGCGACATTTTTCATACACTGGAGCACATTGAGAGTAATAAATAACCTTGTCCCACTCCCAAGATTTATATTTAAAGATAAATCAATCTTTCTAGATCGTTTGTATTGACGAAGCATGAGAAAGGTCATGAGATGAAGGTGGAAGGAATGGAAGAGGAATCTGATCTTCACAAGACTGAAACCATACTGGTCAGTGGTCTCATTAAAATATGATATTTTTACGTGAATTATGATAAATTTTCATTCAATTGCGTTAACAAACCTATTTAACAACTTACGCAATTTTTAGATTTTATTTTTATAATTTACGTTTGTCATTAGTAATAATAATAAATAACTATTTCGGTGCCATTTTTAAGTGGTGAAAAATTCTTTTTATTGCTTTTAATTCGCATTTGTATTTTTTGAAATTTGTGAAATCATAAAAATCTATGTCGCTGCAATTGCGCTTAACTTTGAAATTCACGTTTTCTTACCTACAGAAAAAATATCCCCAAGGATTTTGTATTTGGAAATAGATGCAACTGATACCTTTAAAATGTTCAGTTGCAAATTAGAAAATGCTTAGCGACATTTCATGATTAAAAGACATGAGAATTTTTCTGTTCTCTGGTTTTCACTTTATAATTGCTTTGATCTAATCCTGATGTTGAACCATGTTAGGTTGAGAGTTTAGAATACGAAGACAAGGATGTAAGCGATGCAACAGAAATGTTGCTGCAGAAAGAGTTTCAACATGTAAGCGAGGTATGTTTTTTCTCCGTTCTTGTAGGATTTATTACAAATAACACAAAATATTCCGACTTAAATGTTTTTCTTTCAGCATGAATACAAATTTTACTTTTTTCATGGATTTTAGATTTTAATTTGGCAATTAAAAAAATAACGAAACGGAGGCCGAATTTTAAGAATTTGAGCTGAGTCTCAAATTTAGGCGCGGTACAAACATGGTTGGTTCCACTTGAATTAGTATTCCGGCACTCCATTGGTACCGGATTTTGGCGATTCAGCGAAGCGGGTTAAATTATTTAAATTCGGCCTCTGATCTATTTAATTTATATTTAAAAATACTCCATTATGATAAAACGTTAGAATTGGTCTGGTAAAGTTTATTTTAATTTATTTTAATTTGAAAATGTACAAACAAATCTTATCAAACAAAATTTAATTATTTATATTTTCAATGCTGCAGTCATGATACATTTGCGCAGGATGTAATAGAGGAATCAGCTGTTGAGCAGGAAATTATTGAAGACGATGAAGATTTTAGTTTTCCACAGTCTCATGATCTACACTCAGATACTTTAGGTAGTTTACACTTTACACAGTCTCATGATCTACACTCAGATACTTTAGGTAGTTTACACTTTACACAGTCTCATGATCTACACTCAGATAAGTTTGGTAGTTTACACTTTACACAGCCTCATGATCTACACTCAGATACTTTAGGTAGTTTACACTTTAAACAGTCTCATCATCTACACTCAGATAAGGTAGTTTACACTTTAAACAGTCTCATGATCTACACTCAGATACTTTAGGTAGTTTACACTTTACACAGTCGCATGATCTACACTCAGATAAGGTAGTTTACACTTTACACAGTCTCATGATCTACACTCAGATACTTTAGGTAGTTTACACTTTACACAGCCTCATGATCTACACTCAGATACTTTAGGTAGTTTACACTTTACACAGACTCATGATCTACACTCAGATACTTTATACTATACACAATACACATTACACAGTCTCATGATCTACGCTCAGATACTTTACACTATACAAAATACATTTTACACAGTCTCATGATCTACGCTCAGATACTTTAGATAGTTTACACTTTTAAAGATTTAATACTCAGGGTGCAGTATGCAAGCTTTAGAAGGAAATAAAATATGAGACCCACAACTTACAGACCCGGCCCCCTAATTTGAGACGCGGCTCAAATTCTTTAAATTCGGCCTCTGATCCCAGTTCACACACATTAAAGTTTTTATTCATTAATTATTCTAGTGAATGAAGCAGTGAATGAGGAGGTTGTAGAGACTGAAGCTATAACTCTTGCCACAGCTGACGGTCAAATAGTTCGTGTTATCAGCCGAGAACAGTACGAGAAGTAGGAATTTTTAATAGTTTGTTTGACCAGTGTCGACGTTATTGTTCACATGATACAACTAGACTCAGTAAACCCATGAATAGAAAGATATATTTGATGTTGTTCCAAAGAAAAAATCCCATATTATGTGGTTCTATGTACAATGCACAATTGCTGTGTTATTCATTGGACTACTTAAAATATTTACTTGAGTCTAAAAATGTTCTTCTTATTTCATAGTTTTCTGGTTCTCACTGTATGTTGATTATTGTTTTAGGAGATATTTCCTTTTTAAGACTCCGATAATGCATAAAGTTTTTAGCATTGTTTTCTGCTCTCGTTTGTTGTATTTTTATTTTTTCTTGTCTTATTTGTTTAAATTTTCTAGATTAGTGGAGGTGGCAAACAAGAGTAAAACCTATAGATGCGAAACTTGTAATAGAACTTTCACTAACCATAATATTTATCAGGTAAAAACACTTGTGTACACTATATTTTATAAAATGATTGAAATATAGAAAATTATGAGAGAGGGGATTTCCCGGCTTTAAATATTAAACTCGTCGATTTCATTAAGTTAAATATTTAAGCTATAGCTTAAAGTTGAAGGTTAATTTTAAGCTGTAATTTATCGTTCTATAGTTTTTGATTAGTTTTTGTGCAAACTGCAAACTTATACAGATTTAACTTAAAGGGGGTAAATTTGAATTCTAATGGATGGGTAAGGTGGGTGCACTCTAGTTCCCACCGTATAGTTGCCCTTTATTGCCGGGCCCGCTCATATTTCGTCCCATTTTGTAGGAAATATAAAAACACTTCATAACTGAGGTATACCAAACTGTAACTTCTTTTAATCTATGAAAGAATTCTAATATGCATTCATTTATACAACTTTAACAATGTTTTTTTTAGGCACATTTTAGTGAGCCCTGGGAGAACGGGGGTTGTATCTCTCAGAAATAGAAGAAGTTACCCTGGCGGCGCAGACTGGAACAATCATTCGAGGATTTTCGCGGCATCCGTGGAAAATTCCAGAAAGAGTTCGGCCCGAGTCGTTGTCAACAGTCCTAGTGTTTTTATATATATTTGTACNTGTCTTGTCTATGTAAAAAGAAACTGTAAATATGTCAAAAAATTGCTTTCATAAATATTAACCCTAAAAATACCTACCTGGGCTCTATCAAGGACACCCTTGCACCTTCTCTATACTATGGTATACTATGGTAAACATACCGGCATTAGTAACATTGTAAATTCATATTTTTATCAAAGCTTTTGAAACCAAAAAGTAATGTTTTGTTTTCTTGTAGAATCCAAAATGGTCGTTATGGAAAAAACTAAAACCAAGAAATTTTCTCCAAAATTTGAAGAAGCTCCGCCGAAGAAAGTTAAGAAGATGAAGAAGAACACCGATGTGGAAGATAACAGCTCTAAGAAGAAGAAGATCAAGGGAGAAGAGGGTGAGAAGAAGAAGAAGTTGAAATTTAACGATAATGTCGACGTGAAAGAAATCAAAGGAGAATGGAAGAAGAAGAAAGAGATGAAGGAAGAGAAGAAGAAGACTGGAAAAGTGAATTTCGACGGAAAGAATCCTAAATCTAAGTTTAAGGAGCCTGTCGAGTTGTTGAACAAGAAGGAGACAAGAGAGAAACAAAAAAAGGTTAAAGAGACAAGAAAGAAGTTTAAACAAGAAGATGTTTTTGATATTGGAGTTCAGGCCAAAAAAGTGTGGGAGGAGGTAAAAAATAATAAATCTGAAAGTAAGGGAGGAGGAGGGTGTGGGGGGTTATAGTGGCAAATAAAAATAACTTAACTGTGGAAATGTATTCTGTAAATAAGAGTGTTATCATGTCAAAAGAAAAGGGACAATTAAATTTCATCAATATTGATTGATGGATATTGGATATTTTAATGATTGACTGACTGACTTATTCAGAGATGATTGAATGCTTGATTGATTGGTTCATTGATTGATTGATTGAATGGTTGGTTCATTGATTGATTAATTAATTGATTGATTGATTGATTGATTGATTGATTGATTGATTGATTGATTGATTGATTGATTGATTCTAGGTACGTAGAGAAGACTGCCCTGAGTCTAAGAAAGAGTCTCTGGTGAATCAGCTTCATTCATTGGTGAAAGGAAATATTAAGGTGAGCTAAACCTGGAAAAATATTTGTCAAACGTGACCAAGGTTTATACTGAAATATGTTTTTTGACGATAATCTCAACAATTATTATATTATTCTTTTGGACCAAAATTAATCTTAACAAATGTTCATCCGAAGTAAGGTTCATTCTGTCTAATGTAGCGTCTATTTTGACATATGTTCAACCAGACTAATGTTTGTTATGTCAAATGTTCATCTTGACAAAGGTTTATCCAGGCTAATGATCAAATATGTGGTCGACTGTCCATCCAGACTAAGGTTCATTTGAACAAACCTTCACCTAGACTCATGCTCATCAGATAAATGTTCGTCTTGACAAATGTTCATCTGGACTACGTTCAATGTAATAATTGTGCAATGTTCATCTAGACTAAGGTTTATCCGGACTAAGGTTTATTTTTATTTGAACTAGGATTTATGGAAACCACAGTTAAATGATAAAATGCATACTTATTATTACTAAGTGAAATAATAATCTATTAATATTATTGTTATTGTTATTGTAATTGTTATTGTTATTGCAGAAAATTATATTTGCTCACGACACAGTTCGTGTAGTGGAGTGCCTGATGGCTCTAGGATCCTCAGATATCAGGAAACTTGCAAAATCTTTAAATATCTTTTTAATTTTTATGAGAATTGGAAATATAAGTTCATTTTTTTTGTAAATTTTGATAAAAATTCCCAACACAGGGTTGAAATTAAGAATAGTTTTTTTTTTAGCTTTTCTTATTGTGACAATGAAAAGTATTAAGAAGTAAAATTGATTTTGTGTGACCTAATTTAGAGATAAACTGTTTTTGGAGCTTAAGGATGATATTCTTGGTGAGTTAGTTCGGAGTTATTTTATCTTATGTTTTTTACCATTTGTCCCTGCTTTTTCCTGACAAATTTCCGTTTTCCTGTTTTATCGGTATTTTAGTGTTTTTTCTGTTTTTAATTTAGTAATTTTAAAATTCCATTTTCTACTGGTTTAATTTTTCAAGGGAATATTATTTCTACACCGTTTATGTTCACTGCACACTTATTAGTATAAAGATCGCAATAACTTTTGGTGACTGTCCCTTAAAAAGATAAAAAGACTTGTTTAACATTATTTTTTACTGTTAAGAGATGGCCAAGTCCAAGTACGCACACTTCTTTGTGCAGAAGATGCTCCGCTACGGTAGCAAGGACCAGAAGAATCAGATCGTGAAAGTAGTGGAGGGACAGATTGCCAAGGTCAGTATTAAAAGTGAAACTTTTAAGATTCGTCAGTATATTAGTTGCAACTTCTCAGAGCTTTAGTGTCAAATTGCAACATCCCCAGATTTGCCAGTATTGTATTTGCAACATTCTAGATTCAAAAGTATTTTACATTTAACTTTCCAGATTTATTGCCAGATCCCAAAATCATTTAATAGTTGCAACATCCTGGATTAATCAGTATTTCAGAAGCAATAGTCCTGAGCTGGGAACTTTTAATGGTGGATATCGGGATTACTGCTTGATCCAATCTTTTCTTAATCTCCAGATTAAATAATGCTTGTTCTCCTCTTGTTATTAATGTCAAGATTAATTAACCGATCGGGATTCCATTCTAAAGTTTTCAGCTCTGAGTTCATAAATCAGTTGTCAGAACTTTTGTATTTTAAATCTTGGGATTAAGCATTGTTCTCTCCATCTTGTAAATACTCGTGGATTAATTAATTCACTTTTGATTTTAGCAATTTTAATATTTACAATGAAGACGGCTTTTTAATTTAAGTTTTGATTGTTAAAAAGCTTTATTTCAAGTAATTAAAGAGAAGCTTTTTCAATTGACAGCTTCTCCATATTTATGTGTATCCATGCTGTTTAAAAGCTGGAAATAAATGAAAATTTAAATCGAAAGTCGTCTTCATTGTATTTATTTATGCGACGATGACTTTACTATTGGCAATAGCAAGCTTGAATGATCTAAAAATGAGTATATAAGGAACCCTCGTCATTAAAGTTCGCGTCGACGAAACCAGTTGGCGTGATCCATAGTAATGGAGCCAGTGCTCCCTGTTTTATAAAAGAACATATTTTTTAATCGTATTACTAAGGTGAAATGTTGGATGTGCATCAGCCTTGCCACTTGGCTGCTAAACAGTAAACATTAATTATTTTTATATTTTTATTGTAAAAAAATTTTAATTTTATTTTTATTTTGAAAGCTAATTATGTTTATTTAAATTAACACGTTTCACTTCTATTCTATCCTATTATAACGCTTGGTAAGTAACCACCACTATCCTAGGATGATCATTTTAAGAATTTTATTTGATAGTTCTTGAAAGGTTTTTGGGAGGATTTTTCTTTTCATTGGATCCATAGTTTACCAGATTCTTAATTCAAAATAGAACTGGTATGTATATGTATAGCAGTAACCCGTCCACAGGCTGATGATGAAGAAATCTTCTATGGCCAACTACGAAAGTAGAACATATTTATTTCAAAGTCACTCTTTTGTTAAAATTCACAGCGACACCCTTAAATTGTTAAATAATGTCGTTATTTTGTAGTTGTTTAATTTTGATATTTGATCATTGTTTCTGCAGCAAAAAATGCGCAAGTCATAGACCCTTTAATATTAATATAAAACTAGTTTTAAAGCATAAAATTGGACAGAATATTAGACAGTTTTAGATCTTTCCATTTTATTTTTACGACCACTGTCACAAATTGTTATGCTATTTTGTAACTCGGCATTTTTAGAGTTTTGTAATTAGCTTCTTGGATCCAGATGTATTGTCAAAACTTTTTAAGTGTCCAATTTATTTCTAGTTTCAAACTTATTAGATTCTAAGTAATCCTATAATTCAGTTTAATCCATCTAGGATATAAAAATCAGATATAAGAAAAAATTATAATAAAGACTTATCTTTTTCGTTGAAATGCTTTTAAAAGAAATGATTATCTATGATTATGGTTTTATTCCATGATTATGGTCTTCCATGATAAATGATTATTGCATCTATGATCTACCTTGATTAAGATCGTCCATGATTATGATTGTCCATGATAAAGATTTTCCATGATAATGGTCTTCCATGATTATGGTATTTCATGATTATGGTATTTCATGATAATGATCTTCCATGATTATGATCTTCAATGATTAAGATCGTCCATAATTATGATCGTACATAATCATGGTCTTCCATGATTATGGCCTTTCATGATTATGGTCTTTCATGATTATTATCGTTCATGATCATGGTTCTCCATGATTATGGTCCTCCATGATTATGGTCTTCCATGATTATGATCTTCCATGGTTATGATCGTTCATGATTATGATCTTCAGTGATCATGATCGTCCGGTATCATGATCGTCCTTAATTAAGGTCTTTTATGATTTTCATAAAATGGGTTTTCAAAGATGTTTATCCTATCTGATCACTTTTATTTGTAAAAATGTTAAAAATACAAATTAAAAATTTTATCAAAAAGTATTCTAAAATACGATTTTTGAAACGGTCATTATTCTAAATTTATGAAGCTTGAGAAAGATGTTTTTAAAGGTACATGGTAATTATTGTAAAAAAAACATAATGATTAAAAAGAACGGAGACAACTTTTTAATATCAATTAAATTTTAACGATGATTTTTTTCAGCTGATGAAGAATAAGACGGCGGGTCACGTGATTGAGATAATTTATAATGATATTGCTTCAGCTCCGCAGAGAAATTCAATGTTACAAGAATTTCTAGATCATGGATTCATTCATTTTAAGGTAATTTGTTCGTTCGTTTGTTTTTTTGTTCGTTCGGTTGTTCGTTTGTTCGTTTGTTCGTTTGTTTGTTTGTTTGTTTGTTCGTTTGTTCGTTTGTTCGTTTGTTCTTTTGTTCGTTCGTTCGTTCATCCCAGGCCTTTAATTATTGATCCTTTCACTTTTCATGATAAATGAATGTAAAACATATTTTAATTTTTTTGTGCGTTATTCCTCTTTTATAACCCCCCCCCCCCCCCGCCATCAGGATGAAATGTAGGATTGCGCGGACCGCAATTTTTTTTAGGGTTTTTAATGAAATTAGAAAAACAAATGGTTTTTGGTTAAAAAGTATGAAAAAGGATGTAAACCTTGCCTTCAATCCAATTTTTTAAAGTATACTCAGTGCTCACCTTCAAGGATCTATCGGGAACTTGTAACGCACACACACACACACGTACCACCCGCACACTTAATTGATGTATTTTAGCATATAATATACCTGGAACAGAATTTAATGAATTGGATTGGTCGCTGAACTACCTACAGACGGTTCAAATCCTGAATCCCCGATTTTAATCGATCCTCGTGAATCTTTAACTTCAGGGGATATTAGTTCCAAAACTAACATAGGGCCCATTTCTAACACTGAGTTTATAACTTTAAATCCAAAATGAGTAGAACAGAATTACACCATATTTTTATAAAAAATGGCTAAAAATATATATTGAATCAATACATGTCAAATTTAAACTTAAAATAAGGTGTGAAAATTAGTTTTTGATTCTTGATTTCATTTTCGAACATATCCCTATTTTGAAACAATTACCGGATTTCAGCTCATGTCGCGTTTTTGGAACATATCCTGGATCATTTGTTCTTACAATATAAATTTAACTCAAAATGTAATTCTCTAAAATAAATCATCGACATTCTCTTACTTTACAGATAAAATGTGGAAACTTAGATTCTAGAGATAATTTAGTCTACATGAGATAATTTTTGTTTTCAGTGATTTATTTTTGTAAGTTATGAAAGTGATTTTGTTTTGAATTGTGGATTATACTCAAAAACGGGAAAGTGGGTTTTGCCTCGAAAACGCTACAAAGTTTCAAACATTTTCTTTAACCCGGTCAAGAGATTAAAATGTTGGTTATAATTTTTATTATCGACTTTTACTCTGGATATGGGCCGGGATCCCAACCACCCAGTCTTTCAATTTGTGTTAGAAATGAGTGTTAGAAATGGGCCAAGTGTTAGTTTTGGAACTAATTTCCCTTGAACTTTGATGCAGTGATTCAGAATTTGAATTTTGAACCATTGGTAGGTACCATGTACTACAGCGACTTCTCTTCTAATCAGAAAAAAAAATCAGTCTCTGATTTCAGGAACCTGAGCTAAGAACAGTTCCTGAGATTATTGCCAAGTATCCACTTCGTAAAGCAGACTGTATTCAGAATTTACAGAGAAATGTCGAGGTAACCCCTCCCCCTTCCACCCCGTCACTTCTTCCTGACCCCCATCCCTCATTCCCTCCTTCCGACCCATCCTCCCTTCCATCCCGTATTTTCCATTCCCTATAGTTATCCATCTCTGGATTCCTCGCCAGCTTAAAATTGGAAGCTTCGGCTTGAATCTGAAGAAGTAGATTATTCCCTAAAAATGATAGCTGATTAATAATTATTACCCTTAATTGGCGGATTATATTTCAAATTTTATATAAAGTCAGAGAGCCTGGTTTAAATCGGCTATGGGAGGAACCCTGTTTAATGCCCCTTCTCCAGTCGCCACCCCTTATATCCTCTTTTACTTCCCCTTGGGCTCCACCCCTCCTCCCTTGCTTCTCAATGCACAGTATTTATACTCCATCCATTATAAGCTTAATTTCAAGGAACCATCCATGTAAAGAGGAAATTCTCGATTCACTATGGTACCCTTAAAAGCCATGTCTGATCAAGTATCAATTGGTTATCAATGTTTTTATTTTTAGAACTGATTATTTTCAATTGCGGTTTTCTTCAAAAGGAAAACATGTATGAATTTAAAATTAAAAGCTTTAAAACCTAGAACGACAATATCTTCCACATTATTGAGCAGATAATTCAATTCCATTCAATTCAAATTGTATATTTCTGAAGGAACAATAGTATAACAATTTTAACGATAACCTATATAACATCATTTAATTGCTCCTTCAGCAGGAGAGCTCAAAAGTTCGGAGCTGTTTTAGCTGAACCCCCCTGTATCTAAACAATTGAATTTGCAACACTATGGGGACGGAAGGGTTCAAGTACATAATGTGGATCAGCACGGTGGAAGCGACTAGGCTTTTATCACAGGGCATCAACACAATTTTAATTATAAATTGAAAGAAAGGGCTCAAAAAATTGAACAGCAACAGAAACATATATAATGGAAAATGTTTGATATAGTTAAGATGAATTCTAGGAATAATATAATCACTATCATTTCGAAGTTGATATTCACTATTTTTTTTTGATTTTTAAGAAATTCATTTGAAAAATGAAATAGGAGCATATTGATACTCAATTGAATGCATGAAATTCGCTGTTTGTTGAGAAACTAACTCAGGTTAGGGAAGAATATTGAGAGAATACAATAATGGATCAGTAAAGGTTTCAAGGGTCCCTATGTGAATCAGACATTGCCATCTTTGCATGGAGAGTCACTTTAAATTACGCTTTCAGTCCCTAAAAGTTAAAAAAAATTTAAATAGTTAAAATCCTTAATTTGTTCCAGCTTCACTAGATTTGTTTATAGGTTCTAGAAGAAATAACAAGAAATTTAGGAGATGTTTAGATTAATTATTTTTCAGGTTTTAATTCGTAAAGGTGCATTTAACCATTCCCTGGTTCATACCGTGATATACAACTACCTTCTAGTAGCTGATAATAAACAGCGTGCAGAGACAATAGAACAGCTTAGGGAGGCACTCGTTCATATGGCACATAGCAGGTATAATTCAATAGTTGTCAGTGTATTACTTTTTACTCTTTTTACATGACTACACATATGATTTAAACATTTTGAACCTTTGTGTAGTAAATGCCATACTCGTAAAACTTCATCCAGAACTGTATCAGTGCAGGAACAACTCGCCAGCTATAAATGTCAACCACAGGACACAAACCAATGGGCACGATGTTATCGGCTCTAAATGTCACACAGGGACACAAGCATAGTTATCAAACAAGCTCTTAAGCGATCAATGCCAAATTAATGGGCACAATCTTATCGGCTCTAAATGTCAATCAGACACAAGCATAGCTATCAAACAAGCTCTAATGCGATCAATGCCAAACCAATGGGCACGATCTCAGCTCGTATGTTTCAACGAGGACCAAAATTACTTCTAATACCTCAATCAAAGCAGAGTCTCATCCAACTACTTTATTCAAGATATCTTTGCTTATGTTACAAGCTAACTTTAATCGACATAATTACAAGTTTTATGTCGATATAAGTTTTATATATAAGTTTTATGTACGTATTTAAAAGATTATCACGGATAGATATAAATGTAGTTAATCTTATCACAATGCATTTTTTAATCAAACGTTCATTTAGATTTACAGACAAATACCACTTAATACCTAGGTATGTTCAGGTTAACAAATATGGGGATTGCTGTATTAGTTACATATGTAGTCACTAATCATATCCTTTAAGTTTAGATTAATAGGTTTATAGATTATCAGTGTTGTGTTGAGAAGGCTTGCTCAATCCTTTTAAATAAGATGTACAATGATGAAATTTGCTGTACTGAATATAATCTATAGTACTGTACATGGAATTGTACTGTAAAATCTTTTGTACTTTACATTGTACAGGGAAGTATAGTGTAAGGTATATAATCTTTTTTACTGTACAGGGAAGTATACCGTACCGTATAAAATCTATTGTACTGTACAGTGAAATGTACTGCACTGTTTTCAATCTATTGTACTGTAGATGAAATTGTTCTGTACTGTATATTACCTATTGTACAGTACATAGAAGTGTACTGTACAGTATATAATCTATTGTACTGTACATGCAAGTGTTTTGTACTGTAGTATAATCTATTGTACTGTACAGGGAAGGAGCGTACACTGCCCTAAACTGTTTATGGCACGGAACAACAAAGGACAGGAAAGCTATCATCAAAAGTTTCAAGACCTTTATGTTGAAGACTGCACAAGAAGAATACGGTCACATGGTTCTGATGGGTAAACATGTTTATACTTTATTTGGCATGTTGAGTGTAGAAATTAGGGATAGGGGTTGTTTCAGGGGCGTATACAGGAATATATTTCATTCCAGGGGGCTTTGTGACCGTTTGGGCCTGAAATTTTCCTGGAAACCATACATTTTACTTATCAATGGGGGAGGGGGCTGAGTCAACAAAGTTCCCTTAGGCCCCCTGGCCCCCTGTTCACGCCTCTTTGTTGTTCAAATTTAATTGTGACGTTGCTTCGAAATTGGGTTATTAGGACCTTCCGATCTTCCGAACGTCCCACCCCGCGTGTTTAATGTTCCAAATAATGAAATAAATTGAAATGAAAATATTGCGTATAAAAAAATTAAACGTTTTTTATCGTTATCTTATTCAACAATGTTGTTTATTTTGAATTTTTTTAATTCCTAAAAAGAGGAATCAATGTATATTTTCTTGGTAATTGTTATTAGAAAAATGATATTTTAAAGAGAGCCCCTCCATGTTTTGTTTTAATATACTAATAATGCTTGTTTTTATGAAATGTAATTTTATAGGAATATTTGACTGTGTCGATGATACTAAATTTGTTGGTAAAGCTGTCATTTCTGAGCTTACAGAGAATATGGAGGAAATGATGACAAACAAATATTGCGTCAGGTAAGAAAACAAACAAATATTGCGCCAGTTAAGAGAAAAAATATTGCGTCAGGTAAAAAAAATTGAACTTTAAATTCAAAACATTTGGCTTCTTGGATATCAGGCATAGGTATAAGATACTTTAAAGGTACACATACAATTCTATACAATGCAAGTACTACTTTATCTCCTTCAAACGACATTTATTTTGTGGAGGGGGGGGGGGGCTACCCTGAAACCCCCAATTCTGAACAGCAAACTATTTTTTTCAGTTCTTCACTCTTCAGTATAAGATTTGAAAAGTGTGATTGCGCTGAGTTCTAGGGGGGGGGGAGGCTACGCCCCCGTTTACAGGTCTAGGGGGAGGCACTGCTCCTTTGCCTCCCCCTGTTTACGCCCTTGAAGGAAAATGTTATAATGCGCGATGTTTTTTAGAATCTACATGTAATTATCTTTCGATCTATATGTATTTCAAATCTGAAGCCCTTGTAAAAAAGCCCTAATGGTTTTTAAATCGTTGGGTTATTACAGAGTTTTATTTAAATATCACAAGAACTAGAAAGAAAATGTTACAATGCGCGGCGTTGTTTAGAATCTACATTTTATGAAGAATATTTTTTATTTGTCTATTTATTTGTAAAAGCTACTCCCAAAAAAGTCTCTATTCTTCCACATTAGTCTTTTGCTTTATCAGGAGAAAATATAATTTTAGTAATTTCTGACGTCATCACAGAGTTAGAATTTGAACATTTGGTTTTAATACACAGGGTGGCCAAAATGTACGGATTGTACGGATTCTACGGATTTTTTATTTTGTAACCCTAAAATTGTACGGATTGTATGTACGGATTGTACGGATTTTTTTTCAAATTGTACGGATTTTTATCCTGGAAATACGCCGGGTTTTTTAATTTTCACTCATTTCAGCAAGTTTTATTTTCTGCATTCTAAATAATATTAGATTGATTAACGTTTCAATTGACAATCAAAATTCATTCATAATTTTCGAGATACCAGAAGTGTTCATTTGAGAATATGTTCCAGAAGTGTTCATTTGAGAATGTGTTTATCTATCTGTCTGTCTAGCTATCTGTCTAGCTAACTGTCTAGCGATCTGTCTATCTATCTGTTTATCTATCTGTCTAGCTCTCTTTTTAGCTATATGTCTAGCTATATGTCTAGCTATCTATCTAGCTATCTGTCTATCCATCTATATATCTATCTGCATGTCAGTTTATCTATCTTTTTATTTATCTGTTTATATATTCTATATGTCTCTCTCTGTTTATCTATATGTGTATGTGTCTATCTGTTTCTCTGTCTATCTGTCTGTCTGTTTATCTATCTTTCTTTTAATTGAGTGTGCAACCCCTGTACCACGCTAATTTTAATTATATTAGATCCTAAATCTACACTCCACTCTTTCTAATTATAACTTAATTGTTTGGTTGTTAAATGGCCTACACACTGATCTAAACAGTTTTAAAAATTAGAATCAACGCTCTCTGGTTCTCTGGTTCTCTGGTTCTCTGGTTCTCTGGTTTTCTGGTTCTCTAGTTCTATAGTTCTCTAGTTCTCTAGTTCTCTATTATCTAGTTCATTAGTTCTCTAGTTCTCTGGTTCTCTAGTTCTCTGGTTCTCTGGTTCTCTGGTTCTCTAGTTCTCTAGTTCTCTAGCTCTCTAGCTCTCTATTTCTCTAGTTCTCTAGTTATCTATTTCTCTAGTTCTAAGTTCTAAGTTCTCAAGTTCTCTAGTTTTCCAGCTCTCTAGTGTTTAATAGTAATGTTTAAGTTTTATATCTTTGCAACCTTATGTGGTAGACTTTTATTATTATAAGCTGTGAATTCTGCCAGATTAATTAGGCTTCGTTTCAAAAACCAAAGGTTTTCAGGTTGCAAAGATAAATGGATTTTAAAATTGAGTTTAAGTTGAGTTTCTTCAGTTGATCTTATTTTTTTCATTATTTCCGGGTTCTCATCCAAGCATTCAAATACCTACAGTAGTTTTTACTACCAGGAATATAGGTACATATAGGGAACATCATTGGTTGCTGAGGGAAGGGTGGGGGGAGTTAAAAAATGGGGGGGAGAAAGAGGTGGTGGGGAATGGGAGGGGTGAGACAGTGTTGAATAATATTTTCAAAAATGGTTTTATTTTTCTTAAATGTACGGATTGCAGGGATTTTTTTCGAAAATTGTACTGATTGTACGGATTTTTTCGAAAATTGTACGGATTTTTTAAAAAATGTACGGATTTGTTCAAAAAAATGTACGGATTGTACGGATTTTTTTTTTCGAAATTTTGTACGGATTGTACGGATTTTTTTCCGAAAATTGTACGGATTGTACGGATTTCCTCTGAAAATGTACGGATTTTTGTACGGATTTTTTCAAAAAAGTTTTAGCCACCCTGAATACATTTAAATTGAGTATTATGAATGGAAGAACATTACCAGAAGACTGTTTGGGGGAGGTTCGGAAGCCCTATGGAGACGCGCAGTGCCGCAAGTAGGTTAAATGAGGTTTGGAAGCCGTGCGGAGGAGATTGCCTCCCTCGTTAGTTTCGTAATTTGTAATTTGTATACAAACAATATTGCGTCTGTTATGAATTCTGATCAAACAAATATTGGTTCCAGTATAATTAAACAAAAAATGCATGTATACAAGAAACTATTGCGTATTTGATTAAAAGTTTCCATTTAAAAACTACTACATATTTAGGGTTCTGAAATATCTGTTTTCTGGCCGAAGTCCCACATATGTCAATAAAGACATGATCACTATACTGGAGAAGGTAATTTTGTTAAATGTTTATCCTCTCCATGTCTTAGTGCCCGGGGTTTGGGGGGTAATTAATTAATTTTACTATTTTTAGGTTTTAAAAATTGCATAAAAATCATACACACTATTAAAGAATACATGTTTTGTAAATTTGTTTTTATATTATAATATTATATTATAATATTTTAATTTTGAACACTAAACGTTTTACAGTTTAAACATACACTAAGTCCTCTGTACACTTAATGCTGTACACCGTACATACTAATAATGCTATACACTATACAGCGTACATACTAATAATGCTTTACACCGTACACGCTAATAATGGTGTAAACCGTACACTCTAGTAATGCTGTACACTGTAATCACTAATGATGCTGTACACCGTTCACACATAATGCTGTACACCTTGCACACTAATATGCTGTACACTGTACTTACTTATTATGCTGTACACCGTAAACACTAATAATGCTGTATACCGTACACAATAATAATGCTATACACCGTACATATCTTACCGGATCCAAGGAGCCGAACTTTTAAGGATCCAGATCCAGGAAGCCGAACTATCAAGAATCCGGACCATATTTCTCTTAAGACCAATTTAACTTGATTTTTGTTGTGAATCAGGGATTTGCTGGTAACCTGTACGACCCACCCACCAGCATCACTCTTACCTGTATTATCAATAATGCTCCACCCTGTAAGGAGTTGACCCACCTCTTCACAAACCTAGCCAAGCTAGCCGCTAAACCATTCTCCAAGGTAATTTAACCATGTGATTATAACCTTGACCTTGACTGACAAGACCAAGAATGGCACTGACCATGACCTCGACTATGGATGACCTTGAATATTGCCATGTCCATGTCACTGGCCATAACCACTACTACAACCGTGAACCTGACCCTGACTCTGACCATGACTTTGACCATGACCAGTGGACATTCTTGACTAATGGACATGACCTCAAAAATGCCCATGACCAAACTGAAACAAAAGGTAAAATAATTGCTAATTACATCCTACTGTATTATAAATATAAAAGATTAATGTTTAGGGAGATTCTGCCCCGAACCTAGTAGAGAACACTGCTAGTTCTATGCTTCTCAAGAAGGTTATTGCAAAGGTAAAACTCAAACTCAATTTCCCCTTACCATTTAAATCAAAGTTCAGTGTCTACCTTCTTTATTTTCTTAAATAATATGAAATGAGGAATTCAAATAAACTTTTCTTTCGATCTAAGCCTCATAGTTATTCTCTGACACCTCTCAAAAGAGAATTTGTCAATCTCCTTAGTCAACTAGGATATTTAAACTAAAAAAATTGCATAATTCCACCCTCGGTTTTATAGTTCAGTTTTTACCATTGATAACATTTCATGCATTTTTTCCTACAGAAACATCGGATAAAAATGAAATGGTATCCATCCACCGAACATGAAATAGATTCGGATCCAACCTACACACACACGCCCTTTCAGATGTTACAAACTCGCATTTAATTATTAGTCAATTTTTAATCTGATAAATTTGAATATTTATATTTTAACTTTTCGAATATTGAAAAAAATTATTAATTTTTTAGCCTATGTCGTTGTCAACTTACATAATGGGTTTCCAAAAAAAAAGTCAGCAACTTTTGTCCAGCTATATCTAACATATATAGATGTTTTTTTTAGGACGAGAAAAGAGCTGAAAAAGGAGAAGAAACTTTTTCATCCCACCTTCTAACTGCATTAGAGGAAGAATGTAAGTTTTTTTAATATAGTTTTTTTCGCTTCATCGTTGAAAAGAAATGACTTTTTTTGTGCAAGATTAAGAAGTATAATTTCAAGTGGTCCCCCATTTAAAGAAGTCTTTGCCTGATTCACAACTGTATCCTTAATAGCTTTGTATGATTAAGTATGAATTGATATTTCTACTGCAGGAAAACGTTTAGGAATTTAACACTTTCAAGTCTAGAAATATTTTTGAGGAGATAAAGGTTTCAAGGGAACCATTGCTAATCTTTTCATGGAGGGTCTCTTGAAATTACGCTTACAGTCCCTTTAAGAGGAAATAAATTCGCCAGAAAAAAAATTAATTTCCAACTTGTTTCAGCTGTTGAATCCTACCTGGCCTGTAACCGAGGCTGCTTTCTGCTGGTCAACCTGATCGACACCGGGATACCCGAGGTGAAGGAGGTGGTCAGGGGAAAGGTTAAACCTTACATCAAGACCGTCAAATCACAGGATACACCGGGAGCGAAGTTGTTGTTGTCCAAATTGGAATAATTATTTTTTAATAAATTTTTTATATTTTTTTCTTTCAATAAACCCTATTTTTATTACCAGCATTTAAAGTTTTTTTTTATGTGAATTTTTTTAGCTATCTTGGAGGGGTAAGATTTAGGACTGTTTAATTACAAATATACAATGCATGAGAAATCAAATTAACCTTCATTCAAAAAAACGGCATTATTACTTTTTCTTTCCAGGGTTGGGGGGCTCAGTACCCGTTGGGGCCTTTACTAATTAAGAGGTAGGGGGGGGGGGCTCAGCCCCCATAGCCTTCTTAAGTACGCCTCTAGCTATGTATAGCTCAAATATACAACGATTTGAAGGCACAATTTTGTCGCCAAACATCCAGGTCTCAAATATTGAACTACTGCCGTTTGAACTATTGACTTTTTGAACTATTGGTCGTTAGAACTATTGCAAGTGGTACCATGTGTAGTAGTTCAAACTACCAATATAGTTTAAACTAAAACATTATGTAAGCATGTTTCATTTAAACTATGCTTTTGGTTATTTGAAATGAAATATGTGGAATAATTTTTTGATCAAGTAAACTATTTTGTGATGATTGTCTGACCTAAATCTTTTAATTAAATATTAAAATTTTATTCATTTAATAGTTCAATGAGTAAATAATGTGTTGTTTGAACTACGGGAAATGACGTCATTGTCAGTAGTTGGAACGAACAATAGTTAAAATCGATCCATAGTTCAAATGATTATAGTTCAAATGCAGGGGCATACGAGAGCATTTGTGAAGGAAGGGGGGGATATTTTTTGGGCCCCCCCTTTTGGCAACATTGATTGTGCCCCCCCCCTTTAAAAACTCCTTTTTTTGAAAAAAATATTGATACCTTTTTAACTATGTAAACTTAGATGTATGTATTTTTCAAAATGTTGCCAAGGGGGGAGGGGGGGGGGGGGCACAAAATCAGGCAATCCCTCTTAATACTGTGGTGTAAGCTTCAAGGGATGAAAAATATAGATGGAAACGTTTCTAAAAAAATATCTACATTTACATAGGATTGATACATATATTGTAAAATAAATTATCATATCAAATATATATTTACACTGAAGGCAGTATTGATTAAAGCTTTTTTAATGAAACTTTTTTATTTAAAGGCAAAAGTGACCTTCCATTTATAGAGTTGCATGTCCGATGTACCTTTGAAACCATCATTTTTCCATCGTTTCTGAAGCAAGAAATTCGCCAGTCATTTTTGTAGAGAAACCACAAATAAAAATATTCAGTTTTCAAAATGGGAAACATGGATTTGTAATGCAATACTTTATCAGACAAAGCTTTGAAGGGCATTGTGAATAAGAATATATTTTAATTCTTTTCTTTATCTTCTAGTTTGGGTGAGTGCAATGCAATGCAATGTAGAATGTAGATTGCATGAGGAAGATGTAATATTAAAAGAACTCCCCCCTCAGAGGAGGCAAGCTTAGGGGGGGGGGTCGGCCCCCCTCGTACGCCCCTGTTCAAATGCGGATCCTCACCTAATTCAAGGCTTATTTCACATTTAAAAATCGATTACTTTGGTCTTATGATAGATAAAAAAAACGAAGACGACAGATTCCGCATTTTGGTTAAAATTGCAATATTTCTTGATTTATTGCAAAAATATATTAACCAATGTTATTGTGAGATTACTTTTAAGGGAACCATATCTCTTTATTTTCGTAAAGACGGTCAATAAGTAAGATTTAATAATTGGAGAAATTGTTTGGAAATCAATCATCATACGGGGCATTTGCGCATAGAAAGAGAAAATTCGTTGACAATACATCAAAAACATTATTTCTTCAAAATAAACTCATAGTTACGCTTAAAACAGTTATGGCCAAAGTATTAATAATAAGTTAGATGCAATTTTTTTCAGATTTTAGTCAAAATCTTACAAGATGGGTGAGATAGGGCTCTCCATCAAGCTGTGGAGGTTGGAATATGATGGCGGCGGAAGCGAATTCAAGTAAACAAACTTTGATATTGGAAGAGTGACGTCGCTACGTATTGAAGGGAAATAAAGATTGGGTCCAAGAGGCAGCTACCCCCTTAAAGGCTAAAAAATTAACAAGTTATGAACAAGGGGGGGGGGGTAGTTGGCTGCCTTATATTTACATTATGTCTTACCCCCATTCTCTCCATAGAAAGTGGTCGTGTATTTCACGGTCTTTGAGGGACGATATGTTGGCCGCTAGATGTCTCGTGTTAAATTCTTTCCTGACTACCAATATAGGAGACGTCAAGTTGTCGACCAATGTAGTTTATGGAAGGAACGGCCTCAGGGGGGTGGGAGACTTCAAAAACAGAAACTTAGGCTAACACTGAGAAAAATGGTAACAAACGAGCTGGTCTGGAAAATGAGAGTTAATCTTCGTATCTTGATGTTAAAAGTCATAAATAACATGAACATGTACAGTGTACACTGTCAGAATACAATGCAAGAAGTTGTCATTATGCACCCGACCTACAGTACAAGAAAACCTTTCTTTACACTTCAAACTCTTGATTATTGCATCTATTAAACAACTTTCAAATAAAGAGGATGGAATCCCTGCGCCAGCCCCCTTCAAGTTTTGCCCCACCAGGACCGTAAAAGACAACTAAGCTGTTAATATTTTAAAATATTTCATTCATTGCATTGCATGTTAATTCTTCTGAAATGTGAAGAAAAATTCTCAAAAAATGTCCTTTTAATGACGTTTCCTGTTGATTTATCAGCACTTTTCAGCATTTCCGAACATTGCATTTTTTAGCAAAAATCTGCTGATAAATATTAAATGGCGTTTATTACTTTCCTGGGATAAAATAAAAGTCTACGAGAGGGGCGGGGATATTTTTAATTTTAATTCATTATGCGTTTAATTATTAATAGATTTTTGTGATTATTCTATTTATTCTATTTTATCCTGTCTAAAACATTCTAATACTAATCTTCCTGAAATGAACCCCTGTGCAGAACTCTGGTGGCAAGATTGTAATTAACCTGAGCAAGTTTCGTGTACACTATAGTCCCTCTATATGCTAGACACTATAGTCCCTCTATATACTATACACTATAGTCCCTCTATATACTATACACTATAGTCCCTCTATATACTATACAATATAGTCCCTCTATATACTAAAACCTCTTTTAACTATATGGACCCCTGCTTGAGCATAGTTAATTTGTAAGTTCGGTTAATAAGTTATTTATTCTGCAGTTCGTAGTTATTCTTCGTAAAAATTTCTCCTTCTCCCCCCCCCCCCCCTCCTTAGGTGTCATAAATTCTCCTCAATGGTCTCGGTGCTCGGCCTAGAGAACTTCTAATTAGTTTACTTCACCTGAAAACAAACCAATTTCGAACATATAAAGTCAAGAATTATTTACCCAAATTCTTCACCATTATCCTCTATTTGAAAGGAAGAGTATAATATTTCATTATTCTGATATTTTTATTAATTTCTATTTAGGAATGTGGACTCTAGCTGCTTTATTATTCCTGATGGATCTCCCGATACTTTTCTCAAGATTAGACTTTTCATTCAGGAACAATATTAAGATTGAAAACTTAATAACATGTTTCTCTATAAATAACTTCAATTCACGATAGAAAATAATATTTTTTAAAGAATACTTTTTATCTATTTATAAAATGCTGCGCGTATACACGTCTGTACATATTTAAATATGTACCTAAGTATATACATAAGTACAGGGTTACCATGAAAGGTGGTAAATAACTTTTTTAGTCTTATAAGTTACATTCCAAACATTTCAGGTCGTCAGTAACGTTTCATACTTTGTGCGTGCCTAGTTTTTCATTTTTCTTTTTGGAAATATAAAGATCAAAATTATATAATCTGAAAACAAAAATTTTATTTCTGTTTTTTTTTTAATAGGTTCAGTGTTTGGAGAAGACCTCAATTTTTGACATTTTTTGTTTATACTAGAAATTCAAGGCGCTTCGCGCCCTTTTTCCAGGCTTTTAGGGCGCTTCGCGCCCATCTTCTATTTAAATTGTAAACATGTTCTTTTTGTTTACATTTTAAAACAAAGAAGAAAAAATTTTTGCGGATTTTTAAAAAAAATTCGCGGATTTTCAAGAATTAAATTTTTTTTACAAAATTGAAAACCTTTAAAACACATTTTTTTAAATTTTTTTATCATTCTTAAACCTGTGGTCACGTGATGTCCCACAAAAATTTTTGGCCCGATCGGTTTAGCCGTTTTGACGTTTATTGGATTCAAACAAACAGACAGACAAACAGACAAGCCAAATTTATATATAGATAAACATCTTCCCCTAGAATCTTAATATTTCTAGCCAAAATATTTTATCAAATGTTTGACACTGTCTGTGATAATTACTTCACTGTGATAATTACATGATAAATACATGCCGTCCGAAATGTTTAATTGTTGAAGTGTAAATAAATAAAATTGTTTTGAACAGAGTCTTTGTAAGACGGAGAATATGTTCACAGATACTTTCGTAGATTTTCTTCAAGAAAATAAGAATACTGTCAAAGGTAATGCGTATTTTAAAAGGGGGATCTTTTAAGAATTCAGGGGTGCAGTAGGAGAACAAAAACAATTTTTTTTTTGGGGGGGTTTTGCAAATAAAATAATTACTTCTAGTAAAGGATGTTTGTCCTTGTGGCAGCGCTCGGCCCCTAGCCTAATTTAACCGCAGCGCTTACCTCAGAAATTGGTTTAACATAAACAAACCCTGAAATAAATTAAATTACTACATATGTCGCAAAAAAACACCCCAAAGCGCATTTTTGTCTGCAAACAATTCAAACTTATTTTTTTTTTCAATTAGACATATTCTAGATTTTCAATTTTTTCTCCATTTTTAGAAGAAGAAATGAAGACCGAAAACGAGGAGGAGGGGACAAAGGTAATTAAAATATGTTTACTTCATAGAAATTTTTTTCTAATTTAGTAGAAAATTTTATGAATAAATCACAGAAAAGTGGCAAATGTTTAAAAGTCATATTTTTTGAAATTTTGAAAAAAATCGAAGTTCTAAATATTAAATCTTTTTTTAGGAAATACCTGTTCAGAAAACCGAGCACCTCAGGAATAGGAATAATTAAGCTTTCCATAGCTAGACCGTTTTTTTACACCGGGCTAACAGAGACAAAGTTTTGTGCTGTGAAAAAAGGTTTCTAACTGTGACCGAAGTCGATTGTCTATGAGCCCCTATGTATTTTTTGTGTTTTAGTTTTTCATCTTTTCAAAACGCGTTTTTTAAGAAAAGGATAGATGGGGTTCTTTAAAAAAAAAAAAAAAACAATTCTTCATTGTGATCGGAAAAGTCAAATGAAATTTGTTGAGAAAACGATCTGATAGTTATATTAAATATCTGGCATTTATATGTATCCGACGTTCTATAGAGGAATAACTTTCTCAAACATTGTTGTATTTTTTTTTTTACTTTTGGCGAAAAATTTTGTGAAAAAGAGATAATTTAATTCACTTAAACTGGTTTCAATGATCAGATAAAAATCAGCCAATTGGGATGTTTTTATTTTTCTGAGAAACTGAAATATCTGGATTTTTTTTTACAGTTTAGGTTTTAAATACAAAATTTTTGAGAGCAGTGAATCTTTTCTCTAACTTGTATCTTCTTTTTGGCTGATCTGCAGTTTTCAGTCTTGCCAGGAGTGTCTGACTCAATTGAATGAAGGTTCAAGTTTAAACATAAATTCCTCATTCAATATTCTTACAGTTACCAAGCGGGGTTTGAAAATTATGATGCTATTCATTGTCAGAATTCCGCCTTAATAGTGACAAATGGGAAAAGAAAGGTTAGGAAAGGAGAGGGTATTTAACAAAAGAATTTTGGTTCATCTCGGACACAGTACTTCAGAATAAGGCCTCGTCTACATAAATCTTTTTCTTGCAGCCGGCAGAGTATAAACTGGTATCATAGTGCATGGTGCACACCCATCAGGATTCTAATCCAAGGTTTACAGAGTTCCCGTCTATATCCAGGGTTTACTGAGTTCCCGTCTATCCAGGGTTTACAGAGTTCCCGTCTATATCCAGGGTTTACTGAGTTCCCATCTATCCAGGGTTTACAGAGTTCCCAATTCTATCCAAGGTTTACAGAGTTCCTGTCTCTATCCAGGGTTTGCAGAGTTCCCGTCTATATCCAGGGTTTACAGAGTTCCCGTCTATATCCAAGGTTTACAGAGATCCCGTCTCTATCCAGGATTTACAGAGTTCCCATCTATCCAGGGTTTACAGAGTTCCCGTCTATCCAGGGGTTTACAGAGTTCCATCTATCCAGGTTTACAGAGTTCCCGTCTTTATCCAGGGATTACAGAGCTCCCGTTTCTATCCAGGGTTTACAGAGTTCCCGTCTATCCAGGGTTTACAGAGTTCCATCTATCCAGAGTTTACAGAGTTCCCGTCTTTATCCAGGGATTACAGAGCTCCCGTCTCTATCCAGGGTTTACAGAGCTCCCGTCTCTATCCAGGGTTTACAGAGTTCCCGTCTATCCAAGGTTTACAGAGTTCCCGTCTCTATCCAGGATTTACTGAGTTCCTGTCTCTTTCCAGGATTTACAGAGTTCCCATCTCTATCCAAGGTTTACAGAGTTCCTGTCTCTATCCAAGGTTTACAGAGTTCCCATCTCTATCCAGGGTTTACAGAGTTCCCATCTCTATCTAAGGTTTACAGAGTTCCCATCTCTATCCAGGGCTTACAGAGTGCCCATCTATCCAGAGTTTACCGAGTTCAATGCAGTTGCAGGCCTTCAATGTTTCCTCTAGTTCCGTTTATTTCCTTTCCATTAAAGTTTTTCTAGTTTGCCATTTTCTCTCTCTCACCCAGTATCTCTGAGTACTTTTAGAAGCGCCGAGCAAGAGCCAGTTGTTGCTTCTCTGAAAGCTAGATGTACACTCATTTTTTCATTTCTGATTTCCAATTAATCCCATATCGATACAGCGTGAAGCTGGAACCAGACTACTTCGATGAAGAGGAAGATGATGATGATGATTATATTGAGCGTCGTAAATCATCAAAATCTAGGAAATCCGGGTAAGCTCAATTATCACTTATCAAATACCAAACTATATGCAATTTGTAAAAACAATTATGAATCATAAAATATAAATTTATCTATTAGTAACTATCAAAATTAAATTGGCTTGATATCTTAAGGAACATTATAGCATGTGATGTCAGGCCGAAAATTGCCTCGAGGCCATAACTTAGTAACCAGAGGTCACAGTAGCCTAACATTTTAGATTTATTGTTTTCTCATTATATAATAACTGTCTGCAAAATTAAAAGAATTCATGACATTACATTGACTTCCATGGATTTTCAAAAACTTGCTGAGTTCAGAAAGAATGACCCCTATGGCTGTTCTAATACGGCACTGTATTAGTCAAACGAAACCTACCCACCTTAGTTCCATACCCTCTAGCTTGAATATATAATTAATGGATGTTTTACGGCATTTATTAGCAGTCCCGTACTGAATTCATGAACAGTCCCTTACAATCTTTTTTACTAAATTCATGAACAGCCCCTTGAAATCTTTTTTACTAAATTCATGAACAGCCCCTTAAAATATTTTTTTTTACAAAATTCATGAACAACCCCTTAAAATCTTTATTTACAACATTCACGAACATCCCTTTAAAATATTTTTTTACTACATTTTTAAACATTTTCTTGATATATGTTTTTTACCACATGAAATCTTTTTAATGCATTCATAAACACAGTTCCTTGACATTTTTTTCTGTAAAGTGGAGTGAAGCGTAAGCGAGGGAGTGAAGGACCGAAGGTTTGTAATCTCTGCACAAAAACCTTTGTCTGGAGGAAGAATTATCTTCAACATCTCAACCATTGTAATCCAGCACAACTCCAGGGAACAATTAAACTAAATCCCTAGTCAGTAGTCACTACAATAAAGGGACTGTACGCGTAATTTAAAGTGACCCTCCAATGGTACCCTTTATCCTTTATCTGATCATTAACGTGGAAGATATTATAGCTTTTCTAGGTTTAAAAGTATTATTCCTTTAGTTTTCTTTCATTAGAAATGGACAAGTAAGTTTGTAGTGAAACCAAAATAATTATTTTTTGAAATATAACATAAATATTTAACACATTCTTTTTCAGACTTATTTTTTAGAGAACCGTTGTGAATCCGGCATTGTCATCTTCGCATGGAGGATCACTTGAAATTACCCTAAAACTTTCATATTCTTCCCACTCAAAACTTAAAATTTACTTTTTTTCAGCAATTACTAAAAATGGTAAACATTAAACCATTGTTGGTATAAAATTACGAAGGAACTGAGTTCTTGCCACGGAACAAATTTTCTCATCCATATATCTGCGCAACCTGATGGCGTAAACCTTTGATATTTAAAACTGAGTCTTTTTGAACAAACATAATTTATATATTGCAAAGATGTCGGAATTATAAAATCAGAGTATATTGCAATAATAAGTTTTTTGACGGATTGACGAAGAAAAAAATGAGCCGGAATTTAAATCTTGTTCTCTCAATCGACATTAATCAATTAAAGGGAGTGTTCGCAAAAAATGAAAGGAAAGGGGGTATAGGCTAACGTCGAACCGAATTCGATGGTGATCGCTATTAATTTAACTTTTACCTGTTGCGTCTATAAGGAGAAAAGGGTTTAATTAAACTAAATTGTTTACAATCTGAGTAGAATAATGAAACTTAGTTAATTTTGTATGGGTCCTACTCCTACGTTCTTCGGTATGAGTCGTATTTGATAATTTTCTCCTTATAGGCGCAACAGATAAAAGTAAGATAAGTAGCGATCACATTGAATTAGATTCGAAGTTAGCATTTACCCCACTAGTTTTTCGTGAACACAATAAAAATTTAGTCTTAACCATACATGTAAAAATGGATGTTTATAATTACAACAATTTATCTAAGAATATGACAGGGAGACGGAACAAGCCAAAACTGTTTTAATCGGTCTCCCGTACAGACAGTCTTTAAAGAAAAATTTAACTTGAAAAAGAATTTCAAAAGAATCATAACACGTTGAAACCATCTAATGAATATTGAGAATGATCAGAAGACATTTTTGTTAAATCCAAGCTCGTAAAGTGATTAAAACTTTTGATTGTTTTCTGAAAAAAAGGATGAAGGATTAGAGTACAATGCAGACCCTAATACGGTAAAGATTATTCTTATACTCTAATAGCTGTGGTTGTCAACTTTTAAAAGATTATATCTATATATATAATATATATTATATTATATTTTAAATCTATATATATATTATATTATATATTATATCTCTATAATTAACCTTTTCGCTTGTTTATTTATTTCGTTTGTTTATTTGTTTGTATATATGTTAGCTATAGCTGGCAAAACGGCTGGACCAATTTGGCTGAAATTTTTGAGAAAACCCGTGGGTACCCTGGGGGTTACATAGGCTATAAAAATGAAGGAATTTTTAAAAATTCCACGGGAAACCCTGGGCACAGCTAAAATCATGATTTAAGACCAATCGCGGGTAAACGGTGGAAGTAGCAATGAGTAATTTGGGCAACGCCGGGCAATTCAGCTAATTTGTTAGGTTATTTTATATAATTGAATATTTAATACTTAGCTTTTAGTTTCTTGTGTTGTTGCTTATAATCAATTTATTTGTTAAGGCTACTTATTTAATTCTCCGTACCTTGATGCGGATCTAAGCTCTGTAATTGTAAATACCCTAGACGTTTCTATCGAAAATGTACCAATTATACATTTATAGAATTACAATTCGTAGCTGCGTTTATATTTAAAAATAAGAAAGAAAAAACGTTAGGCTGTTTTTTTTAGTTTCACTGTGCGATATACGATTATTTTTTTATGTGTTTTTTTTTAAGAAACCTAAGTCCGAAGGAAGAATTTACAAGAGAAAAACTCCAAGGGTAATATATTTATATCACAATTAACCATCTTTTATCACAACCAACCTGAAGAACACTTTTTCTCTAAAACTTATTTGTGGGTGTCTAAAAACATCATTGCTTTTTAAAAAATGATATGAAAGATAATTTTACTTTGTCCTCTAACGAGTTATTTTTGCGTATTTTATTTAACAAAGCAAAAAGTTCTATCTAAATTCGATTCAGATTAAGAAATTTTAACACAGAGGACAATAAAGACCTACAATTTTTTCATTTCATTTTAAGCAATTAGACTTTAAAGAGGATGTATCAATTTAACTTTTTAGTATTTATTATTTACCAGTGCTTCGGATCCGAATTCGTTAGATCCACAAAAATATGCAGATCCACGGATCCGGATCCAATTGGCAAAATGTGAACCAAAAACTGAAAAAAAAAAAATTTACTGTCATAACCCAAATCTGAACTATTGAAAAAAGAGAGATTATATAAATTTCCTCATTTCTGAATGGTTTATCAAATTTTATCATAAAAATAAGCGAAAAAGACAAGTAAAAAATAGATAATCCTGCTTTGGTAAAAAAAATCAGTAAATTTTAAAGAAATAACCGGGATCCGGATCATTTCTTCCAGTGCGAATCCAGGATCCGGCTCCGCATCAAAATTGGATTCTAAGCACTGTTATTAACACTTTTTTCTGAAAGCTTTGATTTTGTAGTTAGAAATCTAATGATTTAATTTTTTTTAGATCATATTAAAAATTTATTTTTTTTATCAGGGCCCTTTCCACTGTGAGAAATGTCCGCATGTCTTTAACGATTATAGAGGGTTTCTCAGTCACATCAGGTTTGTATGAGATTTCTGTTTATTTTGAAACCGAACCTTGAAACGGCTGAACCGATCTAGCCGAAATATGTTCAGTCTCTAGATGACCTCAGGGATGGTTTATGGCCGGACTTTAAAATTTCCTTCCTATCAATTTTTAATTTATCAAATTTAACAAAAAAAACATCTAAAAATCATCTAAAAATCTGTTCAGGGGTGTATAAAATACTAAATCTTAAAGTATAAAAATTCGACCACGGGAATTTTTTATGTTTGACGGATTTTAAATTATTTGATTTTTTTTCTAACTGTTGGATAATGTTTACCAATACTTAAAATTAATGGTTTGAAATTTCACGAATCAAATTTCACTTTTAACAAGAACCAATTTATTTTATGTCTGAAAAGATATGTTTATTTATGATTAGTTGAAAAATATGCAAATCTTCTTGTCAGGGGCAAATCTTCTTGTCAAGGGCAAATCTTCTTGTCAAGTGCAAATCTTCTTGTCAAGGGCAAATCTTCTTGTCAAGGGTAAATCTTCTTGTCAAAATGTTGAAAACTATTTTTTGATTCTCTTATTGTTGAAAACATTCTATTTAAATGAGACTCATGTCTCATTTGTTATTTTTTCATTTGAACCGATTTATTTATCAGAATCTCCCTCCCCCTATATACTATACAATATAGTCCCTCTATATACTAAAACCTCTTTTAACTATATGGACCCCTGCTTGAGCATAGTTAATTTGTAAGTTCGGTTAATAAGTTATTTATTCTGCAGTTCGTAGTTATTCTACTTTTGATATTCCCTCCCAAAAATAGTTTTTTAATTAATTTGTAAAGAAAATATTTACTCTGTCCCTTTATAATGTTGTCAGCCACCAACTAACTGTTTTATTTTAGAGCACATGACCTTGCTATTACAGCGAAGGAAGCAGCAAAAGCAGAGAAAGAGGAAAATATTCAAGATTTTTGATTTTTATATTTTTAAGATATCATCATGTTTTCTCTTCTAAAAACCTCTGTAAAAGTTTGTAAGATAATCTTTTTTAAAATACAAGGTTGTGTTCGGTGTTTGAGTAACAGAAATATAACCATTTTGTAAAATTCAAATTAAATCTGAAAATTCATATGTGAAAAATGCGCAAGTTGTGTGGAAGTGAGTTGGTGGATTTATTTCTATCTTAAATATAATCTGTATAAAGGATGGAGAGGATAATCTCAAACTAAAAGATCTAAGAGACGGGGCTCTAATGAGGTGAGAACATTATTATTATTTCGGTTTTTGTTAAAATCATATTTGAATCATATAAACGTTCATCAAGGTATTAGAACTTTTGTTTCGTGAATCTCCGTATCAAGCATTGATCTACCTACCTACCTACCTACCTACCTACCTACCTACCTACCTACCTACCTACCTACCNTCATAATTTTGTTTAGGTTGTCATACAAAGCAGGTACATAAGCTGACCCTTTGCCAGGCAGAGATTATGTACAAGACCAGCAGGCTCGGTACACCGATGACAGAAGATCAAATAGGAACAATTTCATTTTTCATATTTTTATTTGCGTCATAAATGTCACTTGTAAATATTAGCAAAAGTTTATATTAAATTTACTGTACCCGTAATTTTTAGTGACCATCCAAGCAAAGATGGCAATAAGGGTGCCCAAAAAAGACCAAGTTTGGATTTTTGTATGATGAAGACCGGAATAAAGTGACATTTAGTCATGCATATGCAGGCGGTGGGGGGGGGGGAATTTTAAAATCGGACCATTTTAACCGTCTGATATACTTTTTAGCAGTGCTTAGGATCCATTTAAATTTGATGCGGATCCGGATCCAGGTTATTTCTGTAAGATATACTGAATTTTTTTAACAAAAAATGATATTCAAATTTTTGTTATTTTTTTCGCTTACTTTTATCCTAAAACTTGATGAACCATTCAGAAATGAGAAAATTTTTATAATCTCTTTTTTTCGAAAGCTCAGATTTGGGTTTTAGGAGTAAAAAAGTTTTTTTAGTTTTTGGTTGATATTTTACCCCTTGGATCCGGATCTGGACCCAGGAAGCCAAAATCTTGCGGATCCAACGGATCCGGATCCTAAGCACTGCTTTTTAGAAATATGCACTATAGCTAAAAAAAATATTTCTTGAATCTTCATGTCATTTATCATTTTCTTCGTAATTTTCCAAAAAAATAAAATTTTTTCATAAATTTGAAAAAATTACTGAGTTAGGATCAAAAATTTACTGAGTTAGGATCAAAAATTTACTGAGTTAGGATCAAAAAACCTCAAAAATGTATTTTTTCTATGAACAAGCATTTTTGTCGGTTTGTTGATCCCTAACTCAGTCAATTTGTCGGTTTGTTGAACCTAACTCAGTAATTTGTCGGTTTGTTGAACCTAACTCAGTCAATTTGTCGGTTTGTTGAACCTAACTCAGTCAATTTGTCGGTTTTTTGAACCTAACTTAGTCAATTTGTCGGTTTGTTGAACCTAACTCAGTCAATTTTTTAAATTTTCCATAAATTTCTCAGGATTAAATCTTTTTTGATAATTATGCAAAATGATGTGTGACATGATAAATTCAAAAAATATTTTTTTAGCTATGTAGAACTCTTGTGCATATTTCTGAAAAGTATATCAGACGATAAAAGTGACCCGATATCAAAAAAAGAACATTGTTAAAAACCGGGTGTTGTCACTTTTGCATGGAGGATTTTGGGCTTGAAGTCACGTAAAGCAAAAAAAAAATAAAAACGATTTTGTTGGACATCTTTAAAAATTTTTTCTCCAATTTTTGAAAATATGATTAATTTGCGCAGAGGATATGAAGGCTAGAATGACCAGTTTAAGCAACTATGATGAAAATGTTCTTAACGAGATCAAATCAGGGAAAAAGGTGACTTATCTTCACGAAAAAGAGAAAAATAATTCTCAGCCATTTTAAATCTACTTTTTTTTAAAAGCATTGGAAAGAAATTCAAGAAATATTTGAATAGTTGTTACATCAGACGGCACTTTTCAAACCTTTCAAATATCAATCTTATTTCGAATTTTAAACAGAATTTAATAGAAGATTTTTATCAGCAAAACTAATGTGTTAATTCTAACACATGCTATGTTTGCAAAAGAATCGAAGAAAGCAAAGACGATTTTACAAAGAAAATACTAAAAAGATTAAAAAGAGTAAAACATATAATCAAACATAAAGGATGTCAAAAATCAGCGCGAATTAAAAAGGTGCTTAAAAATGCCCATTTTAACCTATACATTTTTCACAACCCATAAAACCTATCTTATTTTTTTAAGCATTACAATTAAATCTATCATTTTTATTTCTACTTCGTCTAAAAATGCTATTAATCCACCACTTGTTTATATTAAATCAAATGCAAACAATAAATATGTAACTTTCTTTTCCTTTCCTCTTACTTTTATTTCTATTTTTTATGTTTTTTTAGAAATGGGGAGAAATATTCCCACAACCTCAATTTTTGGAGGTTTTCAAATATTTTCTCCTTAACCACTAAATTTTGTATGTTTTTGTTATTTTACATAAATAAATGATCACTTTCTTTTACTTACTTACAGAACATTAATATCAAAACTAATTATAATAACAATATTTAAGGCCGGAGGAACGCCTGTCAAAGCAGGGAAAGAGGAAAATGAACAAAAGGAAGAAAAGGATCAGGGAAAACATAAAGAGGAGGAACATCATGCCCCAGTAGATAGACATCATATGGGTGACCGACATCCTATGGTTGACCGAAATCCAATGGGTGACCGGTTCGCTATGGAAGACCGGCTTTCAATGGAAGCCCGACTGGCAATGGAAAACAGACTTTCAATGGAAGACCGGCTTGCCATGGAAGCGCGGCTTGCAATGGAAAACCGTATTGCGATGGAAAACCGGATCGCGATGGGGGACCGACTTGCCATGGGAGAACGTCATGTCATGGGTGACCGGCCACCACTTGACCGGATTCCCTCCTAGTAAAGCTGGTTTACAAGGCCTTGATTTCATGAATGTTATTTTTAATTTTTGAAGCTGAATCTATTTGATCCAGTGATCCAGACTTATTGTGCCTTCTTCTCGTATATTTTAGTTCAAATTTCCACAGATAGATGCCTCTGTTGTCAATGATAAGAAATAACTCAAATACTTCGATAAGCACACAATTCCATACATTTTTTGTCTGAAATGTTTTAGGGCCGTTCCGGGTCAAATATTGCCTTGTACAGTGTCCAAGAAAGAAGACTTGGCGTTTTTATTAATTCGCTTTTTGTCCTTCTTATTGAAAAATTTTAATATTTTTAGTGTCTTTGTAGTGATCAAACGTTTTTTTATTTTTTAAAACAAAATACTGAAACCCCATTAATTGTTAAAATTCCTAATTAGCATTAGCAAAATAACGTAATTTAGATTGCTGTAAATTAAATTTTATTCTGTAAGATATTATTTTTGTAAAGAAATATGCAATTTTTAACCATGACATGTTATTTTCGTATTTAGTATATTAATTGTACTTATTTTATTTTTCCACGTCGCATATAATCTCAATTATAATTTTTTATTAAAATTATTGTTTTAATGTATGTTTTTAAAGTTTATTTGTTCAAAATTTAAAAACTTGTCTCAATGAATCTCCTTTTGTTACATTGCTTGTTTTTATGAATATATGTTCCCGCCTTTTTCTTCAAAAGGTCTAATTTGAAATATTTCAAAAATGCATTGAAAGTATTCAAGAATTAAATCTAAAAACTTTTACATTTTAATCCAGTTTTTTGGAAGGATTCACTTAAAATTGACCTTCACAAATTTCTAGGTAAAACATATGATGAATTTAAAAATTTAATTTGTACTTCAAGATCTATACTCTACATACACTCTACAGTGTAAAAACAATTGTATGAAAACCGGGATATATTCAGTATTAGCTCTTAAACATATTTATCTTGATTTTAATTTTTTAAATGTTATATTGTATTAATCTATCATTTTTTACTAGTTTATACAGTTGTAAGAACACTCAAAGGTCGTCTTTGAATTTTGAAATAATTTGCGGCATTCATTTGCAAATTATATTGTAGGTCAGTGACTACCTTTTAGCCGTCTCTCAACAATCATGTTTCATGGGACACCCTGTAGTTACATGATCAGAGTACTAAAATTGACCTATTCCTTGATGTGTAAATTTGTAATGTAGTCTAGTTCTCATATTTATATTTAATGTGTTGACACTATGTATCATTTCTTAGAAACATTTTACATTAAACTATTTTTCAGGTTTAGATATAATCTACAATATGCTTTCCTCAGCACATATTCTTATAACAGGTATTCTTCACTTTTACCCCCCGTTTCCTGTTTTCAGCCCCTTGACGTTTCTCCTTCCCCCTTCATATCTTCCTTACCCCTCAACCCCTCCCTTTCTCCAGCACCCCAATTTTCCCATTTAACTATAATCCATCTCCTTTTCTTTTTTCTTTTTTTAGCACCCTTTGCCTCTGAACCTATCTACTTTGTTTTAATTAGCTCCCTTGCCTCTTACACTATCCACTTTTTTTCTTTAGCCCCCTTTACCTCTCTTCCTATCTCATATTCTTTAGTAACCTTTGCCTCTCTACATATCCCCTTTTCTTTAGCACCCTTTACCTCTCTACCTATCCCCTTTTCTTTAGCACCCTTTACCTCTCTACCTATCCCCTTTTCTTTAGCACCCTTTGCATCTCTACATATCCCCTTTTCTTTAGCACCCTTTACCTCTCTACCTATCCCCTTTTCTTTAGCACCCTTTACCTCTCTACCTATCCCCTTTTCTTTAGCACCCTTTGCCTCCCTTCTTATCCCCTTTTCTCTAGCATCCTTTGCCTCTCTACATATCCCCTTTTCTTTATCACCCTTTGCCTCTCTACCTATCCCCTTTTCTTTAGCACCCTTTTCCTCATTTCCTATCCCCTTTTCTTTAGCAACCTTTGCCTCTCTACCTATCCCCTTTTCTTTAGCACCTTTCGCCTCTCTACCTATCTCCTTATTTTCTTTAGCACACTTTACCTCTCTACATATCCTTTTTTCTTTCTTTAGTACCTTTTGCCTCTCTTCTTAATCTTTTTTTCTTTTGCACCCTTTGTCTCTCACCCTATTCCTTTTTCTTTCTTTAACATTCTTTGCATCTCACCCTTTCTCCTTTTCTTTCTTTAGCACTTTGCATCTCATCCTGTCCCCTTTTCTTTCTTTAGCACCCTTTGCATCTCACCCTATCCCTTTTTTTCTTAGCACCCTTTGTATCTTACCCTATCCCCTTTTCTTTCTTTAGCACCCTTTGCATCTCACCCTATCCCTTTTTTTCTTAGCACCCTTTGTATCTTACCCTATCCCCTTTTCTTTCTTAAGCCTTCTAATTTTCCAGTTTGTGTTTGACACCCTGACTATCTGCCTTTGCCTTAATGACCTTAACCTCCCTCTTCTTCGTCACTAAAGCCTTTATACTTCTTTTGCACCGTAACCATCCCCCATATTCCCATCTTTATTAATCTTACCTTACATAGTCTTCCGACTTTACCATCTTATCTTAATTGTAACATGCAAATTACTCACTGAAATCAACATTACGCCATTCTTTTTTCCTTTTTTTTCTCTTCCTATCCTCATTTTCTTTGAGAAATACATTTTTTGTATGGCCTCTCATTTAAAACAGCCCTTATCTGCTAGATAAGTCCTGACTAATGATATGTATGTATGTATGTATATAATAGTTTTAAAAAAAGGGTTATCATTAGTCGAAATAAAAGTTTAAAACACCTTATCCTTAATTACTCCAATCTACTACTGTTCTCCATCCCATAATCTCCTTCCTAACCCACCCCATCATCCTCGCACATACCTTATTTTACCCTCTTATCCGCGAAAAAAAAGGGAGGGGGTGTCTCCAGAGAAACTGGGTGACCTAGCTTTTTGGGCTAGAATCCTTTTCTTGTGTGCTGATCAGTCTTGGTACCGGTTATTATCGGGAAGGGAACCGACTACATCTCTCAAACTCTAATTTAATAATCCTTATATCTTTACAATCTGATGTTGTAAAACTAAGTATTTCAAAATATTTGCTATGATTGAATAAATAACCAGGGTAAGAACTATTGCACCACTAGGTTGCAAAGATATAGGAATAAGAAAAACGTAGTTATAGAGCTAGGTGCTAACTGTTCAGTTTCTTTAGTTTATGAACTTACAACAAAAATATAAAAATGTTCAGGATGTTCACGAGGCCTTGGTTTGGAGATGGTAAAACAGCTGGCTATAAGGTAATTACTAATTTAAAAGTGTTGAGATTTAAGTTAAAGTAACTAGGCTTACAGCACACAGGTCCACTCTTCCTAATCTTTTATTTCTACTTTCAGCAAGTCTGTTTTTGTACATTTGGGATAAATAACAATTAACAAGTTTCTGTTTGCATTGATTGATTTTCAACGATTAAAAATTATTTAAAAATTTTATTTGATTGAACTGATCAAAACCTTCCCTTGGGTCATAGAAGGTCTTGGGCCCGATTTTTTCAGCCGTTTTGATGATTATTGGATACAAACAAAAACAGATCAGTCAAATATGTACATAGTTGTACGGACGTTTCTTGAATTCATGATTCTAGTATTTTTTTATTGCAAATATTATGTTGGGTTTCTTCTTTACTTTTTTCATTGTCCTTTTTATACCAATAAATCGGAAGATCATTTTTTTCTGATTACTTTGCATATTCCTAGTGGTGTGTCTTGAATAATCTCCCACCCCCTTGTTTGATTTTTTCCCACCTTGCGAATTTTTCTTCGCTAAAAGTAAACTGGTGTGTAATAAATGATTTTTGGGGAGAATGGAAAAACTTTTAATGTTAAATTTTCTTCCCTTTTTTTCTAAAATCAATCTCTCCTTTTAGGTGTCGAGTTTTAAGATAATTTACCTCTGCACATTCCTTTATCCTTTCATTTTAGAAAAAACCACTTTAAAACAGATTATTTGATCTTGTTATTATCAGGGAAACTCCCCCTGCACTAATCCTGGCTACGTGCCGGTATCCTGAAACTGCTGGCAGACTTCAGGCAGTTAAATCAGATTCATCTTAACAAGAAAATTAGCAATTATCTTTATAGTTTAGTAATGGGGAGCAGAGGGCAATTGGGTAGTTTGTGCAGACTTAGTTTTTCCCTATATAAAAAAAAATAAGGCTGAAGGCATATTTTGGTTTGACTAGGATATTGACCTCTATTTGACATAAATCTTCCTTCCACCCTTTTTTCTTGGTTAATTAATGAAGGAAAATATTTTCTAGAATTTTATTTTCAAAATTTTAGTTTCAAAATTTTAGGATTCAAAATTTGTTTTAACGAAATAAATGCTAAGGGCATTTCTTCCTATTTTGTTGGTGAACCCTTGATAATTATATTTTAGTTATTATTTCTATGACTGATAAACTAAAATTATCCTGCATTAATTTGTCCCCGAACTATTTCATATCTATGATTCAGCTGTACATAGGAGCTTGCTGAACAGTACAACAATATTAAGATGATAAAATTTGATGTTGATAAATTAGGTGAGATTTTTTACAATTGTGACTTGTTCATTGTAACTTGTTCATTTTATAGACTAGCTGCACATATATTAATGCTTATATCAGTAGCTTAAAAACTAAATTGTACAATGTATATATTATACAACTAACTGAAGTGCCCGGCGTTGGCCGTGGAATTAAAAACCCTGGAAAAAATAATCTTATGTGGAAGAATCCCGGGCTACTCATAACATATATATATATGTGCGAAGATCTTTTGCATATACATTTTTATGCAGTATTGTGAATTGCTTGTCATGCAAACCTAAAGGTTTTTAAAAAAGATTTTTGTATCCAAAAAATATTTTGAAGACGTTATTTATTTTTATTCACGTTAATCATAACATAAACCAATATATCATATTTTTTCCTTGAATGTAAATACTTTAAAAAGCTAGTTAGTGTTGATTTCTATTTATATGGTTGTACGTCAAAAGTACAAAAAATCTTTTTTTAGAAATCTTGAGCTTTATGAATGAATATTTGCTCCAGCATAGTAAAAAGAACCCGCGCGAAGAATGCGTCATTCCCCCTTTTAACCACGAAAGGGGGGGGGGGCACACTGAGACAAAAAAAGAAGAAAATGAAAAAATGAAGAAAAAAAAAGGGAGAAAATCTTATTTTTGTTACCAATATTTCTTCAAATTAAAGAAAAATTGAGTGCTTTCTGAAATAAATAATTAGGGAATTTTATTCCTATCCTTGTGAAACAATCAAACCCAACCTATATTAAATTCATAACATTCGTATCAATCCCTAACATTTGTATACTGATGAGATAAACAATCAAACCCAACCTATATCAAATTCATAACATTCGTATCAATCCCTAACATTTGTATCCATATATTGTTAGGTGTGAGATGTGTGGTAAAGGATATTTCAAGTATAACAGGATAAAATATATATTGTTAGGTGTGAGATGTGTGGTAAAGGATATATCAAGTATAACAGGATGATAAACTGTATTAACAATCATCAAGGGATTTACAAATACAGGTATGAACAATATTTTTATCCCAACAAATTGCTGTTAAAAATTATCCTTCATATGATAGTGGGAGGTTTAAGATTCACAAAAAAATCTTGAACCCTTTGTGTGCCAAAGGAAGGTCTAGTATTCGTGATTTTTATCCAAAATGGGGAACAGTTGGGTATTTTTGTTTTTGTCAATGCTGAAAGATTTTTTTTAGTTTTAAGAAGACCAACGCCCGGCCAGTGTAAATTATGAAGCAAAGCCAATCACCTTTTTTATTTTGTATTAAGGATTTGTGCCTTTCTATTTGGTTAATATGTTAATTAGAGAGATGATTCAATCAATGGTGTTATGAGTTTTTGCATTTTCTTATTCATAAAAAAAATTAGGGATGTATGTTAAGTTCTCTTGTTGAATTTGCTGAATTGGGGATATTAATGATTTTTATGGAAAAATTATTAAAATTTTTTTGTTTAAAGTATCAAAAAGTCCATTTTCGATTTGAAAAATCATTCTCCATGCCCCAGGGGCGGGGGGAATATTTCTTATGACGCTGGATGTCCTCTATTTTGATGCACATATCCGTATATAGATCCGTATCCGTGTCTGACCATCATGATATTTTTTAAAGAAAGTTAACTATTCCAAGAAATGTTTTGACGTCTAATAATTCAATGAAGGATTTTAACAGGGAGGGAACAGGGGGTAAAGATATATTATTATTATTTGTCAAAATACATTTTTTTTCAAATTTCTGAATATTTTGTTGTGAGTCTTGAATCCTGATCCTTGAATCAGATGGTCCAAATGTTTTAAAGGGAGTGACCGGCTATGTAAGGTAGTTGAACTGAGTATGCAGTGTTGTGGAAAACTTCTTTCGGATTCATTTGAGACATATTAAACTTTTTAAAGATCTGTAAATGCTGAATTTGAGCGCTAATTCGACGTTCAAAACTCCTAATTTGGGGGTGGATACGTTTTCAGAATTAGTTTTTTTAATCAGATGGTCCAAATGTTTTAAGTGAAGATTTTTTTCGCAATTAAAGGTACTGTAAGCGTGATATGAAGCGACCCTCCTTGCAAAATGACATTGACAATGCTAGAATCCAACGGTGTCCTTGAAAAATTTATTGGATCAATTATGCGGAAGATATATTGCTAACCCACAGTTGAAAATTATCAGTTTTCAAAACTATCAAGATTGAAATATCTTCCATACTTGAACAGACAAAGCTTTTAAGGATACCCTTGTAAATCGGACATTGCCATCTTTGCATAGAGGATCAATTGAAATTTTGCTTACAGTCCCTTTAAAAACTGGATTAGAATTCTGCTCATTTATTGAAAAAACTTGTTCTCCAGGTGTCCTGAGTGCGAATACAAAACTAACAAACTTCTGCAGTTTAAAGAGCACGTTAACTCACATACAGGTTGGTCTACATCTTATTTAAGCGAAGGTTTCCGAATTTAGGACGAGGGTTTCCGAATTTAGGACGAGGGTTTCCGAATTTAGGACGAGGGTTTCCGAATTTAGGACGAGGGTTTCCGAATAAACAAAAAATTTAGTCTGTATTATTAAAAAATTGGGTTTAGTTGAATACTTGTAGAGGACGTTTTCTTTAGCAAACTCAAATGTTTTTTTTGTTTACTTTCAGAGAACGTTTACTTTTTTGTTTTTTTCCTTTAAAAAAAGAATTTTTCATCAATTTTTTAAAATGCATTTATAAACAAAATCAAGTTGTTTGCATGTACATTGTACATTGTACAGAGAAAAGGGGGGGGCATGAAACGTATTACTCTCCGGGAAATGTAAACAGTGTATAAACATAACTGAGCATTGTCGTAGGAGGCTGATTTTTTGCATTATTTTTTTTCAATTACAGGAGAGAAGGCATTTTTTTGCCCCGTTTGTCATCATCAAAGCAACGGAACTAAAAACTTAGGTGAGTTATAAAAAAATCGTTTTATTAAAATGTAAGTATTTTTGTTTTGCTTTTTATGTTTGTATTCTATTCTACTTAACAACCCAGAAGCTGCAAAAATTATCAGAATCGGCATTTGTCCCAATACGCCGGTCACTCACATGAGACAAATAAACTACTTCTAGTTCAACCTAAATTAGCAATTTACTAAAACATCAATCACTTGATTTTATCATTGTTCCCAAATTCACCAGCAGAGACCTGTCTCCGGCCAAAATAATTAACGCAATTATGCTGCCGGGGACTAGAATAAGTGATTGGCGGTCTGCCAGTAACGTCGGATGTCCGTTGAAGTTGTTAATTTTGCACATTTTCGTTCTTGTTTATGACCGTGATAAAATAACTTCTTAGTGGGTTTTCTATAAAAATCGAGTGAAAATAAACAAAGAGTACAAATCGGAAGACCTCGCTTCATTATTGATTTAGTATAGTGTGTGGGTCAAGGACATTCCTTAAAGCCTGATTTGATTTGATTTGTATTGTCCTTTCTAATAAAAGTACACAGAGAATGAGAAAACTGAGGAATAAAAGTCGTCTTTGTTCTTTCTTTTACATTTGTGTAACTAATACATCTATAAAAATGTTCAGAACACTTTCTGGAAAAAATTCCAGTTACAACTTGTAAAGCACTAAATCCACGGGGACATTTCATAATTTTGTTTAGGTTGTCATACAAAGCAGGTACATAAGCTGACCCTTTGCCAGGCAGAGATTATGTACAAGACCAGCAGGCTCGGTACACCGATGACAGAAGATCAAATAGGAACAATTTCATTTTTCATATTTTTATTTGCGTCATAAATGTCACTTGTAAATATTAGCAAAAGTTTATATTAAATTTACTGTACCCGTAATTTTTAGTGACCATCCAAGCAAAGATGGCAATAAGGGTGCCCAAAAAAGACCAAGTTTGGATTTTTGTATGATGAAGACCGGAATAAAGTGACATTTAGTCATGCATATGCAGGCGGTGGGGGGGGGGGAATTTTAAAATCGGACCATTTTAACCGTCTGATATACTTTTTAGCAGTGCTTAGGATCCATTTAAATTTGATGCGGATCCGAGATCTAGTGTTCAAGATTAACACAGAAGAGTTTCAATCTCTGTCAAATTTTCAGAAATAAAAGTGCTCAGAGACATTTCATGGTAATAAGAAAGAAAGACGGTTTTGTCACTGTTCAACTCTGCAAATTAAGGAATTTAAAAATGGCGTTGAAATAAATCTTTTTAAACTGTTTGCTTTCAAATTTTAAAATGGTTCTTTCCTTACGTGAGCCTAATGTGTAAATGATACTTCAATATTTCCTAGATGTGAGAAATGTGACCTAGCCTACTCTGCCTACCAGATGTACAAGAACCACATGGATCAGTACCACAAGAAATCCCTTTCATGTGAAGAATGTGGTCTTAAGGTACTCTGTTCACGTACCTGACTATTTCTGATATAAACTTGACTTCTCTCTCTGTATAATTCATTGAATGACAGGGTGTCATTAGGGAATATCAGACGGGAGTAACTGGCGTTGCCTGTGCCCGTCAGACTGAAGTTCTTGTAAATATTTGCGGTTTGGGTCGATTTTACGTACACTTACACTTACATACACATATACAGTAGGGGTGTTGATTATCTTGAAAAATCATCCCCCCAGATGTTTTTTAGGGTTTTATTCGCTTAATTGAGAAAAAAATGAATGTTTGGTAACTAGTAATAAAAAGAAGTAAAATCTATTTCTTCTGAAGTCCTATTTTTTATTTCTTTATTTTCCCCTTAGCACAAACAATAATTCCTTTCTCCCTTAATTCTTAAAATAAATTTCACCCATCACATATATAATTAGAATTCAATAAGATAATAACAATTTATATATTTCTATAGTTCACTTTGGAGAATACTCTAACCAGGCATAAATTGGATTATCATACACTCTACCCTAAACAGTGTGAACAGTGCAGCGAGGCAGCTTAATCATCAAAACATTTTGTTGATTGATTGATTGATTGATTTATTTGTTGATTTAGTCTTCAATAAATCAAGTACTGGATTGCTTAATTGGTTTTGTGATTGACAAATAGGTTATTTGAGGAATTGTTGTCAAGTAATATAGTTGTTTTGTTGTGTGATTAATTGATTCATTAGTTGGGTGATTAGTTGATTTATTTGTTGGATGTGTGATCAATTTATTTATTGATTTGTTGTGTGATTGATTGATTTATTAGTTGGTCGTGTAATTAATTCATTTAATTGAATGTGTGATTAATTGATTTATTAGTTGGTTGTTATTAATTGATTTATTAATTGGTTTTGATTAATTGATTTATAATTGGTTGTTTGAGTAATTTATTTATTAATTGGATTTGTGTTTGTGATTAATTAATTTATTAATTGGGTGTGTGATTAGCGGATTTATGAATTGGCTGTGTGATTAATTGATTCATAAAATATGGTCGTGTGATTAATTGAATTAATAATTAGTGTGTAGTTCATTAATATTTTGGATATTTGTTTGATCAATTGGATTAATAATTAGTTGTATGATTAATTTCTGTAATATTTTGTTTTGAAATTGATTGGTTCAGTGATTTATATATGAATATTTGTCAATGGGTTGCCTGATTAATTGATTAATAGATTGTTTGATTATTTGGTTGCATGATTGATGTTTTGTTGATTTGAAATTGTTTTCGTGATTGATTGATGGATTCAGTTATTATATTTGGCTGATTGAATAATTGACACATTGGTCTATAAATAATTCACGGATTGGCGAAATGGAAAAATAATTAGATCATTATTTTGAAAACCCTCTGAATATTACGAAAAAGTGGAGAGTTGATCGAATTATTTTATGGCTGATTGATTGATTGTGCTGTATCTAAGACCTGTTTGACCGCCAGAGAACTGTTTGAGCATTTACAGTCTCACAATATTCATTTTATTGGAAAAACATTCCCCTGCGAAATCTGCGGAAAACTCCTGAAGAATAAATATAGTTTGAAGGTATGATTTATAATCAGTTACCATTTATATATAAAGTAAATATCTCCGTTTGTCTGTCTATTTGTCCGTTATTTTGTATGTCCGATCATAACTTAGGAACACCTCGGTCAATTTTTTTCCAAATTTTGATATGGGGAAATTATTAGAACCATGAAAATTTTCTTAGTAGGATTAAGAAATTCTTTTTTTAGAGTAAGTTAAGTTTCCCATTTTCAACTTAAAAATTCTTCATTTTGTATTTTTATTTTTTATCTCCACATCTTACGATTATGTTCCACAACATTCACATACTTTTAACAAGTTTGACCCGGTTAATATTTTTAAGAAAAATAAAGAAATAGGAAAAAAGTTTAGTTAATCAATTTCCCAGGCCCACGTAGAGGCTGTACATGACAAGAGGAAAGGAGGGGACTTCACCTGCGACCAATGTGGAAAAATTCTAAAATCAAAGGTACAAAAATGACAAATTTATTAATTGATAAGAAATTACTTGTTTTATAACAAATTCTTAAATCCAAGGAACAAAAATGATGATAAATTTTATTTTATTTAAAAACCGGGAAAAGTAACGCCTGGAAGAGAAGTAATAAAATGTTTCATTGATAAAGATGAATTTATTTTTATTATTACTATTAATGGAAAGTTACATCCAATTGAACCAAAAATAATGTTTTGAAAATTCATCATAATTTATGTTCAACATTTAGCTTTTATTTGACATTTTTATGTTTTCAGGCTAGTTTAGATTATCACAAACGATCTGTGCATACACAAGAATATCCCTTTAGGTAAACAAATACCTTAATGTACGCACAGTACAACATTACATAACATAGTTAAACGTATTGTACATGTATACAGTGTCGGAAGAACTTTAAACGTGATTTCGAGTGATCCTACATTTAATAAAGAGGAGTATGTTCGATTCACAACAGTACCATTTGTCCGATCATCGAGGACGGAGAATTCCCTATTTCTTTCGCTTGAAATTAGTTGTCGAGAACTCGAGAAAACGTGACTGGGACCGGATATATTACATAAAAACAGAAATTACAGCGAGAATAATAAGAATAATTCCGTCATTTTTTATCGGAAAAAGTAGCTGTGTGAATCGGACATACCACTCTACAAATGAAGGATCACTTGAAATTACGCTTTAAGTCCCTTTAAATTCGAATATGACCTCATAAGCTAATTTATTGAATTTATAGAGTTTGAAATATTCAAACTCTACGACATGTGGTTTCAATGACATAAGGATTAGAAAAATCAGAGTTTGAAGCGAGTGATCAGCGCTTCTTTGTTATATGAAAACTTAGATCATTTTTTAAATTGTTAGGTGTGAGATGTGTGGTAACAAATATATCAAGTATAACAGGATATATTATATATTGTTAGGTGTGAGATGTGTGGTAAC